GGGTTGCTCCTCTATCCTGGTCCTATTAAATCTCTCAGCGGCTTTTGATACCATCGACCATGGTATCATGTTGCGCCGATTGGAGGGGTTGGGGGGGGCACCGTTTTGCAGTGGTTCTCCTCCTACCTCTCTGACCGGTTGCAGTCTGTGTTGACAGGGGGGCAGTGGTCGTCCCCGAGGCGCCTTGTTTGTGGGGTGCCGCAAGGGTCGGTCCTCTCGCCCCTTCTGTTCAACATTTATGTAAAGCCGCTGGGCGAGATCATCCGTGGCTTTGGGGTGGAGTTCCATCAGTACGCTGATGACACCCAGCTGTACATCTCCACCCCAGGCCACCCCAACGATGCCCTTGAAGTGATGTCCCAGTGCCTGGAGGCCGTGCGGGTCTGGATGGGGAGGAACAGGCTCCGACTCAACCCTTTCAAGACCGAGTGACTGTGGCTTCCGGCGTCCCAATATAGCCAGCTGGTGCCATCGCTGGTTATTGGGGGCGAATCACTGGCCCCCACGGAGAGGGCTCGCAACTTGGGTGTCCTCCTGGATGCACGACTGTCTTTAGAAGAGCATATGATGGCCGTGGCCAGGGGGGCTTTTTATCAGGTTCGCCTGATACGCCAGCTGCGTCCCTTTCTGGATCGGGACTCCCTACGCATGGTCACTCAGGCGCTTGTCACTTCTCGCCTGGACTACTGCAATGCTTTCTACATGGGGCTCCCCCTGGGGTGCACCCGGAGGCTCCAGCTGGTCCAGAATGTGGCCGCGCGGGGGATTATGGGAGCGACGGGGCGCTCCCATGTGACACCTCTCCTGCACGAGCTGCACTGGCTCCTGGTGGTCTTCCGGGTGCGCTTCAAGGTGTTGGTGACCACCTTTAACGCGCTCCATGGCTTAGGGCCGGGGTATCTATGAGACCGCCTTCTGCCACCAATAGCCTCCCACCGGCCAGTTCGCTCACACAGAGTGGGCCTCCTCAGGGTGTTGTCTGCCAGACAATGTCAACTGGCGACCCCCAGGGGGAGAGCCTTCTCTGTGGCGGCGCCCGCCCTCTGGAACAACCTCCCCCCAGAGATACGCACAATACCAGACCTCCGGACTTTTCGTCGGGCCCTGAAAACTTATTTATTTCACCCAGCTGGGCTGGCTTGATCCCACTGTTTTCGGTTAAATTGAATTGATTTTAATTGGGTTGTTTTAAATTGTGGCCAAAAATATTTAATTATTTTTAAACTGTTTTTAAATTTTGTATGTTCTGTTTTATTCTGGCTGTTCACCGCCCCGAGTCCTGCTGGAGAAGGGCGGTATACAAATTAAAGCAAATAAATTAAATAAATAAATAAGCACATGCATCTCCCACTTGCAGGGCAGACCCGAAAATCAGCTAGCTGGCGGGAAGCGCTCATGCATGCACAGTGGAGCTGAGCTGGGCGACGGCTCCGTGTGCCACCTGTGGCACGCGTGCCATAGGTTCACCATCACGGGAATAGAATAACAGAGTTGGAAGGGACCCTGGAGGTCTTCTAGTCCAACCCCCTGCTTAGGCAGGAAACCCTACACCACTTCAGACAAATGGTTATCCAACGTCTTCTTAAAAACTTCCAGTGTTATGTATAATACCAACTTCCAGATTGGTATTAGATAGATCAAGGGCAGGCAATCCATAGCCCCCAGGGCCATTTTGCTAGCCCACCTTAGAGCCTCCTATGAGTAGCCCAACAGGCTTGGTGAACAAACAATGTTTCAATGGTGTCTTTTTTTAAGGTTTTATAATGCCAAACAAAGGCTAAAATAGATAGGGAAATAGATGTGTTAATTTGGAAGAACTCATCAAAAATAAAAAAAAACCCACCATGGATTTGTTACCACCATCCTCAAGGGCCCAAAATGAAAAAATAAAAAAATCAGGATTTGACTGAAAAAAAAAAAGTTGGCCATTTCCAATACTGATGGCAAAGTACGTGAATGATACATTTCAATTCAATTCCTTGGCAGATTAAAAACCATTTTTGCAATGATTTCGTTAGAACATCTCCCCTAACCTAAAAGGTGATATAGCTGAAAAAAATGAAGATATTTTTCCTTTTAAGAAACTCCAGCTGAACTTTGGCTATAAAAACCTAATGGAAAATTCACCCTTGACAGAATTCAAAACTCCTTTCCAAACTGACTAAAGTTTGTTCCAAAACAAAGTCTATTTTTAAAAATGGGAGTAGAAGCACACAACCCTTGTGATTTCCGGAAAGTAATACGGAAAGGTGATTGCTAACATTTTTTGATGATAAAGTCATGAATAGTAGTTTCTCTTGAAATTTCAGGTATTGCAATTATTACATTCCATTCTTCTGCCTAATCTTCTTAAAGCTGATTATCCTTTCAAAGCCTGTTATTGTTGATGCAGACTAACAGGATGTGAATCATGAATTTATTCAGGATCATATTAAGGGAGGAAAAGTTTAATTGGAGTCTTTCCCCCAGTTTACACCAAAACAAAACAGAAACAGAACAAACCAATTATGCAGAGAAGTACTGGGCTCTTATCTTAAACACAAGAATTTAAGACATCGCAATGTTTCAAGGACAACCTGGAGTTCAGTCTATTACAGAACACAGAATAAACAGAGTTGGAAGGGAATTTGGAAGTCTTCTAGTCCAAGCCCCTGTTCAAATAGGAAACCCTACACCATTCTGGACAAATGGCTGTCCAATTTCTTTTTGAAACCCCCCCCAATGATGGAGCACTCACAACTTCTGCTGTCCCACTGATTAATTGTTCTGTCAGAAAATTTCTCTTTAGTTCTAGGTTGAATCTCTATTTGTTAAATTCCAGTTTATTTATTTATTTTTATTTTATTTTATTTTATTTTTATATCAAATTGTTACTTCTTGTTCTGCCTCCAGGGGCTTTGGAGAATAGGTTGCCCCCCCCTCCTTTCTATGGCAGCCCCTCAGATACTGAAACACAGTGATCATGTCAAACCCCCCCTCCCCAATCCTTCTTTTCACTAGACTAGACATACCCAATTCCTGCAGACGTTCTTCGTATGTTTTAGCCTTCAGTCTCCTAATCATCTTTATTACTCCATCCCATTTTTGGGTAGACCAGGTTGCACATAATCTCTCTCCTGGTATAGCTGACAAAGCAAGAAGAGCCCGTGACTTAGAGGTTAATACATCAATCTAACATGCAAGTAGTCCAGGTTCGAATCCCAGAAGGGTATGGCTAGCTGGAGAGAGCTAAATAACTCGAAATATATCTATACTAGTCTCCCTTTATTTCATTGTCGGTAAAATATAAACTCAACATCTTTGTTGCTCTTCTCTGCATTCTTTCTTGCGTCTCAACATCTTTTGATGTTGACTAGTGGGAGCTTGGAATGTTTTGAACTTCAGGAGACATGGTAGGTCTGCCCAGCTGCAACAATATTTAGTACTGCATAGCATGCCTTTTGGCTGCTCCTCAGACTACTCTGTGCAATCTTTGTAATGTTTTGTAATGTTTCTGGCCTGGGAAAGCTGTTCGGGGGAATTTTGGGGTTGAAGGGGAAAGTTGGGTGAGAGATGAGTGGATTGGTCCTTCTCCCATGGGTGGGAGCTGGGGGGGAGGAGTGGCTCTCTGCTTGGTGGGTGACAGCGACTGGGCAGGGTGCTGTTTGTGTATTGGGTGAATGTATTGTGAGTGTGTTGGGGGGGGGATAAGGGAGTGCTGGATGTGACGCCCTCCGCAGCAGTGGGGAAGGGGTGGTGTGAGTTTGAGAGCGCCGAGAGCAAGTGCTATAGTGCCTGTAGGGCTCACCTTACCTGGCTAGGTGGCTCAGTGGCTAAGACGCTGAGCTTGTCGATCAGAAAGGTTGGCAGTTCGAATACGTAGTATAGGTCTCCTGCGTGAGCAGGGGGTTGGACTAGATGACCTCCAGGGTCCCTTCCAACTCTGTTAAGTGTTACTGTTACTGCCTCTGATGATTGGTCAGTTGGAGGAGGTTTCCCCCTTTTTAAGGAAGAGTGTAAGGGATGGGGGATGGAATGGTTTGTAGGGAAGGCAGAGGAGGGAGGTCTCTTTCAGTGGTGTCGGGTAATGGGAGATAAGGAAGCGGGGGGGGGGGGGGGGGGCGGGGGAAGGGAACGGGGGGGGGGGGGGGGGGGGGGGGGGGGGGGGGGGGGGAGGCACGGGGAATGCAACCTTGGTGTTGAGTACAGGAGGTAAATCAGGGGTGAAATCCAGCAGGTTCTGAGTTTAGAGAACTGGCAAATACCACATCTGGCTGGCCCCAGAGTGGGGTGGGAATGGGAATTTTGCAGTATCCTTCCCCTGCCACGCCCACCAAGCCACACCACACCCACCAAGCCACGCCCACAGAACCGGTAGTAAAAAAAAATTGAATTTCACCACTGAGGTAAATATTTGCACAAGATCGGGTTGCTGTGGGTTACTGCAGGTATCAATGAAACCCAGGAGTGGAGATAGACTCCCCCTCTCAGGTAGCTTGGTAATGCCCAATCAAAGTTCAAGAGAGGACAGGTAACAGGTGTAAAATTGACTCAGAGATGACAAATGATAAATTCTGCAGGCTTAGAGCTAGTCAGGATTAGTCAGAAAGTCTTTCAACAGAACTAACATGTCCACTGCCTTCTAAAGGAAAATGTCCTTCAGCGCGTAGTTTTCCACTTAGGTATCTCTGTTCTGGTAAATTCTTAAAGGTAATCCTTGATTTACATCAGTTCATTTAGTGACCGTTCGAAGTTACAACGGCACTGAAAAAAGTGACTCATGACCGATTTTCCCGCTTAACAACCGTTGCAGTGTCCCTGGGGGTCACATGATCAAAATTCAAATGCTTGGCAACCGACTCATGTTTATGACAGCTGCAATGTCCTGGGGTCACGTGATCATCTTTTGTGACCTTCTGACAAGCAAAGTCAATGGGGAAGCCAGATTCACTTAACAACCATATTCCTAACTGAACCACTGCAGTGATTCACTTAACAACTGTAGCAAGAAAGGTCGTAAATGGGGCAAAACACATTTAATAACTGTTAACATTTAGCAACAGAGATTCTGAGCTCAGATGTGATCATAAGTCGAGGATTACCTGCAATGTATTCCTTTGTTTAAAATACATGCCTATCCAGATCCTGTGGAAATTCAAACTAATAGTGACTTTGTGGAAACTTTTCATTTAGTTTATAAGGACCGCAAAGTAAAATAAAATAATAATAAAAAAAAAACGTAAGGGGCGATTCTTTGGAGACAGAATAGGAAAGCGCCAGGCAGACTCCATATTACAAACTCCTTTTTAATTTTCCCATAATAAAGATAAAAGGCTTTGTGGTTCCTGACCTCACTGCAAAGGTCATCATTAGAAAAAGGTAATAAAATGTTAACTCTGATTTAAATGCTGTCTGGATTGACTGAAACTGATAGGAGCACTTGAGTGGCTCAGATATCTGGAGGGGTGGGGGGGACATGGAGGGTCCAGAAAGCTGACTTAAAACCACTTGCAATTTTGTTATTCCTCTTCCACACAGACCAGCTGGAGCAAGCCACACAGTCTCTAGATCCCGTTGAGCAGTTCATGTGTTCAATCTGTCTTTCACGGGGGGATCTGGCCAGTAAGATATGGCCAAGTGTCTTCTCTTGGTATCCGCTTGGCATTCTGGGCACTTTTTGGCAAGCTGTGTGGGGAAACACAAGACCAGGTCAGTGGTGGATTTCACATTATGTTACTACCGGTTCGCCTGCGCGGGCACACACCTGCCTCCTACACGTGCACTTGGCCTTCCGCGCATGCGCCTGGCCTCAAAAACGTGCCTAAACAGGATGGCATAGAGCCGGGGTGGGTGCACCAATGATTTCCACTACCGGTTTGGGTGAACAGGTCCAAAGCGGCTGAATACCCCCTCTGCTCATGATCCTTGCGCTAAAGCGGTTTTCGGTCATCTTTTGATGCCTATCCTGTTTAAGACAGTGAACTAAAGTCCAAATAATTTGTTTGTATCCTGCCTCTATTATTTTTACAAATACCTCAAGGTGGTAAACATATCCAACATGCCTTCCTCTTCGTATTTTCCCCCAACAACAACCCTGTGAGGTGGGTTGGGCTGAGAGAGAGAAAAAGGCCCAAAGCTAGCTTCCATGCCTAAGATGGGACAAGAACTCCCCATCTCCTGATGATTGGCCCAAAGTTACCCAGCTGGCTTTTATACTAAGGTGGGACTAAAACTCCCCATCTCTTGGTGATTGGCTCAAACTCACCCAGCTGGCTTTTGTGTCCTTAAGGCAGGACTAGAACTCACAGTCTCCTGCTTTCTAGACTGGTGCCTTTGTTGAGGGTAAAACTTCTCTCTGCATAGTAGGCAACAGACTGGACAGCAAAGAGATACGTTGCTGATTAAACATACAGATACTCACAGACTCTGAACGGTGAAAAAAAAAACATTCTTTACTCTTAGTGAAAAAACAAACTTGGTTTCTCAAAACAATGATAACACGTCTTCGAATAATCACTCTCCGACACAAAACATAGTTTGCTTACAGTTCTCTTCAGTCACACACAGTCCCTCTTCAGGAGATCAATCATCAAATAGCAGGAGCAGGAGCTCCCGGGCTTCCTGTCTACTTTTATGGCTGCCTAATAATAGCACAGCCAATTATTCTTCTTATAACATTTAAAGTCACAAACATAGTTTTTCTATATATTACCTACCCAACCGTAGGATAAATATCCAACAGCCTTAACCACTAGACCAGTGTTGGTGAACCTCTTCAGCATCGAGTGCTGAAACGGGAGCGCGTGCGCGCAGGGGAGTGCCGGAAACTGGAAGAGCAGCTGCCTAGCACTCATGGGCGCGTGGGAAGGCTGAGCTTCTGGTTTCCAGTGTGCACATGTGCGCTGGTCACCTGGTCTTTTGCTTTCTGGCATGCATGCATGCGCGAAGACCAGCTGGCTGGCGCGCATGCGTGCACCAGAACCCAGAAGAGCAACAGGCAACGGCTGGTGTGCCCGGAGAGATGGCTCTGCTTAGAATAACAGAGTTGGAAGGGGCCATGTAGGTCATCTTGTCCAACCCCCTGCTCAAGGAGACCCTATGCCATTTCAGACAGGTGGCTGTCCAATCTCTTCTTCAAGACCTCCAGTGATGGAGCACCCATAACTGCTGAAGGCAAGCCGTTCCACTGGTTGATTGCTCTCATTGTCAGAAAATTTCTCTTAATTTCTAGGCTGAATTTCTCCTGGATCAGTTTCCATCCATTCTTCCTTGTCTGGCCTTCGGGTGCTTTAGAAAATAAATTGATCCCATCTTTTTTGTGGCAGTCCCTCAAATATTATGAGACTGCTATCATGTCTTCCCTAGTCTTTCTTTTCATTAAACTAGGCATAATCCAATTCCAGCAACTGTTCTCTGTATGTTTTAGTCTCCAGGCCCCTAATCATCTTTGTTGCTCTTCTCCACACTTATTCCAGAGTCTCAACAACAACAATAAAAAAGTCTAAACCTCAGCTACAGAGGTTCTCTTCTCTTGGTTTCTTTTTTTTAAAAATAGTTTATTGACTTTATATACATACATAAAATATAGTAACATTTCTGTTTAACATCGGATATGCAGCGTTTATACATGAATACATGATATGTACCTGGTGTCATTTGTGCTGTTTATTGCTATTTAGTTACAACACCTTTTACTCCTTCTTTGATTTTATCATTTATCCATTCATACCACCTTCCCCACACAGTATAATAATCTGAGTTCTCATCATTATTTATTTCATGGGTTAGTTTGCTCATCTCTGCGCACTCCAGTATTTTCCTAATTATAAGTTCTTCTGGTGGCAGGGCTTTCTCTTTCCAGTATTGTGCGTAAGCCAGTCTGGCAGCTGTTCCCATTTTAATGAATGGGAAGAGGCATGGAACAAAAACCATAAATTGACCAGAGCTGCGATGTATAAGGAAAACCAATACAAAATGCTCCACAGGTGGTATCTAGCACCTGCCAGATTAGCAAAGATATTCCCTAACATGCACCCAAATTGTTGGAAATGTGGCCATGGTCAGGGCACCTTCTTTCACATGTGGTGGACATGCCCCGAAGCGAAAAGATATTGGAGTAAAATTCGGAGATGGTTACAAGAAATAATTGGAGAAGATATTGAATTGACACCGGAAATATTTCTCCTGGGAATAGTAAAGAAGGGGTATGGAAAGAAAATGATTCACCTATTAATACATATAACCTCTTCTCTTGGTTTCATTTATTTAGCGATCTGAAGGTGGCTGCCAAAGTTTAAAAGTTAATGTTCAAAATATTTACTTTAATCTAAGGATGACATTTACAGCATTTATCCTACGAGATGAAGACTGTATTCTGTATTCTGTAGCCAGCAGAAAGGACCTTCTTTTGTATGCCAGAAGGACCATCAATAGGAGCATCTTCAAGACCACTTTTCTGGCAGGCATTAACAATCAGGCTGGCTTGTAATGGGAGAGGCAGAGAAAGGCCCTGTCCTTCAATGCTCACCAGCAAAAGGGATCTCTTGGAGTAAGCAGCCAGAATATGTTTTAATTTAATAAATAGAAGAGCATGTTTATAACTCAGAGTCGAACTGTGGGATCCCTGGTGCTCTGTCGGTTTGGTTGTTTTCTGGCAGACGATTCGTGACCCAACTAGGTAACATCATCAGTGCTAGAAAGGAGTGGGGGTTTGGCCCTTGTTTGTATACTAGTGGCTTGCCCAATACCCCAATTAAAGAACTACCAACTCAGACAATTAAACAGTAAGCAGCAGTGTAATCAAAGAACTACCAAGAATAGCTCCACCAACACTGATAGGGCAATAACAATAGCACTTATATACTGCTTCACAGTGCTTTCTAGCCCTTTCTAAGCAGCTTACAGAGTCAGCATACTGCTCCCAACAATCTGGGTCCTCATTTTACTGACCTTGGAAGGATGGAAGGTTGAGTCAACCTTGAGCCAGTGGGAATCGAACTGCTGAACAGCTGGCAGCAGTCTGTCAGCAGAAGTAATCTGCAAAACTGCATTCTAACCAGTTTCAGTTTATTTACATTTATATACCGCCCTACTCCCGAAGGACTCAGGGCGGTGAACAGCCAAGATAAAACACATACAATATAAAATTTAAAAAACAATTTAAAATGTATTAAATAAATTTGGCCCATACTAATTAAAATACCCCTGTTTTTAAAAACAAATTAAAGTTAAACAATTAAAAAGAGTTAAGCCAGCCCAGCTTGTTGAAATTAAAAAGTCTTGAGGGCGCGGCGGAAAGTGCGTAAATCCAGGATCCTCCGCACCTCTGGGGAGAGTTCGTTCCAAAGGGCAGGTGCCCCCACAGAGAAGGCCCCACCCACCCCTGGGGGCCGCCAGTCGACACTGTTTGGCCAACGGCACCCTGAGGAGCCCCTCTCTGTGGGAGCGTACTGGCCGGTGAGAGGCTACCAGTGGCAGAAGGCGGTCTCGTAGGTATCCAGGTCCTGAGCCATGGAGTGCTCTAAAGGTGGTAACCAATACCTTGAAGCGCACCTGGAAGACCACCAGGAGCCAGTGCAGCTCGCGCAGTAGAGGTGTTACATGGGAACGCCATGTCGCTCCCATAACCACCTGCGCGGCCGCATTCTGGACCAGCTGGAGCCTCTGGGTGCTCCTCAAGGGAAGCCCCATGTAGAGAGCATTGCAGTAGTCCAGGTGGGAAGTCCACTGAGCCACCATGACAAGCTACTGTATATAACAATAGAAACAAACTCTTCTCCCTTCTAGCACTGATGATACTGCTTAGTTGAGTCATGAAACGTCTGCAGGACAACAACCAAGTTCAGAAAGCACCAACAATTCCAGTCCTCCTCCTCCTCTTTCCACTTCCCTTCTCCTCCTCTCTGCAAACCCCATTTCCTTCTACTGTAGAAGTGATGTTACTTAGTTAGGTAAAGGAACATCTGCAAGAAAACAACCAAGCTCAGAGACCACCAAGGACTCCATCGTTTATCATGTACCTGGTCGATAAAATGAGGACCCAGATTGTTGGGAGGAAATATGCTGACTCTGTAAATGGCTTAGAGAGGGCTGTAAAGCACTGTGAAGCGGCATATAAATCTAAATTCTATTGCTATTTAATAAATGCCAGTGAATACAGCTCTTTCCATGCAGGCACTTGGTGATCCCTACAGCTTGTACCAAGCAGCCCGCTTGCTGCATTTGACACTAACTCCAACCTCCAAATACTTGTGCAAGAGCATGTAGCACCACTGACCTACAGTTGCAAGAAAAAGTATGTGAACCCCTTGGGATTATGTGGAGTTTTGCATGAATTGGTCATAAAATGTGCTCTGAACTTCATCTAAGTCACAACAATAGAAAAACACAGTCTGCTTAAAATAATACTACACAAACATTAGATGTTGCCATGGTTTAATGGAACATAACATGTAAACATTCACAGTGCAGGGAGGAAAAAGTATGTGAACTTTTGGACTTAATAACTGGTTGACCCTCCTTTGGCAGCAATAACCTCAACCAAACATTTCCTGTAGTTGCAGATCAGACCTGCACAACGATCTGAAGTAATTTTGGACCACTCCTCTTCACAAAACTGTTTCAGTGTAGCAATATTCTTGGGATGTCTGGTGTGAATCACTCTCTTAAGGTCATGCCACAGCATTTCAATCGGGATGAGGTCAGGACTCTGACTGGGCCACTCCAGAAGGCGTATTCTGTGCTGTTGAAGCCATTTTTTTGTTGAATTACTTGTATGCTTTGGGTCATTGTCCTGTTGCATCACCCATCCTCTGCGGAGCTTCAGTTGGCGGACAAATGGTCATACGTTTTCCTGCAAAATGTCTTGATAAACTCTGGAATTCATTTTCCCATCAATGACAACAATCCGTCCAGGCCCTGAGGCAGCAAAGCAGCCCCAAACCATGATGCTCCCTCCGCCATGTTTTACAGTGGGGATGAGGTTTTGATGTTGGTGTGCTGTGCCTTTTTTTCTCCACACATAGTGTTGTGTGTTCTTCCCAAACAACTCAATTTTGGTTTCATCTGTCCATAGTATATTTTGTCAGTAGTGCTGTGGAACATCCAGGTGCTCTTTTGCAAACTTCAAACGTGCTGCAATATTTTTTTTGGACAGCAATGGCTTCCTCCCTGGTGTCCTCCCATGTACTCCATTCTTGTTTAATGTTTTCCTTATTGTAGATGTGTCAACAAAAATGTTAGCATGTGCCAGAGATTTCTGTAGGTCTTTAGCTGACACTCTAGGATTCTTCTTTCCCACATGAAGCATTCTGCGCTGTGCTCTTGCAGTCATTTTTACAGGACGACCACGCCTAGGGAGAGTAGCAACAGTGCTAAACTTTCTCCATTTGTAGACAGTCTGTCTTACCGTGGACACATGAACATCAAGGCTTTTGGAGATACTTTTGTAACCCTTTCCAGCTTCATGCAAGTCAACAATTCTTGATCGTAGGTCTTCTGAGAGCTCTTTTGTGCGAGGCATGGTTCACATCAGACAGTGCTTCTTGAAACCAGTAACCCCAAAACAGGTGTGTGTTTTTAAAGGGCAGGACAGCTGTCAGCAACACATCCAATATCATCACACTGATTGGAGTCAAGGTTGGCTCACTCCTGGCTCCAATTAGCTCTTGGAGAAGTCATTAGGCTAGGGGCTCACATACTTTTTCCTCCCTGCACTGTGTATGTTCACATACTTTTTCTTGCAACTGTATTTTTGAAGTAGCATCTGTTTTATGTTACATTACAGGGACAAGAACAGTAGATACAGAGTGACCTTGTGGCTGGCTCTTGCAATTGCTTATCAGGAGGCCATGCCTACCATAGCCTTGCATTCCCACAGCATCCACTCATTCTAAATTAGCTTTAGTTTAGCTTGGTATGAAAAACCTTAGTAACAAAAGACCAACCAGAGGGAAGGAGATTATTCTGATCACATACCAACCTCTGTGGGTTTCTGGTTAATGATGATAAACATCAAAGAGTGTAATGTTATGTCTACTTTGGCTTCCTGAATTAGCAATTTTAACATCTAAAAATTCAGGATAGCTTCTTGAATGAAATATCCCACAATTTCCCAAACTGCATCCAGCCAAAAAGGCAAAATAACCACTTGAGTTGTGGGTTGCTGTTTCCCTTCTTAACATTGTTTGGGTTTCCTTTAGTAGTGGGGACAGATTTCCTGGCATCACCAGAGCCATTTTTATTATCTTTTACCTCCCCCCAAACCATGATGTCTGAATCACATCCCTTCCCAGAAAAGACCTGTCACATTTTTGAAATATGGTTAAACCAATTTGAGAGTTGATGCTCCATGTTGTTTTTGTTCATCCTGTTTTAAGGGAATAGATAGAATAGAATAGAATAACAGAGTTGGAAGGGACCTTGGAGGTCTTCTAGTCCAACCCCCTGCTTAGGCAGGAAACCCTACGCAACTTCAGACAAATGGTTACCCAACATCTTCTTAAAAACTTCCAATGTTGGAGCATTCACAACTTCTGGAGGCAAGTTGTTCCACTGATTAATTGTTCTGACTGCCAGGAAATTTCTCCTTAGTTCTAAATTGCTTATTTTCTTGTTTAGTTTCCACCCATTGCTTCTTGTCCTGCCCTCAGGTGCTTTGGAGAATAGCTTGACTCCCTCTTCTTTGTGACAGCCCCTGAGACATTGGAACACTTATCATGTCTCCCCTAGTCCTTCTTTTAATTAAACTAGACATATTCACTGTTCTTCATATGTTTTAGCCTCCAGTCTCCTAATCCTCTTTGTTGCTCTTCTCTGCACTTTTTCTAGAGTCTCCACATCTTTTTTACATTGTGGCGACCAAAACTGGATACAGGATTCCAAGTGTGGCCTTACCAAGGCCTTATAAAGTGGTATTAACACTTCACGTGATCTTGATTCTAATCCTCTGTTGATGCAGCCTAGAACTGTGTTGGCTTTTTTGGCAGCTGCTGCACACGGCTGGCTCATATTTAAGCAATTGTCCACTAGGACTCCAAGATCCCTCTCATGGTCACCACTATTGAGCAAGGTACATATACTGTACCTGTGCATTTTGTTTTTCTTCCCTAAATGTAGAACCTTTCGTTTTTCACCCTTGAATTTCATTTTGTTAATAGGTTATAATAGGTTATATCTATGCTATTGCCTTACTATGCTTTCTACAATTAACCACTTTCTTCTGCGGAAAATTCCTGATGTAACAATACAGATTCTGTCCGTGTTAGGTCAGAAGAGCAACCAGCTGATTTTGGGGTCAAACTGGAAATATTTGTCTTGACTGAAGTCCAATACAAAATCAAAAGCACCATTTCTCAATCTTAGCAACTTTACAATGTGTGGACTGCAAGAAAATTCCACACATCTTAAAGCTGCCAAAGTTGGGAAACCCCGGTCATAAAGCAAAATTAGTTGAGGTTGCTGCTGAATTAAAGTTAAAGGAAACTGCAAAGTCAGCAGTAAAGAAGACATTGTTTTTGTCAGAGTTTAACTGTCTCTTAATCTAGATTAAGAGTGACAGAGTGCTGACTCTGCCCTCTGCGTCTTAAATTAGAAGACTATTTAGTCATTCCCAATCTAGTGTCCAATTGTTGACCTCAGATTTTATAATCCCCAACTAACTTGACAATTAATCAGACTAACTAGCTAAGCAAAGCTCATACAGTTCTCTGGGCTTGTTTCGTTGCATGGATTGGGCCACATGGCTATCTTTAACCAAACTTAACTTGTCCTGGATAACAAGAACAAGCCTCTTCTCTGCGGAGGTGTGATCTCAATTGCAAGAAGATGCTCAAGTCACATACAAGGAGAGAAAATGCACTGTAAGAATCAACTGCAGAAGTAGAGCAAGGGAAATTCTGCTGTGCGTTAAGAGCAGGCAAGAGGGAGAATCTAGTGGTTAAGGCAGCAGCCTAGAAAGTGGGAGATCGTGAATTCTAGTCTCGCCTTAGGCATGAAAGCTGGCTGGCTGACTTCGGGCCACCAGGAGATTGAGAGCTCTAGTCTCAGAATGAAAGCCAGCAGGGTGATTTTGGGCCAATTACCAGGAGACTGTGAGTTCTAGTTCCTCCTAGGAAAGAAAACCAGCTGGATGACTTTGGGCCGATCACCAGGAGCCTGAGAGTTCTAGTTCCGCCTTAGGCACAAAAGCCAGCTGGGTGACTTGGATCAGTTACTCTCTCCTAACTGAACCCAAGTGGATAGGGTATGTTGGCTGCCCCAAAGTTATTTGTAAAAATAATAAAGGCAGGATACAAATAAATCAATATTCAAAAATAAATCAGATGATGCAATTAAGACTAAAGGGAAAAATGAAAATGAAAGCTAACCTTCAAGGAATTCTCCCAACATTTGTTGCAACACGTGAAGGAACACTGCTGGCATTTAAAGGGCACACCATGATCCGAACTGCATTTAGCACACTGATAGCCACCTAAACAGGGGAAAGGAAGAAGAATTGGAAAAAGAATGAAGGAATCGGTGGAGTTAACTACACCAATTAGGGAAAAGAACGTAACTTTTTTTGGCTGGGCAACTCTGGCCCAGTTGCTTTCTAAAGGCAGGATAAAAATCTAATAATAGTCATAACTATTTTTGTGTAAACACTCGCCTTAGGCATCCTTTCATTTCTTTTTTATGACGCAGGTGCTCAATGCAGACTCTAATCTGCATTGCCATACATGATCTGCAACCTTCCATCTCTAGTTCCCATGTATAGGTAGTCCTCGACTTACGAACACAATTGAGCCCCAAATTTATATTGATAAGTGAGAAAGTTTTTGCATGATTTTTGCCCCATTTTACTACCCTTTCTTGCCACAGTTGTTAAGCAAGTCACCCCAGTTGTTAAGTTAGTAACGGAAGTTGTTAACCCCGTTCACTTTGCTTGTCAGAAGGTGGCAAAAGAGGAAGATGTGATTCTGGGACATTGCAATCGTCGTAAATATGAGCCAAATGCCAAGCATAAGAATTTTGATCGCATGACCATGGGGATGCTGCAATGGTTGTAAGTGTAAAAAAACAGTCGTAAGTCACTTTTTTCAGCACTGCTGTAACTTCAAATGGCCACTAAATGAATGATTGTAAGTCCAGGACTACCTGTAGTTGATAATCTTTCTTTAGAGTAGGATTTCTCAACCTTGGTAACTTTATGATGTAACAATATATTATAAATATATCATAAATAGCACTTAGACTTCTATACTGCTTCACGGTGCTTTACAGCCCTCTGTAAAGTGGTTTAGAGCTCCCAGAATTCCCCAGCAAGCCATGGATTCTGGGAGTTGAAGTCCACATATCAAGACTGATTCTGTTGTGGCCCGTCAGCGGCCTGTGCAGCTAGTAGCTGATTCCGACAGTGAGGAGGCTGGTGTGGTGCTGCGCCAGCAGCCTGTGCAGCTGGCACTCGAGTCGGACAATGAGGAGGCTGGAGAAGATGTGATGCCAGAGGCGGGGATTCAGCCAGGGCCTTCAGAACCTCCAGAAGCTCCCATAAGTGAAGAGGAAGAAGAGGAGGAGCGTCTTCTCGATGCACGGGCACGCAGACAGAGCTGCCAAAAGGCAGGAGTAGCTCCTCAGGAGAAGGTCTCCTCGAGAGTAAGGCTTGGGGCTAATTGGCCACTCTCTTAGCCTATTTAAGGAAGGACGACGACTGAGGCAATTTGCAGGAAACAACTTCGTTCAAATTCCTTCGCGTCTTGATTCCAGAAAACATTTGATTTGGCTCTTGTTTCTCTCTTATCAGTTTTCCTGCAAATTGCTTCTGGGCATTCTGCCAACTACAGTAAGATTATGGTTATCTGAAATACTGTGCTTCAGAACTGAGTTATTATTCTTTGAATTCTTGTCGGCTGTTAATGAAGTTAAATTAACAGCCCTTGTTCAGAAAAGACTGATTTATTCTACTTGTGTTCGGAAAAACTACTAAGAAAGCTCATTAGTAGTCTTTAATTAGTAATTTAAGGTTTGTACGGACTTTGTGTGTGCTGCGTTCTTTGGGGTCCGTAGCTGGGGCAAAACAGATTCACACTTTCATCTACATTTTATCCTTCGCTGGCATCTTGACAATTACAGGGTGGGGTGGGGGAGTTGATGGAATGCAAGAGTAGATTGCATTCCATAACCAAACAAACAGGAGTGATTGATGAATGTTTTGGATTGTAGGTGGCCCGTAGGGAAATGGGATATTAACTATGCTTACTTTTGCGTGGGAAACCCAGAGTTGGTTTCACTTTTTCTATGCCAATGTGATTTATTCAGTAAAGTTTTATATACTTTTGGTAAAATAATGTCCCAGGGGTTCCTTGTTCTCGATTCCCCAACTGGACAGTTGACACCACACATTATAAAGGCGGAGAAAAATGGATTTAGAAGGAAGGGAATGACTTGATCAAAAGAGACTACTTACCACCTATTGGGGAGAGAGGTAAGCTGCCATCATCTGTGGCTTCTCGTAATTGGCTGGGCCTTCTCTCAATTTCCGATGGGTCTGGATTTTGGAGCGGCTGTGGTGCTTCATTCTTGGAAGAATCTGCCATAAATATTACACAATCACATTGCCAAGAACTTACAGGACTCCGTTCAGACAGGGCTGGTTATGCAGCACTCATGACACACTCACGTGATACATGTACGACCTCTAAGTCAATTTGCTTTAATTTATTACTTTTTAAAAAAAAAACAACAAAACAGAATTACAGACATCTTATAGATGAAATCCATCAAGGTTTGACAGTCTTTCAGAATTCGGACTGACATGATTCAGTTTGTAATGCTGCCCTAAAAAGTTAGACACTTCTGATCTATAGATATGAAAGAAATATCAGATGGGAGTCTCAATGTCTTAAATGGTTTTATAGCAATAGCACTTAGATCTATATACCGCTTCATAATGCTTTACAGCCCTTTCTAAGCAGTTTACAGAGTCAGCCTCTTGCCCCCAGCCATTTGGGTCCTCATTTTACTGACCTCGGAAGGATGGAAGGCTGAGTCAGCCTTGAGCCTGGTAAGACTTGAACTGCTGGCTGTGGGCAGAGTCATCCCACAAATACTGCATTCTAGACACTGTGCTACGACTGCTCCTTTATGGTTTTATGGAGTCGTGTAGGTGAGATGAGCAGTATAGAAATTTGATAAATAAATAATGAGAGTATCATGATATTCTTTTGTCACCTACCCATTCCATTCCTTTTTCAGCTTGGGCTACCTAAAGGGGACTCCATGTTGTGATTGGTCCTCTCTCAGCCCAAATGTCGACCCTGAAGCTGACCTGGCCGAAGCCATCTTGGAGCTTCAGTGTTGCCACACTGGAGCTGAGGGATAGGGAGTGGGGGTTAGAGATAACTGGGGTTGTGTAGTCAAAATAAAATACTTTCCCTTGGGAATCAAGGACGTTCTCACACCTGGCCGGAGGAAGGAGGAGTGATGTCACCAGACCAGTGGAGGCTGCCTTGATTGGGTCATGTGACTGTTTGGGGTTGAGAGAAAAACTTTTACTTTTAATTAGGTGAAAATCAAGGCGCCCCTCAGAGTGGGTTTTCACCAGATATGTGCCAATATGATATTTCCAATAAAGCTGTTCTTTGAGGAATTCACCTGCCTTGGAGTTTTTGCTTGTGATGGATCTATTACTTGGAACCAAACTCTACATCATATGCCTAATTTCTAGTCATCTCTACTAAGCTATTTATGGTACTGAGAACACAGGTAGTCCTCAACTTACAACCACAACTGAGCTCAACATTTCTGTGGCTAAGTGAGACACTTGTTCAGTGAGTTTTGCCCCATTTTACTACCCTTTCTTGCCACAGTTGTTGAGCAAATTACTGCAGTTGTTAAGTTAGTAACACAGTTGCTAAGTGAATCTGGTTTTCCCATTGGCTTTGCTTCTCAAAATGGGATCACGTGATCCCCTTTGTCAAAGGGGATCACGTGACCCCGGGACACTGCGATCATCATAAATAGGAGCCAGTTGCCAAGTGTCTGAATTCTGATGACATGACCATGGGGATGCTGCAACAGTTGTAAGTGTGAAAATCAGCCATAATTTTCCAGTGCTGTTATAACTTGGAACAGTCACTAAACAAATGGTTGTAAGTCAAGGACTATCTACATGCAACAATGCAGTGTTTCCTTGTAGAAGCCTTGAGCTTTTTTTAATCCCCTTTACTAATTTACAGTTGGAATTTGACTCATCATTCTGAAATCTGTGCGCTGTTCCAAAGTTTATAGCGTAATGTTCTACAAATCCAGCTAACGAAACAAAAATGTGTATTAAGAACAACAACAGAGGAGGCTCGTTCCGAAAGCTCCCCAGGGGATAAAACTCATCTCAAAATATTCAGATTTTTAAAAAGATATATGCTCAAGTTAAGGAAGCAATACCTTAAAGATGAGTGTGGAAATGTCAATAAAAGAAGCACTGAAAACCTGGGCATGGTCTGGCAGCTTTATCCTGAATTTCGGTGTCTTTCAGAGCAGGGGTTTCCAACCTTGGCAACTTTTAAGACTTGTGGACTTCAACTCCCAGAGCTCCTCAGACAGCTTTGCTTTGCTGGCTTTGTTGGCTGCGGGAGTTGAAGTCCACAAGTCTTAAAGTTGCCAAGGTTGGAGACCCCTGTTCCAGAGTGCAGTGTGAAAGCTCTTACCAAGGGAACTTTTCTCATTCTTCTCCTCTGGAAAAGTTGTGCCAGTCAGTTCTCTGCACATCTGCAGGAATTGTTCCTTGTGAGGAGGGCGGACAAACGTGGCGAATTCTACCAAAGAAAACAAGCAGCAGGTCACGATGCGAGCCAATGACTTCCAAGGAAAAACGAGAACATGTCTCGTCTTCTCAAACAAATGACTATGGAAATTCTCAATCATCCAGGTCATGGTTGTCCCAAGGGTGTTTGTTTTTTTTTTCTTTTTTCCTAAAAAAAAGATTTTATTTGTGTTTGGCTTCTCATCCTGGAAGCTTCTTCAGAACTGAACTGTTTTCAAAGAAACACCAAGAAAATTCAAGGCTATTGCTTAACACATTGTAAGCCGCCCTGAGTCTCCGGAGAAGGGCGACATATAAAAATAAATAAATAAAATAAATTGCTTTTTAGGGGAGGGGGGAAAACACCTTTGGGAAAAACAAGACTTCTCAGCTCCAAATTTTTTATTTGTTTATCAAAATATACAACAGAAAGAAAAATTAAAATAGGAGGAGAGTAGGGGAGGCAAAAGGAAAGAAGAACAAAATTAAAGTAAAAGGGAAAGAAGAAAGAAAAGCATTGACTTCTGACTCTCTTTAGCGCAGTAGAATAAGATAATGAAATACAGCCTCAACTTTTACATAATACAGGTAGTCCTCAACTTAAGACCACAATTGAGCCCAACATTGCCATCGCTAAGTGAGACATTTGTTAAGTGGGTTTTGCCCCATTTTATGACCTTTCTTGCTACAGTTGTCAAGTGAACCAACTGCACTTATTAAATTAGTAACACGGTTGTTAAATGAATCTGGTTTCCCCTTTGCCTTTCCTTGGCAGAAGGCTGCAAAAAGGGATCACATGCAGAGGTGGGCGGCACATGCTATGACAACCGGTTCATCCAGAACCGAAAATGTGAGTGCGTGCTTAAGCCTAAAAGCCTAAAATTATTAAGCCTAAAAGAAAAGCCTCTGGTTTTTATCTTTATATTTGCTTTAAGAATCTTCTGTATAAAGATGTGAATCCTACTCCCAATATAAAACAAGGAACACTTCTCGGGTGATTGTTTACACCCAGTTGTGAGTCTAACTAACAATGATTCTCTCCACAGTGCTTCCTAACCTATTGTTGTGACCTCGGCTTCCTGATTCATTGAAACACATGAGTAGTCCCCAAAACTTCTTTTATTGCAACAGTTGTGAATTACGTTCATTCAGAGCTGAGTCCCAAGTAGTTGCAAAAAGTCTTTCGGGAGAAGTTCTTCGGGATAATCACCAACCTTTATCTCTCTTGACGCTCTGCAAAAGACCTATTGGCAAAGCCACACAGAGTCCAGAATCAAACAGAGATGCCGACTGGGAACAGAATTAACATGCCGTTGCTTCTCTTTTAAGCCTTATGGGAGGGGCCAATCATCTCCAGGCCTTACTCCCAAATCTTCCCTTTCGTTTTAACTGTTCTTGCCTTCTGGCAGCTCTGTGCATGCGCGTACTAGGAACAGGCTCCTCTTGTTCCTCTGCCTCTCTGCTATCTGACTCTGGAGGCTCCGGAGTCATGCATCATTCCCAGATGGCCCTGGCCCCATCTCTACCTCTGATGCAGAGCCCTCGTGCAGGCCTTCTCCAGACTCCAGGACTGGCCCATGTTCCTCCCCAGCCTCCTCACTGTCTGACTCCGCTGCCAGCTCTGCAGGCTGCTGGCGGACCACAACACCTATGAGAGCTAGAGTCCTTGACTTACGACCACAATTGAGTCCAAATTTTATGTCATTAAGCGAGATATTTGTTAAGTGAGTTTTGCCCCATTTTACAACTCTTCTTGCTGTTAAGGAATCATTGTATTTGTTAAATTAGTAACAGGATTATTAAGTGGCTTCCTCATTGACTTTGCTTGTCAGAAGGTTGTAAAAGGTGACTCCGCAACTGTCATAAATATGAGTCAGTTGCCAAGCATCTGAATTTTGATCATGTGACCACGGGAATGCTGTAATGGTTGTAAATGTGAAAAATGATCATAAGTCACTTTCTTCTGCGATGTTGTAACTTCGAAAGGTCACTAAATGAACTGTTGTAAGTCAAGGACTACCTGTAATGGTTTTTTTTTAATTTGCTGAAATTATATAACTGCTGTCAGGAATGGGTTAAAACCACAGCATCCTCTCTTGGAAGGGCTGGTTGAAATATGAAGATTTGAGGAGAAAATGTGTCTCTCTCTCTCCCAAAGCGAAATCTAACTTTCCTGGAAAACTAGAGAAATTTCCTCTCCAACAAACAAGAGGTCAATATACCCGGAGTGGGGGTGGAGGAGAAATGGGGCCTTGATGAGAAAACAAGAGTTTCTTTGTTATAGTTGTTAGGGCATCTGACAACATCCATTCATTTCTTAATAAGAAACCATAATATTATTAGAAGGAGGTTAAGATAAATATCCTTATCTTTTTAAGGAACTAGGAAAAAACCCCAAACATCTAAGTCAAAGATACGCCTGGTTTTTACTAAGTGAATCATCTGTTCCTGAGAAATTTAAAATGACGTCATTTTTAAACAGTGAGATTTTCCAGCAGGACTTAGGTGGTTGCTGGTTCAAGAATGGTTGAGTGCAGTGTTTCTCAATCTCGGCAGCTTGAAGATGGGTGGACTCCCAGAATTCCCTGCTGGCTGGTAGATTCTGGGAGTTGAAGTCCACCCATCTTCAAGTGGCTAAGGTTGAGAAACACTGGTTTAGTGGAATCCTAGGCTGGCTGTGCAGCTGTCCAATTCTGGAAGAAGCAGCATCTGAAAAACTGCAGAGGGGTTTTCCTGGGCATTCAACAGATGTCGTCTAAATGGACCCTGACGCATTGCATCAGTGCTAGAAAGCAGTGGGGTTGTGGAGAGGAGGAGGAGGAGGTGGTGGTGGTGAAGGAGGAGATCTCTCAGCTTGGTTGTTTTCTTAGAGACGTTTCATTACCCAACTAGGTAACATAATCAGTGCTCGAAGGGAATGGCAACTCTTCTAACTCCTTTTTAGCACTGATGATGATGATGCTATTATCCATTCAGTCATGTTTGACTTTTGGGAATTCTATAGGTCAAGTTTCTCCACATTTTCTGATCTTGCACTATTTCTTTGAGTTGTTCTCTTCTCTGGTTGGTGTCAACTGCGATGGTGTCCAGCCACTGTGGTCTTTGATGGCCTGGTTTCCTTTTACTGCTAACTCTTCTCAACATAATTGCTTTCTCCAGTGAAATTCCCCCGTATGACATGGCCAAAGTAATTGAGACACAGTTTCGTGATTTTTTTCCTTCCAGTGACATGTCTGGTATTATGCGCTCCAGTCCCCTTTGCTGTCCAAGGAGTATGCAGGAGCCTTCTCCAGCACCATAGTTCAAGCAAGTCGATTTTCTTCTTGTCTTGCTTTTTTAAGGTCCAATAACTGATGACAACTTAGAAAACAACTAAGCTCAGAGAGCACCAAGGGCCCATTAAGCGGAGAGAGCCTGCTTTTTTCTCATTAGTAAAGGAAGGGTAGATAAGCTTTTATTAAAGAGCCCCAAATATGGATTTTGTGTAGCGAGCAGAGGAGACGTTTGTCTTCGCACTGAAAGACAAACATGGTTATTCCTGGTGACAGTCTAAAAATTGCCTCTGAGTCCTAGTGATGCAATTCTATGACTCTTGCTTCCTGCAAATCTTCATCCACTGTAATTTTCAGGTCAATAAACAAATTGACCTGAATTTGTACAAGTATTACGGATGATAACCGCAGACAAAATGCTGTCGTCATCTTTACTTTCTTAATTTTAAGTTAAAGCACAATTTCTTCCTGTACTTTCAGGGTAGCCAAATACAGACTGTTTATTGACATAAAACATTGGTGAGTGATTTCTGCTTCAACTCCTCCACTGGACTGGACTGGACAACTCCTATTTGCTTTATTTTGAGTTGAAATGTGTGCCAGAAGGCTGCGTCTTTTATACAGTACAGAAGTCCTCATCGTGCAACCACAATTGAGCCCAAATTTCCTGTTGTTAAGCAACAGGGCCAATCTTATTCTTCTTGCGAATAAGAAATAGAAAAAAAAAATATTCTATTCTATTCTTGCGAAGCAAGACAGTTGTTAAGTGAGTTCTGCCCCATTTTACAACCTTTCTTGCCACAGTTGTTAAGTGAATCAGTGCAGTTCTTAAGTTAATAACACGATTGTTAAGTGAATCTGGCTTCCACATTGACTTTGCTGGTCCGAAGGTCACAAAAGGGGATCACATGACTTTGGGACACTACAACCGTCATAAATATGAGTCAGTTGCCAAGTGTCTGAATTTTGGCCATGTGACCATGGGGATGCTGCAATGCTCGTAAGTGTGAAAAATGGTCATAAATGACATCTATGGAGATTCTCAGTCATCCAGGTCATGGTTGTCCCAAAGGTGCTTTTTCAGGAGGCAATTGGACTTTCTTATTTTTCTTTGAAGGCGTTTCACTTCTCATCCAAGAAGCTTCTTCAGCTCTGACTGGATGCTGGGGAAAGGAAGGATTGATACTCCCTGCAGACAGCTGGTCATTTGCATCCTTTCGGAGAGTTGTTGTGGCCACTTGGAGGTTTATCTGTGTCCTCAGGGGATCACAAAAGAAAGAGCGGTCAAAGAGGCCATCTATCTCAACACTGAATAGCTTTCTTTCAACAAAGGGAGAGCAATACAACATCATCTATCTACAGTCTACAACACAATCCTTTCAGCAGTTCCAAGAGGGCTCCACACCCATTTGCACCACTCAGGTGACCCTGAGGACACAAACATCCAAGGGGCCTCAATGGCTCTCTAAAAGAATGCAAATGACCGGCTATCTGCAAGGAATATAAATCCTTCCATTCCTCATCATCCAATCAGAGCTGAAGAAGCTTCTTGGATGAGAAGCGAAACATTTTCAAAGAAAAACAAGGAAGCCCAATTGCCTCTTGAAAAAGAATCTTCGTGATGGTTATAAGTCACTTGTTTTCAGTGCCGTTATAACTTTGAATGGTTACTAAACAAATGGCTATAAGACAAGGACTATCTGTAAATATAATAAGTGGGCTATTCTTGCAAAGCAGCATTTCCCAACCTTTCTGGACTGGCGGACTGGTGTGGGGGGCAGGGCGGAGGGGTGTGGGGAGAGGGGATGGTTTTGTGTGAGGGCATTTACGTGCACGCACAGGTATACACAGCTTCATTTGTGTGAGCAGCGGGGACACATGCATGCTCATGTGAATGGGGCCACAAGCGCTTTGGCTTGCCGCTCGGGTGAGTGGGGCTGTGCATGTGTGGCCCGGCTGTGAATAGGCCATGACCCAGTAGTGGGCTGTGACCATATGTTGGGGACCCCTGTTGTAGAGGAGTTGCTTTCTTTTTGTAGGTGAGGAAATCAAATTTGTTATTACAATTAAGTCTCTTTCCTTGTCCAATTTTGTCTCGCTGGAAGTGACTCACCATTCCCATACCACTTTCTTCTCCCACCTCTTTGAAAACACTTTTACTATTTATTTTATTTATATCCCGCTTTTTGTTATTTGTTTTTTTTAAACAGCACAAGGCGGCAAACATATCTAATACCTTCCTTCTCCTATTTTCCCCACAAAAGCAACCCTGTGAGGTGAGTTGCGCAGAGACAGAGTAATTGGTCCAAAGTGACCCAGTCGACTTTCAAACCTAAGATGGGACTAGAACTCGCAGCCTCCTGATGATTGGCCCAAAGTCACCCAGATGGATTCCATGGCTAAGGAGGGACTAGAATTCACAATTTCTGAGTTTGTAACCTGATGTCTCAATCAGTAGACCAAGCTGGCTTTTTTGGGTTAGAAGGAAAAGGAATTTTTGTAAAAGGCAGGAAAATACTTTAATTGTTTTGGAACAGAAACAAGGGAAGTTATTATGAGTTAATGTCATGGGAGAGAAATCCTTCAGACTCCAGTACAGTGTCTGCTGTACTGATCCCTAGGTCTTAGATGCAAAATTGATATGCCTCTTTTTAGCTTTATATTATGTTGTTGTTATATCCACATCCTCTGCGTGTCACTTACTTTGGCCATGTCATGCAGGGAAATTCACTGGAGAAAGCAATTATGTTTGGAAGAGTTAACAGTAAAAGGAAACCAGGCTGCCCAAGAACACGGTGAATGGACACCATCAAAAGTGACACCACCCAGAGCATAAAACAATTCAAAGAAGTGGTGCAAGATTGGAAGATGTGGAGAGACCTTGGCCGACAGAATTCCCAAGCGTCGGACACGACTGAATGGATAACAGCATCAGCATCATCATCCACATCCTATTTCCAAATTACAGGACCATATCTCGTCACTTTAGGGGAATTTGAGGGAAAAACAACTGTACTTGTGCTATTTCAAAACAGCCTTTCAAAAGCCATTTCATTTTAAATTCAAATAAAGGGATAATGCAGAAACAGGAAATTAGGAATACTAAGAAAGGATATTTTTCACATCTGATATACAGAAGAGGAATTCCAGACTGGACAGAGAAATGAAAAAACAGATTCCTAATTGTGCACATACAATTGTACATGCAAACTTACTCATTCCAGTCTTTAATAATTGTTAACCTATCTTTACAAAAGACATAAAGATATGTCTTATTTCCTTCTTATGATGGCCTGACAGGCTTAACAGAGGGAAAAAAAATTTTTCTTCAATACAGGTAATCCTCAGCTTACAACAGTTCACTTAGTGATCTTAGTGTAAGCCGCCCTGCATCTCCGGAGAAGGGCAGCATATAAATCGAACCAATAAATAAATAAATAAATAAAATCGTTCTAAGTCACAATGGCACTGAAAAAAAGTGACATACTGTTTTTCACACTTACAATGGCTTCAGTACAATACTGAACAGGAATATTTTTTTAAAATTATTTTTTATTAAACATTTTTTTAAAAAACAAAAAGAGAACTTTTAACAATTTTTCCTTTTCAACAGTTTTGCATCAGTAAAAAATTTCTTACATTTTTCCTCCCTTATTCTAATGTATCTTTTGTACGTATACTTCTAATATTTAGTTATTTACATATATACATATAAATACCCGTGTACACAATTTCATTTCTAGTTTTTGTTTCCTCATATTTGTTATTGTACTTCTACTCCTATTTCAACCATTATTTAATTTTTCCTTGCCTTTTATCTCTCTCCTCCAGCCATTCATACATTTCTAATTAATTAATTAATTAATATTCTGTTTCCTCTTTTTCTTGTATCTCCTTTGTAAGTTTATCCATTTCCGCACATTCCAGAATTTTTCTGATCAAATTATCTTCGGTTGGTATAACCAAACCCTATCCCTTCAAGCCCTGAAGATGTTACTTAGTTGGGTAACAAAATGTCTGCAAGAAAACAACTAAGTTCAGAGAGAACTAAAGAATCGATCATAGTCTGTCTCTCTCCTTCCTTCCTTCCTTCCTTCCTTCCTTCCTTCCTTCCTTCCTTCCTTCCTTCCTTCCTTCCTTCCTTCCTTCCTTCCTTCCCTTCCCTTCCCTTCCCTTCCCTTCCCTTCCCTTCCCTTCATCCTTCTTTTCCATTCCCACCATCCATCTTAAAGCAGTAACTCTGGGTGGCAAACAATCATAAAAACAATCAAAACAGTTAAAAGATAATACAAAAAAGAAATTAAATACAATTAAAAGCCAAGAGATATTATAATGCATCAGTATCAACACGCCCAGGGAATGGAGCCCTTCACACACATGGGAGCTGAGGCCCGGACACGCAGCCTGGTCTTCAAGGCCTTCTGAACGGCCAGCAGAGTCAGGGCCATCCTAACCTGAGGAGAGGATGATTCTAAGTGTGCATCAAAATAATTATATCAAGGTGTCCAACTTTGGCAACTTTAAAGCTTGTGAACTTCAACTCCCAGAATTCCACAGTTGTCTGGCTGAAGAATTCTGGGAGTTGAATAGAATAGAATAGAATTCTTTATTGGCCAAGTGTGATTGGACACACAAGGAATTTGTCTTGGTGCATACGCTCTCGGAGTACATAAAAGAAAAGATACGTTCGTCAAGAATCATAAGGTACAACACTTAATGATAGTCTTAGGGAAACAGTCAATATAAATCGTAAGGATACAAGCAACAAGGTTACAGTCATACAGTCATAAGTGATGGGAACGATGAGAAGATTAATAGTAGTGCAGGCTTAGTAAATAGCTTGACAGTGTTGAGGGAATTATTTGTTTAGCAGAGTGATGGCATTTGGGAAAAAACTGTCCTTGTGTCTAGTTGTTCTGGTGTGCAGAGCTCTATAGCGTCATTTTGAGGGTAGGAGTTGAAACAGTTTATGTCCAGGATGCGAGGAGTCTGTAGATATTTTCCCAGCCCTCTTTTTGACTCGTGCAGTATACAGGTCCTCCATGGAAGGCAAGTTGGTAGCCACTGTTTTTTCTGCAGTTCTAACTATCCTCTGAAGTCGGTGTCTGTCTTGTTGGGTTGCAGAACCAACCCAACAAGTCCACAGGTTTTAAAGTTGCCAAGGTTGGACACACCTTTGATTAAATAATGCAATTATGACTAATGTTTGCTTAGGTAGAAGGACCAACCTCCCGAGAGGATCACTCTGGGCTGCTGTCCCTGTATAGAAGTACACATAATCTTAAATTACAACAGTTTGTTTAGTGATCCCTCGAAGTTACAACGGCACTGAAAAAGTGATTTATGACTGTTTTTCACACTTATAGCCATTGCGGTATCCCCATAGTCATCTGATCAAAATTCAGACACTTGGCAACTGACTCATAATTATGACGGTTGCAGTGTCCCGGGGTCATGTAATCCCCTTTTGCAAACTTCTGACTTTAAGCAAAGTCAATGGGGAGGCAAGATTCACTTAATAACCATATTACTAACTTAACACCTGCAGTGATTCCCTTGAGAACTGTGGAAGAGAGGTCCTAAAATGGAGCAAAACCCGTTTAACAAATGTCTCACTTAGCAACAGAAATGTTGGGCATAACTGTGATCGTACGTCGAGGACTATCTGTATTTTGAACTTCTATAGTTAATTAAGTTTTGGATCTGTTTTGCCACCAGAATTTAGCTGTTTTGCAATCCCTTGTGGGAGGGCAATGTGTCTTATGGTTCTTTCCACCACATAAACCATAATGCCCTGGACCTAACAGAATACTGACAGAGTTCAGCTTACTCTAAAAACAGTTGGAGAGGCACTTACTCTGCAGAAGGTGGAAGTTCTCTGGCTTCTCCGTGGTGAGGGCTACCACCACAGTCACCATCGAGTCATAGTCCCCGGTCTTCTTGTATGCGACGAGTGCTGACCTGAAGGTATTATAGGCTGTTTTGTCCAGCGCCCTCTTGAGTTCATTTACATAGGCCGACAGGTAGGTCTCTTTCTCGTCCTTCTTTGTGGTACTGAATGAACTTCTTGGGGCGACATCAGACACCTTGGCACTGCTTTCTCCTGAGACACAACACACAACACGGTGGGGAAACACAAATGACTCATCTGCATGTTCTGTGGCTACGTCTCAGAAATACAGGTGGTTGGTCCTCGATTTACAACAGTTCACTTAGTGACTGAAGTGACAGCGGCACTGGAAAAAAGTGACTTATGGCCTTTTTTCACACTTACGACCATTGCAGCACCCCCATGGTCACGTGATCAAAATTAAACTGACTCATATTTATCATGGTTGCAGTATCCTGCGATCCCCTTTTGCGGCCTTCTGACAAGCAAAGTCAAGGGGGAAGCCAGATTTATTTCATAACCGTGTTACTAACTTAACAGCTGCCAGCGGTTCGCGTAACCACTGTGGCCAGAAAGGTCGTAAAATGGGTCAAAACTCACTTAACAATGGTCTCAGTTAGCAATGGAAATTTTGGGCTCAGTTGTGGTTGTAAGTAGAGGACTACCTATAATTGAACTCTGAACACAGGTAGTCTTTGACTTACAACCTTTTGTTCAGTTGATCGTTTGAAGTTACAACGGAACTGAAAGAGTGACTTATGACTGTTTTTCACACTTACAACCTTTGCAGCATCCCCAGGGTCAGGTGATCAAGTCAGAGGCTTAGCAACTAGTATGCATTTATGATGGTAGGAATGACCCGCAGTTACGTGATTCCCTTTTGCAACCTTCTGACAAGCAAAGTCAACGAGGAAGCCAGATTCACTTTACAATTGTGTTACTAACTTAACTGCAGTGATTCCCCTTAACGACTGTGGCCAGAAAGGTTATAAAATAGGGCAAAAGTCACTTAACAACTGTCTTGCTTAGCAACCTGGGCTCAATTGTGCTTGTTAGCTGAGAACCACCTGTAAAGCGTTCTTGATGTGGTATGGCTGGTAAGGGAGCATTGACCCTTTTGAACTCTGGTGTGGGAGGAGACTTCTAAGGATGCTACCGATAATTAAAAACAAACGAACAAATGACTCCTCAAACAAAGCAAAGTTCTATGTTCTTGCTGGAGGTGCAAATACCCAGACTAAAATTATCACGTCAAATTATTACTCTGGACTGAGGTCTCTGGAGAAGGCTCTGATGCTGGGCAAGGTGGAAGCAAAGAAGAAAAGGAGAATTGGCCAGAAGATGGGCTTGAATATAGCACTGATGGATGCACTGTTAGAGACCTACTTGATGGCACATAATCAATTAATCATGATTCCAGGTGTGGTCTTCGCTAACTTTAACCCAAGTATATCAGGGGTCAACAAACCTAGCAGCTTTAAGGCTTGTGGACTTCAATTCTCAGAATTCCCCAGCCAGCACAGCTACATTTGGAGACCCCTAATATACTTGGGTTAAAGTAAATGACGGACACACCTGGAATCCCGCTAGTAATCCATGCAGCTCATAGAGCAGAGATGTCATAGGAGGAAAGTAAGGAATGCCTATCATTGCATGGCTGCGTTTTGGACCAGTTTAGCTCGCTGATGGTCTTCAAGGTTAGCCCCATATAGAGCATGATGCAGTAATCCAAGCTGATCCTCAATCTTTTGATTTCTAAACTAGACTATTACCTAATAGCAGTTTTCCCTGGTGTAATTGTCAACTCTCCATGATTGCCTCCAGAACTGTAGATGCTCCAACACTGGAAGTTTTTAAGAAGAGACTTGGATAACCATTTGTCTGAAGTAGTGTAGGGTTTCCTGCCTAAGCAGGGGGTTGGACTAGAAGACTTCCAAGGTCCCTTCCAACTCTGTTATTCTAATCTATTCTATCTGCTTTGATTCCCTATTAAATTATGTCGAAAAGCACATATTCTAGCTGTATGACTTTGGGCCAATCCACCAGGAGACGGTGAGTTCTAGTCCTACCTTAGGCATGAAAGCCGGCTGGGTGACTTTGGGCCAGTCACTCTCTCTCAACCCAACCCACCTCACCGGGTTGCTGTTTAGGAAAACAGGAGGAGGAAAGTGTATAATGCCTGTTTTGCTACCTTGACTTACCTACAAAGGAATAAAGGTGGAATAAAAATCTAATAAATAAATAAATATTCTTGCTGTGCGGTATGTCAAACCCAATGGAATTAGGCAAGATTGAGGAAACAAAAACTTTACAGATTTGAGAAATGAACGAAATGTTGAAATTTTATTTCTTTTGAGTTTCCCTTTATTCCTGCCATTGGTCTCCTTGGAAAACCCAGACTTGCATTACTTAAGATCCTCTTCAACAGCTTTATTGTTTTCTCCAGATTGTTGCACATCCTCAGGAGTGTTTTTCAAAGGACAAACCAGGATATAAAGGGGGTAAATTTCCCCATTGTTAAAGCATGTGCAATGCTTACTGAGAAACAGACTCGCCCTCTTGCACTAATAAACCAGAAGTGAGAACAATGATTATTGCTCCAAGCCACGTATGTCACGGTTGTTCATCCAAATTCAAAGTAAGGGAAACATTTCCTTTCCACCTAAAAAAATTATAATTCTTTTTTTTTTTTTTGAAGTCCAAACTGGGTGACTAATGTGCAGCAGAGCAATTACAAAGATTCTTTCCCTGGGGCATAAGTATTCAAAAGAGGATTTAAGAATTTCCCTCTTTCTCCCAATTCAAAACTGCATTTGGTTTCATCCGTGTGAGTAGGTGATTGAATTCAGTTTTAATGATGAGCTGGAAACGAAAAATTCCCCACAGGTGTTATCAGGAACTTTATTTAAAGCATACCTTTCACATTTAAATCAGCCGTCAGGTGGGATCCGCCTTTGTTTAAATGCTGCATGGAATTAAGCTGTTTAGTGGAATCTTCCATAAAAGTAATTTTCTTTCCATAGTCCTGTCCTAAAATCAAAGAAAATCAGAAAGAGATACTGGCTTTATTAGCATAGTGGTCCCCAATCTTTCCAGCTTGTAGGGGAGGCGTGTTAGTGGCAGGCGCACATGCACCACTCCATTTGTGCGAGTGGCAGGCACAGGTGCCTTTCACTTGTGCAAATGGAGCTTCGCACGTGAGCAGAGGGTGCTTGCACTTATGAATGAAGCTCCACTTGGTTGCCCATCTCTCCCATGGCCTGGGAGAGTCCAGGACGCAGCCCAGGAATTGGGGACCCCTGAATTACCAGCAAAAATAACAAACGTATCAGAACACCAAATGTGATAAAACCCACCCAAGAAATAATTCTATTAACTGGCGGCAGCAAGGCCATATTCCCTTGACAAGAAAGGCAATAGATATTTTTTTAAGTAAATAGAAATAGTCTTATTGGTTTATTATTATTTACTAAATTTATATGTCGATCATCTCGCTAATAAGCAAATCTGGGCTGTTTATAGTATCATAAATAACAGTACAGGTAGTCCTCAACTTAGAGCTACAATTGAGCCCAACATTTCTGTTGCTAAGTAAGACAGTTTTTAAATGAGTTTTGCCCCATTCTACAACCTTTCCTGCCATAGCTGTTAAGTGAATTACTGCAGTTGTTAAGTTAGTAACACGGTTGTTAAGTGAATCTGGCTTCCCCATTGATTTTGCTTGTTAGAAAGTCGCATGAGGTGATCACGTGACTCAGGGACACTGCAACCGTCATAAATATGAGACAGTTGCCAAGCGTCTGAATTTTGATCACGTGTCACTTTTTTCAGGGCCATTGTAACTTCAGCCGGTCACTAAACAAATGGTTGTAAATTGAGGACTACCTGCATAAAAATTGAAAATGTTAAACTTTAAGCATTAAAGTTATAGCATTAACAAAAAAACATTTATTGAGAGCAGCCGACAGCAGGTGGGAAGGGAAGTTCCTGGGAAGATTCAAAACTTAAATCCAGGGACTTTATCAGTTACTGATGAAGAAAACGGGCAAAGAACCCTAGACATTTTTCTTTGTTAAGGCGGATTTGCTTTGTTTTGAGAGAGCTTGAAAGAAAAGCCTCTACAAAAACAAAACAGGCTGGAAGAGGACGCTCTGTTCTGGCGAGGGCATTGTTATTTTTCCTGGGAAAGGGGTGGCTTCTACGAAAAATACATTTCAATGCCGGCGGAGCTGCCAGCTGCTTAAAGACGGCCTCACCTGCATTTTCAGCTAATAACAATCTATCTTCTTGCAGCAGGCTGTGCTCGGGTTTGTATCCGCAACCGACGCCGGTAAGGGAACGGCAAGCTTCGTCAAATTGCTTTTTGTGCTGAGGCCGAATAAATTGGTAAAACTCTGGCAAATATTTTTTTAAAAAAAGAAGAAGAAGGGGGAAAGATGATGATAGCAGTTAACAAGGTCAAATGCTGTCCTGTTTCTCCCCAAATGCAGTGTGTATTTTAGTCTGTGCAAATCCAGCACTGTGGTGCGTCAATCATTGGTTAATGATCCAGTGTCTATCACACCTGCCACAATGTACACCTCTAAATAGAAGCAACTCTTGGCTCCATTTGCTGAGAAAGGTATAGTTTATTAGAAATCAAAGGTATTGCAGTATTGCAAAGCCAGAACTGAGAATCACAGCCCAAATCCATAAGTTCTACTTTTCTATTCCTTAACTGTCTCTCATTGCCCAACCCGATGTAACCAATCAGGTTCAGGCAAGGTGTTTTCCTAACGGTCAGTCCAAGCAAGCAGTTTGGTATGCAGCCCCCTCTTCCTTCCAGCTGGGTGACCTTGAGGCAGTGTCTAGAGAAGGCACAGCACTTACTTTCGTTTTCCCAAGCATTCCCACCCCGCTTCATGGCAGTCTGTCACCGCATAGCAGCAAAGCATAAGTGAGCACAAGGTGGCAGCTGACAGCGTAGGAGTGGGCTATCTGCCAGAAGATTCCCCCCTGCCCCCTCCACTTCTACATCTTAAGACTGTGCTGCCAAAATGGACAAAACAATGATTTTCAACAGTATTGGAGGTATCTTCAGGCTCTGCAAAGAGAATTTAAATCACCAAGAAAGCCAGTTTGGTGTGGTAGTGAAGATGCGGAGTTAGATGGTGAGTTCTAGTCCTGCTTAGGCATGAAAATTGGCTGGGTGACTGAGCCAATCAACAGGAGACGATGAGTTCTAGTCCTATCTTAAGCATGAAATACAGCTGAGAATCTTTGAGCCAGTCACTCTCAAAGGGTGACTGTGGGAAAAGTAGGAACAAGAGTAATAGATACGTTCATTGTCTTGGAATATAGTGTTTATATCTGTGAGTGTGTTTATCATATATTGATATTTCTTAATATATTAATATTATATAGATAAAACTAAGAAATAACAAATGCCTACAAAGCCAGAATTGAGAGGAAAGCAAAAGATCGCAAATGCCATTGCTACAAAGAAGCTGAAGAAATTGGATTTCCTAGTTCCTTTTTTCCTACTGCAACTATGTCGCACAGACTTACTACAAAAAAGTGGCATGACAAAGTAGTAACAATGGTACACACTGGAAGATCTGCAAGAAATACCAGTTGCCTGCAAGCAAGAACTGGTGGAACCCCAAAATAGAGAAAAATGAAGAAGCCAAATTGTTCTGGGACTTTAGTATTCAAACAGACAAGCCCCTGCTACATAACACGCAGGTCTTAACTGTCAATAAGAAAGATAAAAAAAGACTGGATAGCGGACGTGGCAATACCTAAAGACAGCAGAAGAGAAGAAAAAGAACTGGAGACAATCACAAAATACAAAGACCTGCGAAGAGAAGTAAAATGACTGTGGCAAAAGAAAGCAAAGCTAATACCAATAGTCATAGGCACTTTTGGGTGCAATCCCAAAACATCTGGAGCACCACTGGAACACCATTGGCATGAGAAAATCCCCATCAGTCAATTGCAAAAGGCAGCTTTACTTGGAACAGCTGACATCCTACAATGATACCTTTAATACCATCAAACATATCTGCCTATCCCAGGTCCTTGGGAAGGACTTGATAGGTGTATAAAAAGGCCAAATGTAGTTCAAACATCTGGATGACTGTGCAATCAACCATAATAATAGCCACATGTACTGTACATGTTACAGTACATGTCTCCTCTGTTACGAATCATAATTCCTAATACTGTACCTACAGATGCAAATGCAATCAGCAGAAGGAAGCCTTTTGAACTGTATTAAAAAATATAATCAAAGAGTTAATCAAAGTATTAACAAAAGGAATTCAAGTCCCATTTAATTCCTCGTTGGTATTCATACATACTATTGGTACAAGAGAAACCTGGGCACTTCAAATACCTCGCATGAGGACGTGGGTGTTTTGATCTTCTAAGAAAAGTCCACTCAACTGAAATAACATAGCATTGAAATCGTGTTTTCTTTTGTACTGGCGGAGGGCTTCTGAAAATACATCAAAATTTAGCTGGCTCAGAGATTTCCTCACTTCTGCAATAAAAGTGACGGCTCTGCCCATCTTGGGCTCCGAAGAATCGGGTACCTCGTTAGTTTGCTGTAAAGTTAAAAAAAAAAGATTATTTTTCTCTCTCTCCATATGCCCAGATATTTTAGCCATCTTAATTTCAACTATCGTTTTTTCCTTCCCTTTAGATATCTTTACTGTCTAAATCCCCTCCAAATATTTCCCAGAATGAATTTCAGGGCCTCAATAGCTACTGTACTTATTCTGTTTTGTTTTGTTTTATTTGTCTCCCACGATTATTATTTTTACAAATAACTCAAGGGAGTGAACATACGAAATATACCTTCCTCCTCCTATTTTCCTCACAACAGCCCAGTGAGGTGGGTTGGGCTGAGAGAGATTCACCCAAAGACACCCAGCGGGATATCATACTTTCAAGACGGGACTAGAACTCATGCTCTTCTGGTGATTGGTTCAAAGTAACCCAGCTGGTTTTCATGCCTAAGCAGAACTAGAACTCCCAGTCACCTGGTGATTGTCCCAAAGTCACCCAGCCAGCTTCCATGTCTATAGCGGGACTAGAACTCATGGTCTCCCACTTTCTAGCCTGGTGCATTAGCCAATAGATCAAACTGGCCATTTATTTATTTATTTATTTATTTATTTATTTATTTATTTATTTATTTATTTATTTATTTATTTATTTATTTATTTATTTATTATTTATTTATTTATTTATTTATTTATTTATTTATTTATTTATTTATTTTATGTATTTAAATTTCTATACCGCCCTACTCCCGAAGGACTCAGGGCGGTGAATAGCCACAGGATAAAACACATAAATACAAAAATTTAAAATAGAATAAAAATGAATTAAATAATTTGGCTGAATTTAAAATACCCCATAATTTAAAAACAAATTAAAATTTACATTTAAAAAGGGGAGAAGATTTAGGCCAGGCCAGCTTGATGAAATAAAAAAATCTTAAGCGCGCGACGGAAGGTGCGCAGATCCGGGATCCTCTGTATCTCCGGGGGGAGCTCGTTCCAGATCGTAGGTGACCCCACAGAGAAGGTCCTCCCCCTAGGGGCCGCCAGTCAACATTGTTTGGCCGATGGCACCCGGGGGAGCCCCTCTCTATGGGAGCGTACTGGCCGGTGGGAGGCTATTGGTGGTAGAAGGCAGTCCCGTAGATAACCAGGTCCTAAGCCATGAAGCGCTTTAAAGGTGATAACCAGAACCTTGAAGCACACTCGGAAGACCACCGGGAGCCAGTGCAGCTCGCGCAGGAGGGGTGTTACATGGGAACTCCACGTCGCTCCCATAACCACCCGTGCAGCCGCACTCTGCGCCAGTTGGAGCCTCCGAGTGCACCTCAAGGGGAGCCCCATGTAGAGAGCGTTACAATAGTCCAGACAAGAGGTGACGAGGGCATGAGTGACTGTGTGTAGAGTCCCGATCTAGAAAGGGACGCAACTGGAGGATTAGGCGAACCTGATGAAAAATCCTCCCGGTCACGGCCGTCAAGTGCTCTTCTAGAGACAGCCGTGAATCCAGGAGGACGCCCAAGTTGCGAGCCCTCTCTGTGGGGGCCAATGATTCGCCCCCAATAGTCAGCGATGGCACCAGCTGACTATATCGGGACGTCGGAAACCACAGCCACTCAGTCTTGAATGGGTTGAGCCTGAGCCTGTTTCTCCCCATCCAGATCCGTACGGCCTCCAGGCACTGGGACATCACTTCAAGGGCATTAATTTATGTCTTACACCCTAGTAAATATTTTAAATGTTATCCTTAGTTGTAATCTTCTTGAGGCATCTGTATTCTGTGAATAATGCCTAGTTAAGACTTGAAAAAGCAAGAAACTTGAGAAATGTTTTGAGCTCTTTCTCTTTGATAAGGTATTTTAATGAATCTACTTGAGGTTGCTTTTTCCTTAAGGCCCAAAATAGTTTCTTGTAGATGCAAACAGACAAGATTATTAGGAAACGCTATACTGAAGTAAATATAATTAGTTCAAGTAAATGAAAGGAACACTTGGTCCTTCAATTCAAGCTTGTCTAATCATGCCAACTGTGATTCTCCTGAAATTCACCAAGAAAAAGTTGCTCATGCCCATCAGTTTTTGCCTGGTCTGGTTTCTTTTTACTTTTCTAATGGGCAGTCCTGAGACAATACATGTACAGGTAGTCCTCGATTTACAACCACAATGAAGCCCAAAATTGATGCTGCTAAGCATCAATTTTGCTGAGCACATTGTAAGCCGCCCTGAATCTTCGGAGAAGGGCGGCATATAAATCAAATTAAAAAAAAAAAAGCAAGCAAGAAAGTTAAGTGAATCACTGCAGCAGTTAAATTAGCAACACAGTTGTTAAATGAATCTGGTCTCCCCATTGTTTTTGCTTGTCAGAAGGTCGCAAAAGGGGATCACATGACCTTGGGGTACTGCCAGTTGCCAAGAGTCCAAATTTGGATCACACGACCGTTTGGATCACATGACCATAGGGTCATGTGAAAAGTGGTCGTGTCATTTTTTTCAGTGCTGTTGTAACTTCAAATGGTCACTAAATGAGTGGTGGTTAAGTCAAACATGCTCAGCTTCCCAGACACATCTGTTTTTCCTTGCGATTATCACTGATAGTTAAATCTTGGTGTGCCAACAGGCGGCAGTGAGATTTCACAGACCATCCTACTGCCTGACTATATGTATGACTTCTCGGATTGTCAAAAAGAGAGGGTGATATTTATTCATTAGATTTATATCCCGCTGCCATTATAAAGTCTCTGGAGCTCACAAAAGAGAATTATAACATAATGCTGAGGTGGCGCAGTGGTTAGGGTGCAGTATTGCAGCTACTTCAGCTGACTGCTAGTTCAGCAGATCAGCGGATCAAATCTCACCAGGGCTCAAGGTTGACTCAGCCTTCCATCCTTCCGAGGTGGGTAAAATGAGGACCCAGATTGTTAGGGGGCAATATGCTATTTAGTATACTGTCTTTGGTGTAAGCCGCCCAGAGTCCTCGGAGAGTGGGCGGCATAGAAATATGACTAATAAAATAAAATAAATAAATAAATAATGCTATATTAAAAGACCCAAATAGTGCCTCTAGGTTAACCCCCCCCCTCAACCCCTGCGAAATCTCTCTGGAAAAACTCCATTTTTGGTCAGGCACAAGCAACCAGATGCACAGACCATCAATATTCTATTTTATAGCTCCTGCCTATTTCACAGGAATCTTCGCAGACTGGCAGTTTTCACTTGGGCCAGATTGGATAAACTTCAATGGCGTGTGTGTGTGTGTGTGTGTGTGTGTGTGTGTGTGTGTGTGTGTGTGTGTGTGTGAAGCCTTGCTGTTTTATGCTCACATAATGATTCCAAACTAATTTCTCGCTTGACTCTTCCCCCTGGCTTGGACCGTCTCTGTTTGACAATTTTCATCTGTTTTTGGAAAACAAGTACCGTCCCACAGGAGGCCATTCCAGAGAAACAGCCCCATTATAGAAAAAAATCCCTCTGGACTTCAGCACTCCTGACCTCCCAAAAAGTAGGAGAGTGAAGTCTTTGGTGCTCTCTGAGTTTGGTTGTTTTCTTACAGATGTTTCATTACCCAACTAGGTAACCTCTTCAGCACTAGAAGGAAACACGGGGTGCAGACAAGAGGAGGAGGACTGTGGGTCCTTGTTGCCCTCTGAGCTTGGTTGTTTTCTTGCAGATGTTCCCTTACCCAATCGGGTAACATCATCAATGCTAGAAGGAGTTTGCTGTCTAATAGGAGATAGCCAGCTACCTCTCTTGGCATAAACCAGGTAAACTCCAGAGCAAAGATGTGGTCCTACAGGGAATTCAGTGCCAAGTCATTAAGAACCCTTCTAAGTTAAAGACAGCACTTTACAGTAATCCTCGACGACCAACCACAATTCAGCCCAAAATTTCTGTTGCTAAGTGAGACATTTGTTAAGTGAGTTTGGCCCCACAGTTGTTAAGTGAATCACTGCACTTGTTAAATTAGTAACATAGTTGTTAAGTGAGTCTGGCTTCCCCATTGACTTTGCTTGTCGGAAGGTACAAAAGGGAATCACATGACCCCGGGACACTCCAATCGTCCTAAATATGAGTCAGTTGCCAAGCATCTGAAAGTTGATCACATGACCTTGGGAATGCTGCAATGGTTGTAACTGTGAAAAATGGTCATAAGCCACTTTTTTCAGTGATGTTTTAACTTCTAACTGCCACTAAGTGAACTGTTTTAAGTCGAGGATTACCTGTAATTGCATTTGGAAGCTAATGCCAAGCCAATGGCAAGCCTACAAAGTAGGATTAATCTACGCCAACCAGCAAGACCGCATGAGCATCCGTGACACTCCGTCTTGAACCAACGGAAGTGTGCTTCAAAAACCATGTACAGTGCACTGCAGTGGCCTTACTGGTTCATCAGTAGTGGAATGGCTTGCCTTCAGAAGCTGTGGGTGCTCAATCACTGGGCAGTGCGTGTGTGTGTGTGTGTGTGTGTGTGTGTGTGTTAAAGAAGACAGTAGAGAGCATTTATCTGAAATGATATAGGGCAGTGTTTCTCAACCTTGGAAGCTTGAAGATGGGTGGACTTCAAACTCGATTTTATTCTGGGCCCTCGGGGGGGGCCAGAATCCAGCTGGGGGATTCTGGGAGTTTAAGTCCACCCATCTTCAAGCTACCAAGGTTGAGAAAGACTGGTATAGGGCAGGGGTGTCAAACTCAAGGCCTGGGGGACGGATCCGGCCTGCGAGGTGCTTAGATCTGGCCCGTGGGGCTGCCCTGGAAACAGTGAAGGACCGGCCCGTGGTATATTTGCCAGCAAAAATGGAGCTCGCAAGGGCCGCGGGCAGCCCTCCCAAGCTCTGTTTTTACTGGCAGAGGGTTGCAGGAGGCCATCGCAGGTGAAAACGGAGCTCGGAAGCCTGATTTCACTGGCAGAGCGCTAGGGCCACCATAGGTGCTCCGACACGAGTGACGTTGAGCTGGCCATGCCCACCCTGACCACGCCCTTCCCACCCCCCGAGGTCAAACACAACCCTGATGCGGCCCTCAATAAAATCGAGTTTGACACCCGTGGTATAGGGTCTTCTGCTTGAACAGAGGTTTGGAGTAGAAAACCTCTGAGGTTCCTTCCAACTTTGGTATTCTGTTCTGGGTGGCAATGAGGGCATGAATCACTGTACAAGTAGTTCTTGACTTGCAACAGTTCGTTTAGTGACGATTCGAAGTTACAAGAGCACTGAAAAAGGTGACTTATAATCATTTTTAATATTTGCAAACCATTGCAGCATTCCCATGGTCACATGATCCAAATTCAGATGCTTGGCATGAGTCACATTTATGACAGTTACAATACATGAAACGTCCTGGGTTCATGGGATGACCTTTTGCGACCTTCTGACAAGCAAAATCAATGGGGAAGCCAGATTGACTTAACCACGTGATTCACTTGACAGCAAAATGCAATTAACACCCATATTTGGCTTACAAATAGATGTTCTTCTATCAAAGAGTTCAATTATTCTAAATTATTAATAGACACAGCGAATGAAGTGGAGAGATGGCGGCATATTCAGATCTCATTTTTGGGTAGAATTGCTGTGATAAAAGCCCATGTTTTACCGAAATGGATCTTTTTATTTCAAACGGCTCCTGCAAGATTGGATAAATTTTTTTTTTAGGAAATTAGACCAAATTCTAAGTAAATTTATTTGGCAGAGTAAAAAACCCCGTATAAAAAGAAAAATGCTGCAAGAGCACAAAACAAGGGGTGGCTTGGGGTTCCCTATGTGGGAGCTTTATTACCAAGCTTCATCCCTGGTTTGGATAAAAGATTGGGTGATCCTCTCAAGAAAGCGCATTGAAGGATATGATTTGCAACAGGGATAGCATTCCTTCTTGTGATCTCAGAAAGACAAACAATCCAAATATTTTACAAATCATTATATTAGAGGAATTTTATTAAGGGTTTGGGAAATGGTGAAGAAGCAAGTTTACACACAGATTCCTAAATGGGTGTCTCTGTTAGAGGCAGTGACCCTTCCAACTGTGCACAACACAAAGAGGAACTGGGTTTATGGTGACTTGTTGGATGAAGTCGGGAGACTTAGACCAAAGCCGATCTCCAAACTAGAGGATTAGATATAGATTGGTGGTCCTATGCGAAAATTCAAACTAGATTCGCTAGGGATAAACAGGAACATGGTATTTCCCTTCATTTACAAACTTTTGACAAGTTTCTCCTAAGGGGCCGAAGGAAATTTATTTCCAACGTTTACAATTTTCTTCTAACCAATTTTATGGTGGAGGAGATTGTAAAGTACACGATGATTGCCTGGGGGAGAAATATTGGAACAACAATTCAGCTTGATGCATGGCAAAATGTATGGAACAAAACTATGAAATTGACCCTTTCTTCCCCATTCAAAGAAAACTTTTATAAGATGATCTACCGTTGGTATCTCCCCCCCGCCAGAATCACTAAGATGTTCCCAGGATCCTCTGATAGATGTTGGAAATGTGGTTGGCCAAGGGTACTTTCTTCCATCAGTGGTGGATTTGTCCGTCGACTAGACGTTATTGGGGGAAAATACAGCAGTGGCTGCTGGGAATAACAGGTGTGAGCTTTTCCCTTCACCCAGACCTCTACTTATTTGGAATAAGACCGGACCACACTGACAACAAGGATTGGTACATATTTGTCCATGTCTCAACAGCGGCGAGAATGGCATTTGCCCAACTGTGGAAAGATGCAGATACGCCCCCTGACCCTCTGATAATAAATAAGATTCTTCGATGTGCTGAGATGGACAGGTTAAGATATATATTAAAAGATAAGAAAGACTTAATATATAATAAAAGTTGGGACAGATGCTTTGTCTGGCTTAAAAAATGGTTAAACCTAGGGTGATAAGATCGTCTTATTAGATTAAATAGATACTTAATAGGCTATATAATTCTTTATAATTTTGGAAAAAACAGGCCAATTGTTTTGTAGATAATTAAAAGAACTTGATTGTATTGAAATGTCTGGTTAGGATGATATTAGTTAATATTAATTGGAGAGTGAGTTTAACTCTCGGTTAGTCATGTTTGTTGTTTCGTTTTAGTCTTGTGCTTATGTGTTCCTACATTTCATTTCTTATATTGTTTTCCAATCATTATTATGTGTTAATTTTACTGTAAATATTTAATAAAGATATTTTTAAAAAAATGCAATTAACACCCATTGTTAAGGCCAGAACACACAGTTATAAGTTATTAGTTGGATAGAAAGTGCTGACACACGCACGATGCAATCTAGGCTATGATTGGTTGCTGTAAATGTAAAAGGGGAGTTTCTCTTTCCCCCCCACCTCCATGTGTACTGTATACAGGTAGTCCTCGATTTACAACAGTTCATTTAGCAACCATTCAAAGTTACAAGAGCACTGAAAAGAGACTTATGACCGTTTTTCAGAGTTATGACCTTTGCAGCAACCCCATGATCGTATGATCAAAATCCAGATGCTTGACAACTGGTTCATATTTATGACCGTTGCTGTGTCCCAAGGTCATGTGATCCCCCCTTTTGCAACCTTCGGACGAGCAAAGTCAATGAGGAAACCAAATTCACTTAACAACCAGATTAGTAATTTATCAACTGCAGTGATTCACTGTGGCAAGAAAGGTTGTAAAATGGGGCAAAATTCCCTTAACAAATGTCTCACTTAACACAGAAATTTTGGGCTCAGTTGGGATCGTAAGTCGAGGACTAGCTGTACTGCTTAGCTTACCTCCTGATAGTCCTCTGTTCCTGACTATCTTGTTCCTGACAGTTAGAACAATTAATAAGTGGAACAACTTGCCTCCAGAAATTGTGAATGCTCCAACACTGGAAATTTTTAAGAAGATGTTGGATAACCACTTGTCTGAAGTGGTGTAGGGTTTCCTGCCTGGGCAGGAGGTTGGACTAGAAGACCTCCAAGGTCCCTTCCAACTCTGTTATTCTATTCTATTCTATTCTATTCTGTTCTGTTCTGTTCTGTTCTGTTCTGTTGTTCTGTTCTAGTCTAGTCTAGTCTAGTCTAGTCTAGTCTATAATTCTATTCTATTCTATTCTATTCTATTCTATTCTATTCTATTCTATTCTTGTTTTTCTGGGTGCTGTAAACTTGAATGCTAAATATACTTATACCTATAAAAGACTGCAAATTTGTATTAAGTGTATCCAACTTCATCTGGACAGCTGCTGTGCGGTTCATTAACAACTGTCTTGTTTAGCAACATCAATTGTGGGTTCCATTGTGGCCGTTAAGTCTTTCAACCAAAGTAAGGCCATAACTGGCCCATCAACCAAACCTGGGCAAAACACCCCCTGGCCATGTCTTCTATCTGCTGATCTAGCAGGAGCGACAAGTCCAGGAGGATTCAATGCAATCCCATCCAGAGACCACACAGGATCATAAAGGATCACCAATGTACAAAAGCTGCAGCTGTTTTGTCCCTTCCAGACAGAATACACACATCACAGTGATGTCCAAACAATTGTCCTTAATTAGATCAACCAGACAAACACAGCTGCTGACGTACGTCACATGCTCATCATGTTTATTTGTAGCTTAGCATGTGCGGGGCCCCAATCTAACTCATCGCAATGTTCAATGTAGTGGGAGTGACGGCGATGAGGAATTTGTTTCAAGAATCCAACAAAACCACTACAAGAGAATTGTAGTTGCAGTGGAAATTTTTTTTTTTTTACTTAGTGCTGATGATCTCTCAAACTCTTGAAAGCACATGGAGTATTAAGACATAGAAATAGGCTATAAATAGTATATGCAGAAACCTAGCATGGAATATTTAGGGAGAGGCTAGGCAATCGTCATGTTTAAGAGGAAACAAAACTTGGCATACTTGTTTGTACAATCATTGTTTCCTACAGACAAGGGGGGGAAGGGGATGAAATGAGTACAGCAGCTTCGGAACACAGGTCGTCCTCAAGTTACGATCGCAATTGAGCCCAACGTTTCTGTCGCTAAGTAAGAGAGTTGTGAGTTTTGCCAGAGGAACTTTTTTGCTACAGCTGTTAAGTGAATCACTGCACTTGTTAAATTAGTAACGTGGATGTTAAGTGATTCTGACTTGACTTGGCTCGTCAGGTCGCAGAAGGGGATCACATGATCACAGGACACTGTCATAAATGTGAACATCTGAATTTTTGGTCGCGGGACCATGGGCACCTCTGATATAAAGATTAAAGGCTGGAGGAGGAAACTTTTCCTCCACAATAGGTCAAGAAGTTGTGTGAATGGGGCTCATCTGGTTATACATCCTTTTACAGCCCGATGCAAATGCCACCTACCATGCCGCTGACTATCTTGATTTTCTTCCTGCCGCTGCCTTTCTGTTGGTCCATCAGTTTTTTTTCATACTGAAGAGATAGAGTTGACAAACGCTTTGCCTATAAAAGGAACAAGGTTAAATGGCAAGGTCTTCCTTTTCTCTGGGGGGCGTTTGTGGTAGTAAAGGTAGCCACTCTTTCTAACATAATTTCAGGTGACCCCAAAAACTGACCTGTCACTAAATCCCACAATAGGTGAAGAAATCATTCAATTGGTGAGAAAACCCTTGAGGTGAAGAATGAAGCATTTACAATTGATTCTTTCTTTCTTTCTTTCTTTCTTTCTTTCTTTCTTTTCTTTCTTTCTCTTTCTCTCATTCATTCATTCATTCTTTATACAAGCAGTCCTCCACTTACGACCACAATTGAGCCCAAGATTTCTATTGCTAAACAAGATAATTGTGAAGTGAATTTTATCACATATTACGACATTCCTTGTCACACTGTCCTTGTCACACTGTCCACTGTCCTGTGAAAAATGGTCATGTCATTTTTTAATGCTGTTGTGTCTTCAGTCACTAAACAAACTGTTGTAAGAGCCTTGGTAGTACAGGGGTTTAAGGCACCCTGTTATTAAGCTGGTTATTAAGACCAGCTGCCTGCAATTACTGCAGGGTTCGAATCTTGCCAGGCTCAAGGTTGACTCAGCCTTCCATCCTTTCTAAGGTAGGTAAATTGAGGACCCAGTTTGTGGGGGCAATAAGCTGACTTTGTATAAATATACAAAAGAATGAAGGCTGTTGCTGAGCACATTGTAAGCCGCCCTGAGTCTTCGGAGAAGGGCGGCATATAAATCAAATTAAAAAAAAAAAAAAAAAAGTTGAGGACATCTTGTTTCAGAGTGACTCTGGGAGGCTTACCGCACAGTGTTTATAGTGCTTTATTCTTACTATATTCATATATGTTTTATTCTTTTTAACTTTGTAAGCCGCCCAGAGTCACCTTGTGGTTGAGATGGGTGGAAAATAAAATTTCATAAATAAAAAAAATAAAGCCTAAGTAGTGGAGATATTTAAGATAGAAACTCATGATTTGAGCAAGTGGGATTTCCCTCCTGAGAAATACATGCTGACACTCGAGGGCCAAAGAACAGTCAAATCACTTAAAAAAAAAAAAACCAAAACATTTGAGCGAGTACAGAAATTACTAGAAAGAAATCCAACTCAGAAAGAAAAAGAAAGCAGAGAGAAAAAACATAAGTGAATGTGCATATTGTGCACAGCAGAATGTGAAACAGAAAATTAAACATTTCTCAGCTAAGCTGTATGATTAGCAGTGGAGCCAAGAAGAGGTATTTGGGTGGGTTTTTTTAACCTCTTCTGCAAATGTTTTAATCCTTAATCAATTTTGTATAAATTCAAGGGAAAGCAACTCAACTCCTTTTAAACTCTAACATTAAATCACAATATTACCTTGGGCAGTGATGGCTAACCTTTTCGGCACTGAGTGCTGAAACTGGAGCGTGCACCGGAGCGCTGGAAGAGAGCAGCTGGCTGGTGCACATGCTCACGGCGGAACCTGAAAGAGCAGCTGGCAATGGTGGGCATACCCACAGAGAGGGCTCTGTGTGCCACTTCTGGCATGCGTGGCATACATTCACCATCATGGGCCTAGGAGTTCAGGATGCTCTTAAACATTTAGAAAGCTATTTCTGATGCTAAAATACAAGTAGTCCTCGGTTTACAACGGTTTACTTAGTGACAGTTTGAAGTTACAAAGACACTGAAAAAAGTGACTTATGACATTTTTCACACTTAAGACCACTGCAGCATCCCCATGGCTGCATGATTTATATTCCAATGCTTCACAACTGACTCACATTTATGACGGTTGCATGTCCCGGGGTCATGTGATCACCTTTTGCGACCTTTTGACAAGCAAAGTCAACAGGGAAACCAGATTCCCTTAGCAACCGTGCTACTAACTTAACAACTACAGTGATTCACTTAACAACTGTAGCAAGAAAGGTCATAAAATGGGGCAAAATTCACTTAACTGTATCAGTTAGCAAGAGAAAATTTGGGCTCAATTATGGTCATAAGTCAAGGACTACCTGTATAGAAGATTTTTTAAAAATGTATTTTATTTATTTATTTAGTGCAGCTTTTAGGTCTTTCCAAACTATAAACATTCCAAGGTAGTTTACAGTGAAATAAATATTCTACCATGCCTCATCCATCAATTTCAATAGTTTTAAAGGAGAAAAAGGCTGATAATGTCTGCCTTCCTTAATAGGTCAACTTCAGATAACCAAATAAACTGATGAAAGCAGTGCTAAATGGGGATTGCAGAAGCTTAAGTGCAACTTATCTGAAGAGAACTGTTTGTTTATGAAAGCTGACTTAACAGTTACCGGGAAGATTGCAATATTTCCGGGTATCCATTTTTTTGGCACTGAAAGCACGGAAGTTCAAGTAGGTTTCAGAAGCGGACAGATGACTAGACAAATTTTTAAAAAATTTCTCCACTACGCAGCAAGTGACGTTCCCAAACAACAGCCAGAGCCAATACTGAAAATCAGCAGGACAGACTTAGAAATTAATAATTAAGTTAACAATTTAGTTAATCCAGCTCTCTATCTATCATCCACCATCCATCCATCCATCCAGTGTGTCTGTCTATCTGCATCAATCTGTCTATCACCTATCTATCTAATCTGTTTCTCATCTATCTCTACCTATCTATCCATCTATCGACAATGTATCTTTCTACAGTATGTCTATCAATCTACAGTATCTATCTATCTACAGTATCTATCTATCTACAGTATGTTTGTATGTATGTATGTATGTATGTATCATATTTTTTTGAACTATAAGACACACCTGTATATAAGACGCACCAAGATTTCGAAGAGGTAAGTAAAAAAAAAAAGTTTTTGCCCTCCCTGGCCCTCAGGAGCACTCTGCAGGCCTCCCAAACCCTCTGCGCGGCCTGTTTTTTGCTATTTTTTGCCTGTTTTTGCAAAAAATGAGGCATGCAGAGGGTTTGGGAAGCCTGCAGAGTGCTCCTGGGGGCTGGGGGAGGGCAAAAACACTGTTTTTGTGAAAAACAGGCAAAAAACGGGCCTGTTTTTTGCAAAAATGGAACAAGTGGGGTGGAGTTTTGGGAGGCCAAAAATGGCTTCCTCTCTTTTAGGGGGAAAAAGGTGCATCTTATACTCCGAAAAATACGGTATCTATCTATCTATCTATCTATCTATCTATCTATCTATCTATCTATCATCTATCTATCTATCTAATCTACCTACCTACCTAGCTACCAACCTACCTACCTACCTACCTTTCTATCATCTGTCTGTCTACCTAACTAATTTTAAGATACTATCTAACTACCTATCACCTATCTATCTCTGTATGTCTGTCTGCTTGCCTATTTTTTAAAAGCCACTATCGATTTACCTATCACCTACCTATCTACCTATCTATATATCTGTCTGTCTGTCTATCTATTTAAGGTACCCTGGGCATCTTCCGAAAGAGCCTTTAAAGCCTGAATATCGTCATGAGAGAAGTAGTGGAAAATCAAAGGCAGAAGAAAGTTTATGTTTACTTCGCTGCCACCCACATCAAAGGAATTCTATAATAAAGGGGACCTAAATGAGCTCCGTCCAGTCCAGTCCATGTGCATACCGATTCCTCTCCCGGCAAGCATTTCTCCTCGTCTGTTTCATGGCAGCTTTTATCGTTGTGCTCCAGGGCATCCAAGAGGCCTCCAGGCTGCCTTCTGGAAGAGGATGGGCCCTGCCCATAAGCCACGCACACCCCGGCCTCTCTGTTATCTGAGACAAGAAACAGAAACAGAGCCTGGAAAAAAATGCATTTTGAACACTTTCTTTCTTTCCGTTCTACTAACGGATAGGAAGAGAAAAGAGGAGTGGTGCTAACTTGTCCAATACAGATAGTCCTCGACTTACAACATTCGGTTTAGTGACCATTCAAAGTGACAATGTCACTGAAAAAAGTGACTTATGGCTATTATTCACTTTTGCAGCATCCCCCATGGTCAGGTGATCAAAATTCATATTTTGACTCGTATTTATGACGGTTGCAGCGTCCCGCGGGGGGGGGGGGGGGGGGGTGTCACGCGATCTCCTTTTGCGACCTTCTGACAAGCCAAGTCCACGGGGAAGCCAGAGTCACTGAATAAGTACGTTACTAATTTAACAAGTGTGGCGATTCCCTTAAGAACCGTGGCCAGAAAAGCCGTAAGATGGCCCAAAACTCGCGTAACAAAGGTCTCCCTTAACAACATAAAAGTTGGGCTCAAGAGTGGTCCTAAGTCGAGGACTACCTGCGTGTTAAGATATTTAATTTAGTACCTGGAACATTATATTAATATATTAATGGGCCGGGACACAAAATTGTGGTTTTGATTGATTGGAGAGGGCGGGCTCCTGCATGAGGCAAGCTACGTTATGATTGGTTGGTGGGCAAGAAGAGGGAGTTTCCCCTTTTTCCCGCCTTTTTCTTCTGTGTGTGCGCGCGCGCGCATACTATGGATGCTCTTCTCTAATTTACCTCATGATGCAGTGATGTGCCTGATTATCTCATGTACTATAAATATTCTAGTTATATAGATATAAATAGATGTTAAATATATTTATATAAAGCTGCAAGTTCACGTCAGCGTCTCTGCACAATTCCCTGAGAGCAGATATTTGAAGAACTTTAGGATTAAGACTTTTCCCGTGTTATGACTAAGATTTCCTAAGAAAGCTATTTTTGTTTGCGTAAAGAGTTGATAAAATGTATGGCCAGTCAGAACCATTTGTTGCATTACTCAACCGATGTTTTTTTTTCCCTTGCATTTATACACTCGTGACCCTCAAAAGTTGCAACAGTGAACCACAAAAGTCACTAAGTCATTGGACCACAAATAAATTACATGAAAAACCAATGAAGGCAAAAACAATTATCTGTTGCCTTAGTCCAAGAGGTCCTCAAACTTGGCAGCTTTAAGACTTGTGGACTTCAACTCCCAGAATAGCTATGCTGGCTGGGGAATTCTGGGAGTTGAAGTCCACAAGTCTTAAAGCTGCCAAGTTTGAAGACCTCTGCCTTAGACTAATGGCGGTAGAATGACCATTTGCAGCCCACTGCTGAGCTGGGTACACAAGCAAGCAGTAGGCATTCCTTGAAAGCAGCACAATTGTGAGGTGTCCTGGGTTGTTTTCTCAGCTGGGTTGTTTTCTTGCAGACGTTTCATTACCCAACTGGGCAACCTCATCAGAAGAGAGGAGGGTTTGAGAGGGAGGAGGAGGAGGAGGAGGAGGAGGAACTAGGCAACCTCATCAGTGTTAGAAGGAAGGAGGGTTTGGAGGACGACGACTGTGGAGTCCTTGGTTCTCTCTGATCTGGGTTGTTTTCTTGCAGATGTTTCATTACCCAACTAGGCAACCTCATCAGAAGAGAGGAGGGTTTGAGGAGGAGGAGGAGGAACTAGGCAATCTCATCAGTGTTAGAAGGGAGGAGAGTTTGGAGGAGGAGGAGGACAACAACAACGACTGTGGGGTCCTTGGTCCTCTCTAAGCTGGGTTGTTTTCTTGCAGACGTTTCATTACCCAACTAGGCAACCTCATCAGAAGGGAGGAGGGTTTGAGGAGGAGGAGGAGGAGGAGGAGGAACTAGGCAACCTCATCAGTGTTAGAAGGGAGGGTTTGGAGGAGGAGGAGGAGGAGGAGGAGAAGGGAGGAGGGTTTGGAGAAGGAGGACGACGACGGTCCTCTCTGAGCTGGGTTGATTTCTTGCAGACGTTTCATTATCCAACTGGGCAACCCCGTTAGTGGTAGAAGGGGGTTTGTGGGGAGGAGCAGGAGGATTGTAAGGTCCTCGGTCCTTTCTTAGGTTGTTTGTTTTCTTGTTAGACGTTTCATTATCCAACTAAGTAACATCATCAGTGCTAGAAGGGAGTGGGATTTGAACTGATGATAATACCCAGTTGGGTGATGAAATGTCTTCAAGAAAACAACCAAGCTCAGAGATCACCAAGGACCCCTCATGTCAACCCTAAGGTACAAGTATTCTCGTTTATTGGTAGCAAAATTACGAGGCATGCAAATGGAACGATTTGGTGTAAACCGTGTACAATTTGCACAAGTCCACAACATAAATTAATGGGGATTAAAACCAGGAATGTTTCATCTGTTCCAGGATGTCTCAGAACATGAAAGACTGAATTATCCATGAATAAAAATGGCGAATGAAACAGCTGGATCAAGCCAACAAGCATTTACCTTGAAACTGTGCCTCATGCAATGTCATCGTTATACTGGACATTACATAAGTCAACATTTGCATGTCAGCATCTGTATCCTGTATAAATGTTTGCAACATTTATTTCTTTTGTTAGATTTTTATCTTGCTTTTATTACTTTTATAAGGAACTCAAGGCAGTGAACTTACCTTTCCTCCCCTATTTTCCCCACAACAACCTCTGTATGAAGTGGGTTGTGCTGAGAGAGAATGAGTGGCTCAAAGTCAGCCAGCCAGCTTTCATGCCTATGGCAGGACTAGAACTCACAGTTTGCTGGTGATTGGCTCAAAGTCAAGGACAACTTAATAAGAAGATACAGGTAATCTTCGCTTACAACCATTTGTTTAGTGACTGTTCGAAGTTGCAAGGGTGCCGAAAAAAGTGATTTATGACCATTTTTCACATTTGCAGCATCCCCACAGTCACGTGATCAAAATTCAGGTGCTTGGAAACTGGTGTGTATTTATCACAATTGCACTGTTCCGGGGTTACACAATCACCATTTCTGACCTTCCCAGCCGAGTTTCGACAAAGTCAAATGAGGAAGCATAACAACTGCGTGATTCACTTAACCCACTGTGGCAAAAAGGTCATAAAATGGGGCAAAACTCACAACTGTCTTGCTTAGCCACGGAAATTTTGGGCTCAATTGCGATCCTAAATTGAGGTCTACCTGTAATACAAGATGACAGAGAGAGGAAGCCAAGCCAAGATCACAGATTTTTTTTCTTCTCCTCCAACAAGACCCTCATCTATGTCTTCTTTAACAAACTGCCTTGCTTAGCAATGGATGTTTTAAGCTCAATTGTGGTTGTAAGTTGATGACTTCCTGCAACTAGAGGTTTTTTAAAAATACAGGTCGTCCTTAACTTATGACAACTGAGCCCAAAACGTTTGTTGTTAAATGATACATTTATTGATTGATTTATTCATTTATTGACTTAGGACCGGGGTATCTACGAGACCGCCTTCTGCCACCAGTAGCCTCTCACCGACCAGTACGCTCGCATAGAGAGGGGCTCCTCAGGGTGCCGTCGGCCAAACAATGTCGACTGGCGGCCCCCAGGGGGAGAGCCTTCTCTGTGGGGGCACCCGCCATCTGGAACGAGCTCCCCCCCGGAGATACGGAGGATCCCGGGCCTGCGCGCTTTTCGCCGTGCCATCAAAACATTTCTTTTTCAGCAGGCCGGCCTGGCCTAACCTCTCTTTTAAACTTTTTAAAATTTTAAAATTTTAAATGTCTTAAGAATTTGAGGTGTTTTAAATTTCGTTTTCCGGGCCAAATTATTTAATTGTATTTTAATGCTTTTTAACATTTGTATTATATGTATTTTATCTGGCTGTTCACCGCCCTGAGTCCTTTGGGAGTAGGGCGGTATATAAATTCAATAAATAATAATAATAATAATAATTGAGTTTTGCCCCATTTCTTGCCACAGTTGTTAAGTGAATCACTGCAGTTGTTAAGATAATAATATGATTGATTGTTAAGTGAATCTGGCTTCCCCATTGACTTTGCTTGTCAGAAGGACGCAAAAGGTGATCATGTGACCCTGGAACATTGCAACAGTCATAAATGAGTCAGTTGCCAAGTGTCTGAATTTTGATCATGGGGATGCCACAATGGTCGTTAAGTCTTGAGTCCTTCGGGAGAAGGGCGGTATAGAAATTTAATAAAATAAAATAAATAAATAAATAAAGTGTGAAAAACGTTTCTAAGTCACTTTTTTTCAGTGCCATTGTAACTTTGAGCAGTCTCTAAATGAACTGTTACAAGTTGAGGATGACTTGTCCATGTTTCCTATTCTCACATGTTAAGGAAAGGAATGTACTGACCGATCCGCTTCCTTTTCAGACTAGGAACATGGTCTTCCACCACGTTGGCTTTTGTCCCAGTAGGGAATTGCTTGCATGGAACAAAAGACGACGACGACGACGAAGAATCATTTTCTTTGGCAGTGATAGTGGAAGGAAGATGACGAGGCGGTAGCGGACCTGGCATCTGTACAGAAATGAGAAACATCATGTTACAGGGAGACCATTTTCAAATGGCCAATACAGGTAGTCCTCGACTTACCACAGTCCACTTAGTGACCGCTTGAAGTTACAACGGCACTGAAAAAAGCGACTTATGAACTTTTTCCCACTCTTATGGCCGTTGCCGCATTGCGATGGCCACCTGGTTCAAAATTCAGACGCTTGGCAACTGGTTCATATTTATGACGGTTGCCAGATCCAGTGGTCATGTGATCCCCTTTTGCGGCCTGATACGTAAGGTCACTTGGGAAATCAGATTCACTTAACAACCATGTTACTAACTTAACAATTGCAGCTGGGGCAAGAAAAGTTGTAAAACGAGTCAAAACTCACTTAACAAATGTTTCACTTAGCAACAGAAATGATGGGCTCAATTGTAGTTGCAAATCGAGGATTACCCGTAGTCACAATTTTGGGGGGGGGGGGGGGGGGGGGGGGGAAAGGTGTAGTAACAGGAGAGAGCAACGTCAAATGGATGATGTTATACCACATATTAGCTAAGCCAGGATATTCTGTCCTCCGAATTCAGAGGGCTGCTGTAATTGTTGGCAATGGGGCAGGAGGCTTGAGAAACTCTAAAAACTCCAGAAATCTACATTCTGCATAGTCTAAGACAGAAGATGCCACCGCTGTATAGTTATTGTCTCTGGTTTCTTGTTTTTGTATGCTTTCACATATTATTACACTCGCACAGAGAGGGCCTCCTCAGGGTGCCGTCCGCCAGGCAATGTCAGCTGGTGACCCCCAGGGGGAGAGCCTTCTCTGTGGCGGCACCCACCCTCTGGAACGACTTCCCCCTAGAGATACACACGATACCAGACCTCCGGACTTTTCGTCGGGCCCTGAAAACTCATTTATTTCACCTAGCCGGGCTGGCTTGATCTCATCCGTTACGGTTTTAATTTGAAATTGGTTTTAATTGGGTTGTTTTAAATTGTGGGCCGAAATTATTTAATTACCTTTTAAACTGTTTTTTAAATTTTGTATGCTCTGTTTTATCTCGGCTGTTCACCGCCCTGAGTCCTGCTGGAGAAGGGCGGCATAAAAATCAAATCAAATCAAATCAAATCAAATCAAATCAAATCAAATCAATCAATCAATTATTTTAATACATCAGTTATTATGTATTCTAAAAACGTTCCCTTGAAAACTGCTTTGAGAAGCTTTGGCCTTAGAATTGGTATGTATGCATGCATGCACACTACATCTTGGCAGTAAATATGAATCTCTCCTTTATAAAATATAATGATCTGATATCTTGCAATTAAGTTTAGTTACAGAAGAGTTGGAAAGGAACTTGGTGTTCTAGTCCAACCCTGTTCAAGCAGGAGACCCTACCATTTCAGACAAAAGGCTGTCCAGTTTTTTCTTAAAAACCTCCAGTCATGGGGCACCCACCCATTCTGGAGGCAAGTCGTTCCACTGATTAATTGTTCTCACCGTCAGGAAATTTCTCTTTATTTCTAGGTTGCTTCTCTCCTTGATCAGTTTCCATTCGTTGCTTCTTGTCCTGCCTTCAGATACTTTGGAGAATAGGTTGACCCCCTCCTCTCTGTGGCAGCCCCTCAAATACTGGAAAACTGCTATCATGTACCCCCTGGTCCTTCTTTTCTCCAGACTGGCCATACCCAATTCCTGCAATTGTTCTTCATATGTTTTAGTCTCCAGGCCTTTAACCATCCTAGTTGTTCTTCTCTGCGATTTTTCCAAAGTCTCAACATCCTGTTTGTAATGTGGCGACCAAAACTGGATGCAATATTCCAAGTTGAATTTCCATAATTTCAACTGTGAATGCAGGTTAATCTTCCTGGAGTGATCACGTCCATCTTGAATTAACTAGAGGGGTTTTGGGGGTGGGTCGGGGCGCTAACATTCACCATTGTGCTGAGCTTTGTTGTTTGTTCAGGCTGGTTCTCTTCCCATTGCTTCAGGGCTGGAGTGAAGGGGTTCGGGAGGGGGGTGTAGAGATACCTGGGGTATTGTAGCCAAAACAAAATCCCTTCCCATGGGAATCGAGGACATTGGTGCAGGTGTTCGAAAGGTGGAGACTGAGGTCACCTAGCAACTGGACTGTATGCTGATTGGACCATGTGACTGGAGACTCTGGGCAGGGCGGGGGGAAGTGGCAAAGTTTGACTTTTAATTGGGTGGAAAACCAGTGGGAACTTAAAGCCGGTTTTCCACCAGGAACTTGCCAATTTGATATGTCCCTAAAATTGTCTGCCTTGGAGTTCTTCTTGAAGGGGATGTATTACTTGGAACCCTGACAAAGAGGAGGGGGAGGGGGAGGACGATGACAATGATGACTGTGGGGCCCTTAATGCTCTCTCAGCTTATTTTCTCGCAGATGTTTCATTACCCAAACTAGGTAACATTATCAATGCTAGCCTCAGTGGATGTTACCTAGTTTGTTAATGAAACCTCTGCAAGAAAACCACAAAGTTCAGAGAGCACTAAAAACCCCACAGTTCTCCTCCTCCTCCTCTCCACAAACCCCATTCCAGCGGTGAAATACTACTGGGCAAACCGGTAGGGATAAAAACTACCGGTTCAGGCGAACCGGTAGTAAAAAAAACCCTACCAGTTCCTCCAAACTGGTATTTCCGACAATCAGCTGTGCCGCACGATTTAAAATCTCTAGAAAGCAGGAAATCCTGCTTTCTAGTGAATCTAGATCATGCAGCACAGCTGTTCCCCCCCCCTCGCTGTTATACTTACCTTCCAAAGCCTTTTTCCACACGTTTGACGTGTACTGCGAATGCTCATAGTGTGTTTTTGGTGCGCACTGCGCATGCATTTGGCTCGTACTGTGCATGTGTGCGCAGCACGTGTTTGGCGTGGACTGCACATGCTTGTGCACAGAGTGTGCTTGGTGCACTGCACACATGCGTGGCCAGCAAACTGGTAGGAAACCAGTTCAGATTTCACCACTGCCCCATTCCCTTCTGATACTGGGGCATTAGGGTAATAATTCATCTGCAAGAAAACCACCAAGCTCAGAGACCGCCAAGGACCCCTCATGTCAATCTCATTCCAAAATCTCCTGCGATTCCTCCCAGATACTCTGGAAGGTATCCAAACACTTTTGTTTAAAAAGTTAATAGGTCAACTTCCTGAATTAACAAGGGGTCAAGATTCTAAAAAAAAGTCTGTGGGCGAATGCTTTAAATGACTGATGTACTCATCGGAACACTTCCTCTGATAATTGGGAGACTTTCTTTCACCACCATCCCCCTCACGTGTTGCTGTTTTATACTTACACACTGCTGGAGAGTACGGAAGAAATGAGAAACGTCCCTGATGGCATGTCCAAAGTTTTCATAGGTTTTGACGTAAGGGCGGATCCAGGAGGGCAACTGGGCTCTTGTCTCAGTCTGTGTGAACCTGTTGAGAATGGAAGACTTGTAGTCAGCCTTGACAAAAAGATTACAGGTAGTTCTTAACTTATGCGCAATTGAGCCCAAGATTTCTGCTGTTAAGTGAGGTATTTATTAAGTGGGTTTTGCCCCGTTTTGTGACCTTTCTTGTCACAGTTGTTAAGTGAACCATCACAGTTGTTAAATTAGTAGCAATCTTTTGATTGCTGTCTTTAGAAGAACACTTGACGGCTGTGGCCGGGAGGTCTTTTTATCAGGTTCACCTGATTCGCCAGTTGCGTCCCTTTCTGGATCGGGACTCATTAAATACGGTCACTCATGCCCTCGTCACTTCATGCCTGGACTACTGTAATGCTCTCTATATGGGGCTCCCCTTAAGGAGCACCCGGAGGCTCCAGCTGGTCCAGAATGCGGCCGCGCGGGTAGTTATGGGAGCAGCATGGAGCTCCCATGTGGCTCCCCTCCTGCGCGAGCTGCATTGGCTCCCTGTGGTCTTCCGGGTGCGCTTCAAGGTCTTAGTTACCACCTTTAGAGCGCTCCATGGCTTAGGACCGGGGTACTTACGAGACCGCCTTCTGCTACCAATAGCCTCTCACCGCCCAGTACGCTCCCATAGAGAGGGCCTTCTCAGGGTGCTGTCAGCCAAACAGTGTCGACTGGCGGCCCCCAGGGGGAGAGCCTTTTCTGTGGGGGCACCCACCATCTGGAACGAGCTCCCCCCAGAGATACAGAAGATTCCGGATCTGCGCACTTTCCGCCGTGCCCTCAAAACATTCCTGTTTCAGCAGGCCGGCCTGGCCTAACTTTCCCTTTATATTGCTTTTGATTTTATTTTAAACTGGGATGTCTTGAATTATCTAGGACCAGAATGTTTAGTATATTTTAATTGGTTTTTTTTTTAAATTAATGTTTGTATTACATGTATTTTTTATCCTTCGCTGTTCACCGCCCTGAGTCCCTCAGGAATAGGGCGGTATATAAATTTAATAAATAAATAAATAAATAAATAAATCTTTTAAGTGAATCAGGCTTCCCCATGGACTTTGCTTGACAGAAGGTTGCAAAAGGGGATCACGGGACCCTGCAACCGTCATAAATATGAGTCAGTTAAAACGGTCATAAGTCACTTTTTTCAGCGCTGTTGTAACTTTGAACGTCACTAAATGAACTGCTGTAGGTTGTGGACCACCTGTACAAACATATCCGATCTCTATATTCAGTAGGTGAGAAGAAAGAAGTTAACATTAATGGTACAAAATTCTACTGGAAGGGAAGTTTCACCTGTGGTCGCAGAGGAAAATGGCACCATAATCTTGCCGATGTCGGATAACTCTTCCAATAGCTTGGTTCACGGCACGAGAAGCCTGCTGTTTGTACCAGATATTTCCAGACAAACACTAAAACATGGCGGAAAGAATACAGCTTTATTTTAAGAGTGTTGCGTTCTGTTTTTGATTCCCAGCCTTTTTTTTAAAAAAAAGTAAAAGACCAAACGCGGTTTAAAAAATTCACCCCTGCTCCCTCTTACGAGAACACCCATGTCAGTGTCTTAATCTGCAGTTGGTCAGAACAGGGGAAAGTTGCAGGCCCCATTCTGGGAAATTAACTACCCCAAACAAAATCCCAATTAAAATAGCAACATAAAAGAGCTTATCGTGTATTTAATCTATGCATCATTCCTTCTAGACTGCAGACAGATGAGAAGGCCAGGATTTACTGATAGGCGTTTACAATATTTGAAGTGAAAAATAAGAACGTCTGTTTCACATGTTACGATGCCAACAGCAACTATCCCCCACGCAAAATCTTACCCAAATGAAGAATGTCTGAATGTTTCTGAGCTCAGTTTAGTCTGTTTAGAAAGCATCCAGCAACAGTGCCTGTAGCCTAAGAAATCTGGCTAGAAATCCATTAAAAAAAGACTAGAATCCAGGTTGATCAACTCAAAAACAGGCAGGATACTTCTGACGGAGTCCAAAGAGACCGTTGCAAGGTCAAAATGAAATGATTTGGAAGAAAAACCTTTGACACGTTTGGCACAAAATGGGATGTTTTGGAATTTCAAACTTTGGCATGTTTTGCCCATCTCTATGATCAAAGCAACGTCTCTCTCTCTCTCTCTCCTTACCTGCTTGCTGCCATCTTTTGTCTTCATTTCATCCAAGAACTGCATCTTTAACATGATCCTGGGGTCCTTGCGAGGAGGGTACGGAAGGCCCGTGATGATGACGCCTCGTCCATTCTTATCAGCAAAGTCCAAACCTTCGCTAGCCTGAAGACAAATAACGAGTTTGATCAACATTGTCCTGTTAAAGGACAAATGTCTGCAAAAATCAAGGTGCCGCAGAATGGGACAAACTAGTCAAGGGGCAATTCAACAAATACAAAAGTTAAATTAATTTCGACTGAGCAGTGCTCAATAATAATAAACACAATCCAAAAATACAAGTTGCAATGATTTCGACAAAAACGTGGTCACCAATAATAAAAGAAACTGAATGAAACTATTGACACAGCATTGAATTGTCCTGTGGCAAATTGGCCGCGGGGAGCTGTCCAAGACCGAAGGTGCTGCCTGGTATTGTATTAAATATTCAGATTTTCTTTGGAAAACAGATGGTGCGGTAGCTTAGCCCTAGTTTTCTTTGGAAAACAGATGGTGCAGTGATTAAATGCAGCATTCCAGGTTAACTCGGCCCACAGCCTGGAATTTGATCCCAACTGGCTCAAGGTTGAATCAAACCTGCATCCTTCAGAGGTCAGATTGCTGGGGACAATATGCTGACATTGTAAACCGCTCAGAGTGCTGTAAAGCATTATGGAGCGGTATAGAAGTCTAAGTGTCTATGGAGATTCTCCATCATCTAGGTCATGGTTGTCTCAAAGGTGCATTTTCAGGAGGCAACTAGATTTGCCTCCTGGGGGTTTTTTGAAGATGTTTTGCTTCCCATCCAAAAAGCTTCTTCAGCTCTGACTGGATGGTAGTGGATGATCTTTCCGTCCTCCATCATCCAATCAGAGCCGAAGAAGCTTCTTGGATGAGAAGCGAAACATCTTCGAATAAAATCAAGGAAGTCCAGTTGCCTCCTGAAAATGCACCTTTGGGATAAGTCTAAGTGCTATTGTTATTGTTACTAACTTTGCTCACTTTTGAGGAATCACAGGTTCTGTCCTCTAGTGCCTCCCAGAGTTTGCCCAAATTTATGTTCATTGTGTTGATATCATCAAACCATCTCCTCTACCGTCCCCACTTCCCATTTAGCCTCCCATCTTCCCCAACATCGGGGTCTTTTCCAAGGAGCCCTCTCTTCTCATTTGGTGGCCAAAGTATTTGTGCTTTGGCTTCACAGCACCTGTCCTTCCAAGTCAGGGTTGATGTCTGTGGAGATTCTCAGTCATCCAGGTCATAGTTGTCTCCAAGGTGCTTTTTTCTTCAAAAGGCAACTGGACTGTTTTTTCTTTGAGGAAGGAGAAGAAAAGGTTTTGCTTCTCATTCTTCAGCCCACATATTGGCCGTACATAGGAGATACAGTGTGTCCAAAATAAACAATGTATGAAGCATCAGGTGGTAGTATGTAGCCAATGTTGGCTTTTCTGGCAAAGTTCACTGGAACTGCATCTGATTATTACTTGGATGGGAGGACACTGGCTTTAGTTTCGACCAGTGTTTTTCAAACTTGGCAGCTCTTGAGATGTCTGGAAGACTAGATTACCAGAAGTGCTGGCTGGGAAATTCTGTGAGTTGAAGTAAATCCCTCTTAAAGTTGACAAGTTTGAAAATTTTGCTCTAGAACCTAGTCAGGTTTATACCGACTGTACAGTTTGAATATACACTGCTCTCATTCTCGAGCTTTACGATTCTGGATTTTGAACCAGGACAGGATCTGCATTAAATGAATATATGTATGTATGTTTGGGCCACACATACCTTTCCCCTGCACACAGCCAAGAAAATAGCACCGTTTGATTTCGGGCAGACCACCTTTTCATAATAGGCGTCCATAACCTAGGGAAAAAAGTTAGATCAGTTCAAACAGAATGCACACACACACACACAAAGATAACTGTGGTTTAGTGGATTTATTAATATTCCCCCACAACTCCCTTCACCACAAACCCAGAACTGTCCCAATTAAGTCCAGCCACCAGCAGATGCTCGTCCACAGAGCAATGGCCAATGAGACCGCAAGGCACTTGAAAGTTTTCCAGTCAAAAAAACCCCACCACACCAGGCAAAATTAAATCCACAATACAAGAGAGTTCACAAGACAAGAAAAGTCCAGAGTTCACAAGGCACGATCCAAGTCAAGGCAGGAATCACAACGACTTGGAAACAGACAGCTAGTCAATGAACATGTTGTTCCCAGCATCCCCTCCATCTGTCTGTTATGCTAAATAGCCGGCTTCTAGTGCAGCCCATCATGAGGGGCGAAGCTGCCTCCTTGCGAGTAATCTAGCTGACCTCTTCTGCTCCTGCCTTTTCTCTGCCCTACGTGTCCTTGGATCAGGTGCAGCAGGCAGCTCCTCTTCCTCATCGCTGACTGGCTGCAGCTGCCTGCTTTCCTGCCTAAAGCCTCAAGGCTGCCCTGCTGCAGCTGTGCTTCAGCCGAATCCCTCTCAGATGGTTGCTTGGCACTGTTGAGCAACTCCCCTCCAGATGTGCCTGGAACTGATTCATCTTCCTCTCAGCTGACACCGGAGAGAAATGCAAGTAGATAAGTAGGTGCCACTTTGATGGTGATCCATGCGCTTTTGGCATACAGTCATGCTGGCCACATGACCACAGAAATGTCTCCAGACAATGTTGGCTCCCTCAGCTGACAGTCAACATTGTCTGGAGACATTTCTGTGGTCATGTGGCCAGCATGACTGTATGTCAAAAGCGCATGGATCACCATCTCAGCTGAGAACCCTTTTGCCCTTTTTTTTTTTTACTGTCAAATATACATCCTACTTATTGAATATTTGTAGCTCGGGTTTGAACTGTGGGATCTTTGATGCTTTCTGAACTTGGTGGTTTTCTTGCAGACGGTTCATGACCCAGTAGGTAGCATCGTGAGTACAAGAAGGGAGAGGAGGAGGAGGAAGTAGTGGTGGCCCTTGGTGCTCTCTGAACTTGGTTGTTTTCTTATAGATGTTTCATTACCCAGCTAGATAATATAATCTCTGCTCTGTTAATATACTAGTTAGTGGCTCTCAGTGTTGGTGGGAGTTCTTGTTTCAATGGTTCCTTGATTAGGCTTGTTGTTTGTTGCTTGTGTGTTGGTAGTTCCTTGATTGTCCCACTAACATTGACAGGGCAAGCCACTTGTATGTTAACAGAGAAACCCACTCCCCTTTAGCACTTATTCTTGGAAATGAACAGGCTGAGCCAGAGGACAGAGTCAAACGTATCATCAGCTTGGAGTCTCTAAGTCCACCTCCTCCCTTGAAATCAGTTGACTCTTATCTGGTGCCAATTCGCCTTGACCATTTCCGTAATAGTTCAGATTCTCGTGTATAGGTAACACGAAATAGACTTGTAGTGCTTTTGAACGCTATCTTGGTTCCTGATGCCTTGCACTTGACACTGATAACGCTAGCTAGTTGGGTCATGAAACATCTGCAAGAACACAACCAAGCTCAGAGAGCACCAGGGACCCCACATACTGTACTTTCTTGGTACACCTAGTTAGTCTCACTGGAACATCAACATCATGAACTGTCTAAAGGGTTCTGCATGTGCATTTTCCCCAGAGTGAACCCAGATGAAGATATTTTATTTCAAAATGTAGTTAGTTCTCTTGGAAGCATTTAAGAAATAACATTAACTCTGAAATGGCTCCGTCCAAAAGAGAGTAATAAAAATGTTTGATTGTACCAGCAATTAGAAGTCCTCTCTGTAACTTTCTGTGTTGGAAAAAAAAACTAAAAAGCAACCAGGAATGAATTTTGCTCACTTCAAGTACAGGTAGTCCTCGACATACAATTCATTTAGTGACTGTTCGAAGTGGCAACAGCACTGAAAAAACTGACTTATGACTGGGTTTTCAGTTACAACCTTGCAGCAATCAAATTTCTTGGCAACTGGCATGTATGACAGCTGCGGTTGTCCCCGTGTGATGCAATCACCATTTGTAACCTTCCAAGCTGACTTCCAACAAGCCAAGTCCATGGGGCAAGCCAGATTCACATAACGACCACCTGACTCGCTTAAGAACTGCAGCAATTCACTTAACCACTGCGGGAGAAAAGGTCGTAAAATGGAGCGCAACCCATTTAACAACTGCTTTCCTTAGCAATGGAAATTTTAGGGCTCAGTTGCGGTCACAGGTTGAGAACTACCTGTAACTTATTTAATTTAGTAAGAAGATTTATCTGTCAACCGTCCTGTTGGCATATGCAGCAAAGGAAACTCCTGGGACATTACTTTACCAAGAGTACAACTTTACTGATAGATCCATACAGGGTACATTAGAAGCAAAGCTAGCTCTGAGGTTTTCGTGCAAAAAACAGCAGTTCATTTCCCCTTTCCTCCATTTGGCCCACCTACTGTCCATTGTCCATCAATCCAACACGTTCTTTTTATTTTGGGAAAACAGTCTGCGCTTTTGGAAGATTCCCATCGCACGGCCTTGAAGTATCAGGATCTTCTCAGGCTGCCAAAGGCTCACATAGATTCTTTAACTCCTCCCAGCTCCTAATATATTCCAAGCATTCTCCTCCCCCCTCCCTTCGTTTCTGTTGTCAAGTTGCGAGTAGAGGTGCGTTACGAGTAAGTCTAAACAGCTGCTCAGATCACTCACAGTGACTCCAGGTGGCTTATAAAGATAAAACCCAAGGACAAAACTCAATAAACTCCACACACAGCCCTACCCACCAGATCAGCCATGTGATGGGCTCCATATCACTCTGGGGACTCTATGCCTACTGGGAGAACCAGCTCTTCAGGCCTTCTGAAAGAAGGTGAAGGTGGGGACCAATCTTATCTCCTTAAGGATGATGTTCCACAAGGAGCAAGCCACTAAGGAGAAGGCCCTTCTTCTAGGTCCCAAAAGATGGACCTCTTTAAGAGAGGGGAGCCGTAACAGTCCCTGCCTCCCTGCTCTAGTGGATCGAGTAGAGGTGGCTGGGAAAAGATGGTCCTTCAAATAACCTAGTTGCAGACCATGCAGAGTTACAAGGTCACAACTAGCACCTTAAATGGGACTTGGAAGCAAATCGGCAGCCAATGCAGATCCTGCAAGAGAGGCGACACATGTGCAAATCTAGGCTTACACAAAACCGTTCAAGCCACCGCATTATGAACTGATGGAGCTTCTGGATACTTTTCAAGGGTGGCTCCATGTAGAGCACATAATAAAAGCAAAGTCCTGAATGGAACATATATTCAGTGTCCTTTCCATTTGCAAGTAATCAAGATTGGAAAACACCACAACATTTAGTTCCCACCCCTTGCGAAACAAGCCCTCCGATTTTTTTTTAAAACGATTGAATCTATTTGCAATTAATGCTGCAATAATATATTAATCAGTATTCAACTAGAGGGGATGGTATGTATATATATAATGTCTTTTTGTGTGATGCACCTTTTTAATGCTTTGACGGTTTTGTGGGGTTTTTTTTTCTTTTTGTCCTTTTGGATTTTTTTTTTCAGCGCTGTATTTTGTATTTTAAATTTGTTTTGAATAAGAATAAAAATATATAATAATAAATATTGGAAAACACTGGCTTTAAAGTAAGAGTTGCCTAATGTTCATGATAATTGATCACCTGTTAGCAGTGCTCTCTTCCATCTGCTATAAGAAATTCCCCAGACTGGACAAGTTGTGCTGAACAAAGGAAAACGGAAAACTCCCTCCTGCTACTCACACAGGAAGGTCAAAAGATAGAAAGAACACATAATTCTTTCCCTGCTCCCAAGCACTTCACTCTCACTCACTGAGTAAAAATACCATTTACTAATCTTGTCCTTCCGGGAAAAAAAATGATTATGCAGTGACCAAGTCCCTAAAGCAAATAACCTTTAATTACCAGCTCCCAAACGTTGGCTGCCTAACCTAGTTACCCCATGACTGGCTTTGCAAAATTCAAAGAGTCACCAACCGCCAAACAGGCTGTTTTTTTGTATAATATGTAAAAAACATATGCCCAAAAAGCTAAGTGAGATTTAACACAATCTCAAACTTAGCATGTTAGCCAAAGGCAGGATTTTACGTGACCTTCTAAAATAGAGGTGGGGAACTATGGGCCCCTTTTTTTTTTGACTTGTGGACTTCAACCCGAAAACTCCTGTTTGGCTCAGGAATTCTGGGAATTGAAGTCCACAAGTCATAAGAAGCCAGTTTCCTATCCGTGTTCTAAATAAATAAAATAAAATTACCTATGAGATCCTTTTTGTTCTGCCCAGGTTGGGCAGGGAAGATACGTTGCGAACTCTGTCAACCAAAGAAGTCCAACTGGTGGGTTTCAAATAAACCATTGCTGTTCCCCCCGCCCTATGGAATAGTCTCCCTCATCCCAGAGGTAAGGCAGAGCCCCCACCGACCTGGCCTTCAGGAAAGACACACAAACATGGCTCTGTGGCTCTGATGGCTCCCCCAGATACCTCTCCAGAGGTCACTTCAGAGGAGGATGAACCAGTCTCAGGCACTTCAGGAGGGGTGTTGGTCAGTGGTTCCAAGCAGCCAGCTGAGGGTAATTTGGCTGGATCACAAGTGCAGTGGGTCAGTGATGATGAGAATAGAATAGAATAACAGAATAATGGAAGGGACCTTGGAGGTCTTCTAGTCCAAACCCCCTCCTCAGGCAGGAAACCCTACACCACCTCAGACAAATGGTTATCCAACATCTTCTTAAAAACTTCCAGTGTTGGAGCATTCACCACTTCCGGAGGCAAGTCATTCCACTGGTTAGTTGTTCTCACTGTCAGGAAATTCCTCCTTAGTTCCAGGTTGAATTTTTTTTTTATTAGTTTCTATCCGTTGCTTCTTGTCCTACCTTCCGGTGCTTTGGAGAATAGGTTGACCCCCCCATCCTTTTCCCTGTGGCAACTCCTGAGATATTGGAACACTGCTATCATGTCACCCCTAGTCCTTCTTTTCATTAAGATCAGGGATGTCAAACTAGCAGTCTGCGGGCCAGATGCGTCACACGCAGGCCACGCCCACCGCAACTCCGTGAATGGGGGAAATGTCGCAAAACATCACGTGACAGCAAGGGGGCACGGCGAGTTTCCCGTGAGCTAGATATACCCAATCCAGCAACCATTCTTTGTATGTTTTATCCTCCAGTCCCCTAATCCTCTTTATTGCTCTTCTCTGCACTCTTTCTAGAGTCTCCATATCTTTTTTATATCCTGCCTTCTGCACCTGATCCAAGAACAGGTAGGACAGAGAAAAGGCAGGAGCAGCAGAGGTCAGCCAAATTACTCATGAGGAGGCAACTTCACCTTTCTTGATGGGCTGCACCAGAACCTGGCTATTTAACACAGCACACGGATGGAGCCGATGTTGGGAACAATGTGTTCATTTCCTAGATGCATGTTTTCTGGTCGTGATTCCTGCCTTGACTTTGGATTGTGCCTTGTGAACTCTGGATTTTTCTTGCCTTGTGAATCCTCTTGTGTTGTGGATTTAATTTTGCCTGATGGATTTGTCTTTTGTGGAAAACTTTCAAGTACCTTGTGGACTCAGTGGCCATTGCTCTGTGGACTAGCATCGGTCTACCTTTGGCTGAATAGTTCTGGGTTTTTGGTGAAGTGAATTGCTGGGGAATATTAATAAACCCACTAAACCACTAGGTATGTGGGAGTGTGAACAGGACAGCACAGTGGCTTTGCGTCTATGGAGATTCTCAATCATCCAGGTCACGGTTATTCCAAAGGTGCTTTTCCAAAAGGCAACTGGACTTCCTTGGTGTCTTTTCTTTGAAAACCTCTTACTTCTCACCCAAGAAGCTTCTTCAGTTCTGAAGACCCAAGCACCTTGTACAACTGAAAAGCATTATCAGAAAATCAAGGATGACTTGTTTGTTACGCTTTTTTATGATCTCCATTTAATCTCCATTTAAGGATCAGTTCTGGGAGAATCTCTTTTACAGTAGTCTTGTGGCATAACCTTACGGAATCTTAAAAGCATTAAATTATCATCACCTAATACTGATAGTCTTGGCTTAGTGATATATTCAGATGCTTTCATACTCTCAGCTTGTTGATGAAAGAACATTTGGCCAAAAAAGATGGAAAAATGCAAGCAGGCCAAAATATACTCCATCTTTCTTGGCCAGATGTTCTTCTTCCATCAACAAGCTGAGGGTAACATTTATGAAAGCATCTGAATATATCGCTAAGCCAAGACTATCAATTAATAAGGGAACTGACTGCATAATGTTTCTGAAAGAAAAGTAATTTATTGTGAAAACATTGTGATGAAGTCTCACTGACCTCTGTGAATGCTCCTTTGTGCCTCGGTTCTACAAATATTGGCTTCAGTGCTTCTATTTTTTTTGCAAAGTCATGGGCCTAGCAGAGCAGAGACAGAAGAGATTAAATTAAAATAAAATAAAAAAATAGGGAGAACTCCTCCATCATCTAAGGGAGGAGTCGGGGTGAAATCCAGCAAGTTCTGGAGAACCGGTAGCGGAAATTTTGAGTAGTTCGGAGAACTGGCAAATACCACCTCTAGCTGGCCCCAACATGGGGTGGGAATGGGGATTTTGCAGTATCCTTCCCCTGCCATGCCCACCAAGCCACGCCCACAGAACCGGTAGTAAAAAAATTTGGATTTCACCACTGGGAGGAGTCTCCAAACCTGGCCACTTTAAGACTTGTGGACTTCAACTCCCAGATTTCCCAGCCAGCATGGCTGGATAGGGAATTCTGGGAGTTCTTCAAGGAACAGTGAATAACAAGAGTTGGAAGGGACTTTAGATGTCTTCTAGTCCAACTCCTGTTCAAGATGAAGACCCTATACATTTCAGACAAGCGGCTGTCCAGACTCTTCTTAAAAGCCTCCAGTGATGGGGCACCCACAACTTCTGGGGGAAAATTCTTCCACTGGTTGATTGTTAGGAAGTTTCTCCTTAGTTCTAAGTTGCTTTCTCCTTGATTAGTTTCCACCCATTGCTTCTTATCTTGCATTTTGGTACTTTTGAAAATAGGATGACTCTATCTTCTTTGTGTCAGACCCTCAAATATTGGAAGACTGCTATCGTGTCACTCCTAGTCCTTCACTAGACTGAACATACCCAATTCCTTCAATTAATTCTTATATTTTAGCCTCCAGCCTCCTAATCATCTTAGTTGCTGTTCTGTACACTCTTTACGATGTCTCAACATATTTTTTATAAGATGGTGACCAAAACTGGTGTGGTCTTACTAAGGCTTTTAAAAGCGGTACTAATACTTCACGTGATCTTGATTCTATCCCTCTGTTAACGCAACCTAGGATTGCATTAGCTTTTTTGGCTGCTGCAGCAGACGGCTGGCTTATGTTTAAGTGATCATCCACTAGAACTCCAAGGTCCCTCTCACAATTACTGTTTCTGAGCCAGGTTTCATCCAATCTGTATTTGTACCTCTGGTTTTTCATGCCCAGGTGTAAAACCTTGTTTTTCTCCACATTAAATTTCATTTTGTTGGATAGGGCCCATTGTTCAAGTCTGTCAAAATCCTTTTGGATCCTGAGCTTGTCTTCTGGGGTGTTGGCTATTCCTGCCAGCTTAGTGTCATCTGCAAATTTGATGAATTCCCCTTCTATTCCCTCATCTAAGTCATTTATGAAGATATTGAAGAATATTGGGCCTAAGACAGAACTTTATGGCACCCCACTGTTTACTTCCCTCCATGTAGATGTAGTACCATTAAGGACTACTCGTTGAATACAATTTGTCAGTTACAAATCCATCTGGGTGGTGATGCTGTCCATCCCACATTTTTCTAGCTTATCAAGAAGTAGGTTGTGGTCTACTTTGTCAAATGCCTTGCTGAAGTCTAACTATACTATATCCACAGCATTTCGCTGGTCTACTAATTTACTCACTTTGTCAACAAATGAAATAAAATTGGTTTGGCATGATCTGTTTTTAACAAACCCGTGCTGGCTGCTAGTCATAACTTTATTTGTTTTTAGATGTTCACACATCTGGTTTTTTTAAATTTTTTCCAGTATCTTCCAAGAATTGACGTTACACTGATTGGTCTGTAATATCCTGGGTCTATTTTTTCCCCCTTTTTTTGAAGATGGGAACCACATCAGCACTTTTCCAATCCTCTGATAATTCCCTGGTGCTTCAAGATTTTTTAAAGATATGATACAATGGTTCTGAGATGACATCTGCCAGCTCCTTCAGAATTCTGGGATGTAATTGGTCAGGTCCCGGTAATTTATATTCATCAAGGTCAGGCAGATGTTCTGTTACCATTTTCTTATTTTTATTTCTAGTCTGTCTTTTACCCTTATGTTTTTCTTGCCTAAGTGCAAAACCTTACTTATCTCTACACTGAGCTTCATTTTGTTGGATAGGGCCTGGTGAACAAGTCTGTCAAGATCCATCGGGATCCTGAGTCTATCATCTGGGGTGTTGTTTATTCCTGCCACAGCTTTGTGTCCTCTGCAAATTTAATGAGTGCCCCTTCTATTTGCTCATCTAAGTCGTTTATGACTTCAACTCCCAGAATTTTCCAGCAGGCTGCTGAAGTTGAAATCCACAAGTCTTAAAATGGCCAAATTTGGAGACTCCCCAATTTAAGGTCTAGTCTGTTCCCCAAAGCGGAAACCTACTCTCCAATATTCCAGGCTTTTATCCATGACCGGATATGAAGGAAAAAACACCAGGAGTCCATTTGGTATTATTCGGACAAGATTAACTGCAATAAAACACAGTGAGTTAAACCAACTTTATCTGACTTCAGTACTGAGATAACATTTGCTTTTTAAAACACCTTTGGACATTTCTCTTCTGATCTACAGGCAGTCTTTGACTTACAACCACAATAGGGACCAGAACTTATGTTGTTAAGCAAGGCAGCTGTTAAGTGAATCACACCCCACTTTATGATATTTTTTGGCCGCTGATATTAAACAAATCACTGCAATTAAGAGAACCGTGCATTCATTAAGCAAATCCGGTTTCTCCCATTGACTTTGCTTGTCAGAAGCCGGCTGGGAAGGTCACAAATGATGAGCATGTGACTCAGGACGTTGCAACCGTCGTAAATACATGCCGATTGCCAAGAGTCTAAATTTTGATCACATGAGGGTAGGATGCTGCGATGGTTTTAAGTACAAACCTTGGGTGTACGTCACTTTTTTCAGCACCATTGTAACTTCGGTCACTTAAACGACTGGTTGTACGTCAAGGGCTACATATACTTTGCTACAGCCCTATTCTCAGCAAAGCAAAGTCTCAGTCTCTCAGCCATCTTCCTCCTATCGCTAAAATGTTAGGGTACAAGAATAAATACATCGGAAATGCTCTCTGACTGTAAAAGCTCTCAACGAACAGAAGAGGCTGCCATATGTTGGGTTGAGCTTGGATGGTCATTGATACTGTAGGACAGGGGTGTCAAATTCAATTTCATTGAGGGCCGCATCAAGGTTGTGTTTGACCTCGGGGGAGGGAGGCAGGTGGGCGTGGCCAGCTTGACATCACTCCTATTGGGGGTGCCTGTGGTCCGAGCACTATGCCAGGGAAAACGGGCTCCCAAGCTCCGTTTTTGGCTGGGATGGCGTCCTGCAACCCTCTGCCAGCAAAAAAGGAGCTCAGGAAGGCCATATTTTCGCTGGCAGAGGTAACGTGGGCCGGTCCTTTGCTATTTCCAGAGCTCCCCCACGGGCCAGATCCAGCCCTCGGGCCTTGAGTTTCACATCCCCTGCTGTAGGGGATCTCTGGACATCCTAAGGTCCCTTCCAACTCTATGATTCCCACTGAATCTGAGAAGCAATTCCCTTCAAACATTAAGAAACTGGCTATTTCTGCACCGCTGACAATGAGACTCTGAGGATAAGACACAAAAAATGCGTCCAGGCTGAAATCTGAAGAGATGCTCAAGTACTTGACTGATTTAGGTCTTAACCTCAAAAAGGATAACTTGGGGATGGTTGTGTGCATGCGATTTCACACAACAACCCCCCCCCCAGTGTACACACAAATACATATATACACATACTGTATACACGCGTGCGTGCACAAATTATTTTTCACATTTTTGAACCGTCCAACTCTCTCAAGAGAGACACTCTGGGCAGTGTGCGATAAAAGATTAAAATGTAAAACCAGTATATGTAAAAATTAAAGCTTTAGAATTAAGCAAGGATTCTGAATGGGGGCCTGCCTCACCTGTGGGAGGATATTCCACAGGGCAATGGGCAACAGCAGGGAAGGCTCTCTTCCTAGATCCTTAAAAGAATTCTGATGGGATTTGCAACAAGAGCCCTAGTGCGCAAGTGGTTAGAATGCAGTATTGCAGGCTAACTCAATGTTCATCTGCCAGCAGTTCGATCCTGACCGGCTCAAATCTCTCTCTCTCTCTCTTTCTCTCTCTATCTGAATGCAGTATTGCAGGCTAACTCTACCTACTGCAGAAGGCTGTGAAGCACTAGAAAGCAGTATATAAGTCTAAGTGCTATTGCTATCCCTTCCCTGCCTGACTGGGTGGAGATAGGCCAATGTAATGGGATGAAGACACAAACACACAAACACACACTTGCATCATACAGTATAACGTAAAATTGTAACTTGAGTACTCTGGACTGACAGCTGCTTTCCAAGAGAGGTTCCAGAAACAGATTTTAGAGCCCACCAGCTTTTCAAGAATCACCAATGGCAAACACGGTGAGAGCAACATCAGGGTTCTGGCTTATCTCCTCCTTCAACCCTCTCTTATTCTTCTATGTACCCTATCAACTGCACTGGAGCATTCAGTCCTGACTTGCACCCAGATTCTTTCTGCTTTACCTATGGTTTTCCCAATGGAGGACAGACATTCTTCTGTAAATCTGTAAATGAAGAGAGAAGGAATCCCATCAGCGTACAGGTTCTAGGTGTTAGGAAGAACGTCATGCTGCTCGGTTGTCACAATAATTTTCAGGAAAAATAAATGAATCATTTTTCCATGCTCAGTTCGTGGTGCTGAAATTGCTTTCCACGCCTCTCCAAGCTCTATGGAATTGTTCTTCAGCAATGAAACAACCTGTTTGTGGGCTCCGGCACAGACTAGCTAGCTGACTGCAATCTTTCCACCTGTTACTCTAAAATTCCTATCAGGTACAGGTCGTCCTCAACTTATGACCACAATGGAGCCCAAAGTATTGGTTAAGTGAGTCTTGCCCCGTTTTATGACCTTTCTTCTCACATCTGTTAAGGGAATTATCACAGCTGATAATAAGACGGTTGTTAAGTGAATCAGGCTTCCCCATTGACTCTTGCTTGTCAGAAGGTCGCAAAACCTGATCATGTGACCCCGGGACACTGCAACGGTCACAAATATGATCATGTGACCACGAGGAAGCTGCAGCGGTCCCAAGTGTGAAAAACGCTCATAGGTCGCATTTTTTCAGTGCTGTTGTAACTTTGAATGGTCAGTAAATGAACTGTTTTAAGTCGAGGACCGTATGTATGTATGTATGTATGTATGTATGTATGTATGTATGTATATATGTACATGTTTCCCTGAAAATAAGACCCTGTCTTATATTTTTTTGAACCCTGAAATAAGCGCTTGGCCTTACTGCCATGTGCTGAAAAGCCTGATTGGGCTTATTATCAGGGGATAATGTCTTATTTTGGGTGGAGGATGTGTTATTAATCACTTCCATTGTGCTGATCCCCCCACTGGGGTCCTAACCCAACTGGCAGAAACAGGTCTTTAGGCCAGTGGTGAAATGTAAAATTTGTTACTACTGGTTCTGTGGGCGTGGCTTGGTGGTGGTGGTGGGGGTAATATGAATGAGTGGGCATGGCCAACTTTTTTTTTTTTACTTTTAAAACCATTTTTTCTACAATCTCTTCGGCTGAAGAGGTTGTAAAAAAAATGCTTTTAAAGCCTCTGATGATCCCAGCTGACTTGCCTGATCAGCAGAGGCTTTTTTTTCTTTTTAAAAACATTTTTTCTATAACCTCTTCGGAAGAAAAAATGCTTTTAAAAGCCTGTGATGATCCCAGCTGAGCCACGCGATCATCAGAGGCTTTTTTTTTTTTTACTTTTAAAAGCATTTTTTCGGCCAGAGATTGTAGAAAAAAATGCTTTTAAAAATTTAAAAAAAAAGCCTCTGATGATTGCGCGGCTCAGCTGGGCAATGGGGGGAGGGGCAGGGATTTTTGCTACCGGTTCTCCGAACCACCCGCCTCCCATCGCTACCGGATCGGGTGATCCGGTCTTAACCGGGAGCATTTCACCCCTGCTTTAGGTCCTTATGAAAAGAGGAGGGTTGGGGCCAACCTCACATGGAGTGGGGTGAGGGATGGTGAGATGTAGTACAGAGGAATGGTTATTAACTGTTATTAACAGATTAACATCTGCTGCTTGCAATTACTGCAAGTTCAAATCTCACCAGGCTCAAGGTTGACTCAGCCTTCCATCCTTTCAAAGGTAGGTAGGTGAAATGAGGACCCAGATTGTGGGGGCAATAAGATGACTTTGTATAAATATACAAAAGTATGAAGGCTATTGCTTAACGCACTGTAAGCCGCCCTGAGTCTCCGTAGAAGGGCGGCATATAAATTAAAGCCAAAAAAAAAAAAAAAAGCTCCAAAGGGTAGGAGCAACAGCAGAGAAGGCCCTTCTCCTGGACCTCCCCACCCCAGCTGGAATAATGGGGACCTGCAGCATGCCTCCTAGGCCAGCACAAATGGTACAGGCCAGTCCCAGTGGGGCAAGACAGTCCCTCAAGTAACCTGGACTCATGAAGGGCTTTGAAGGTGATCACCAACACCTTAAAGCAGACTCTTAAATAATTTAGCTGGCAGAGCAGTGGCCTCAGTGGTGTTTGTTGGCCGACCGATGATCAAAAGGCCGTGAAACGTGACAGTGAGCAAAATGAAGTGAAGGGCAGAGCAGGATTCACCCCTCAGCAGAACCCTGAGAAATTGCAATCACAATTTCACAAGCATCGCTTTCCCTCCTAATGCTTCATCAGGAATCTTCCCTCCTAAGATGCTCTCTGGGACAAATTTCCCTGAAACTGTTCAGATTCCTGTAATAGTTTATCTCCACACATAGGAAATCATCCATTGTCTATTTTCTGAGTAAAGAGGAACACCATGCTAGAATAATAAATAGAGATATGACAAATAGAGAATGCTCGTGGTATTATTCAAGAACAATGACAAATTTGCAATAATGACTTTTAAATTTAGCAATCCCCCTAAGGTTTATCTGTGATCTTTGGCCAGTTTATCTAATGGGTCGGGTTTTTTTAGAATTAGAAACAATATGTCACTGAATAAGCACATATTTTGCAATTAGAACAGATAGCACATTGGTTAAAGGGAGGGGGAAATGCAGGGTCCTTGGTGCTCTCTGAACTTGCTGGTTGTCTTGCAGATGTTTCATGACCCAACTAGGTAACGTCATCAATGCTAGAAAGGAGCAGGGTGTGCGGAGTGGAGGAGAAGAAGGAAGAAGAGGAGGAGAAAGAGGAGAACTGTGGGGTCCTTGGTACTCTCTGAGCTTAGTGGTTTTCTTGCAGACATTTCCATGACCCAACTAGGTAACATCATCAATGCTAGAAGAGGGTAGGGTGTGTGGAGTGGTGGTGGTGATGATGATGGTGGTGGTGGAGGAGGAGGAGGAGGACTGTGGGGTCCTTGGTGCTCTCTGAGTTTAGTGGTTTTCTTGCAGATAATTCATGAGCCAACTAGGTAACATAATTAGGATACTAAGCTACAAATATTCTCTTCTATTGGAGGAGAGAATCTCACAGAGAAAATGATGTAAGGCTCTCACAGTTGGAACTGGGACATCCTGAGATATCAGTAATAAATTTGAAAGGGGGGAAAGGTTGGAAACTTTGCAGGGCTTAAACAAACAGGAAAAACTCACTACCAGAATTGGTTCCTGTCTATCCAGATGAAATAGGCTGAAGGCCCCAACAGGGCTTTGATGCAAAGTCTACCACTATTTTGTTTGCCATTGGGATTGAAATTTTACAAGGGAGGGTGGGTGGTAGCGTGTCTACTCCTTCTTCCCACTCTTAATCCCAAAGGTGCTTTTTCCAAGAGGCAACTGGACTTCCTTTTTTTTTTCTTTGAAGATCTTTCGCTTCTCATCCAAGAAGCTTCTTCAGCTCGGACTTCAGCTCAGTCAAAGTTGAAGAAGCTTCTTGGATGGGAAGCAAAACATCTTCAAAGAAAAAAAAGGAAGTCCAGTTGCCTCTTGAAAGAGAAGCACCTTGGGGACAACCATGACTTGGATGACGGAGAATCTCCACAGACATTCCTCTCTTCATCTCTATGAAATCCTAAGAATATCAGCAGAGTCCTCATAGATCACACTTTAGCCAGATAAGCAGAGATTAACGGCAATATTAACACTAAACCAACAGTCAAACTTAAAGAACAGGCCAATCAGAGAAACACCAACTCAGACAAGCAATCAAACAGTCAACAACGGGCTATTCAAGGAATCACCAAGAATACGCCCACCAACACTGACAAGGGCAAACCAATGATGTATAAACACAGAGCAAAACCCCACTGCCTTCTAGCGCTGATGATGTTACCTAGTTAGGTCATAAAACGTCTGCAAAAAAATAACCAAGTTCAGAGAATAATACCACGGATCCCACAATCCTCCTCCTCATCCCACAAACCCCATCCCCTTTTAGCACTGATGATGTTCCCGAGTTGGGTCATGGAAATGTAAGAAAACCACCAAGCTCAGAGAGCACCAAGGAGCCCACAGTTTGTTTGTTTTTTTTTTGCTTTAATTTATATGCCGCCCTTCTCCGGAGACTCAGGGCGGCTTACAATGCGTTAAGCAATAGCCTTCATACTTTTGTATATTTATACAAAGTCAGCTTATTGCCCCCACAAACTGGGTCCTCATTTAACCTACCTTAGAAAGGATGGAAGGCTGAGTCAACCTTGAGCCTGGTGGGATTTGAACTTGCAGTAATTGCAAGCAGCAGATGTTAATAACAGTGCATTAGTCCACTGTGCTACCAAGGCCCTTCAGTTCAACCCTGACCTTAAAATATTCCCTTCTATTGGTTCCAATGTGTCGCCTGGATATTATGATGTGTGAAGCACTTATATCAGTACATATTTACCACTGAATGCTTAAGTGAACTAATAATAATAATAATAATAATAATAATAATAATAATAATAATAATATTTAGAAATTCTAAATTTGCCGGACTTGAACATTTTGACTCTACAAAAAACCACCTTACTTGGAACAGCTTACATCCTCCGACGATACCTTAACAGTTCCTAGGTCCTTGGTTAGGACTCGAGCTGCTGAGCTATTAACCAGCCTCAAAGGCTGTGAATCTCACTAAAGATTAAATAATAATAATAATAATAATAATAATAATAATAATAATAATAATAATGATAGAGCTGGGGGAGAGCAAACAGGAAATAATTCATTACCTTTTTTCGTAAGTGGAGGACAGCAAACCCCCATCCGGCCCTTTGGGGATGACTCCTACACAAATTTGATGTTTATCAATAACATGTGGGTTTTCCAAATGAACTGGGAACGGTCTGCAGAAAAGGAGAAAGTCAACACGATGTAATCAACGTATTAGAGAGATGGCCTTCGTGGCTTAATACTTGTCTGCCTAATTCCTGAAACCAGGCAGAAGGAGATGGCAGCCGCCTGTAGGTACTTAAGGGTTAAATCTAGCAATCTGCAGTAACGTTGCAGGCAGTCCTCAACTTACAACCATTCATTTAGTGACCGAAGTTTCAACGGCACTGGAAAAAGTGACCACTTTTCACACTTACGACCGTTGCAGCACCCTCCCCCCCCCACGGTCACGTGATCAAAATTCGGATGCTTGGCAACTGGCATGTATTCATGACGGCTGCAGTGTCCTGGGGGGGTCGGGGGGGGTCCATGCAATCTCCTTTTGTGGCTTTCTGACAAGCAGAGTCAATGGGGAAGCCGGATTCACTTAAAAACCGTGTTATTAACTTCATGGCTGCCAAGATTCATTTAACAACTGTGGCAAGAAAGGTCGTAAAATGGCGCAAAACTCACTTAACTATCTCAATTAGCCACAGAAATTTTGGATTCAGCTGTGGCCCGAAGTCAAGGACTACCTGTATATATTCATTAAATTCATTCCTACAATCTCCTCCATTGTGAGTATTGTTTCCCGAGAGGAAGGGGAGTTGACACATTTCCACAAGGAGAAAAGAGAATTCCTTTCTCTAAAGGAAGTTGTGTATTCCAAATCACATAATTCACTTGTGTTGATGGTAATCTTACATAAATGTTCATCCTGTATTAAATAAGCCCCCCAATTATAAAAGGTGGCTTCCAGGTCTGGCATCCAGATATCTACAAACCTTCTACTCTTATTATCCAGAGTAATAAAAATAAAGCAGGAAGGGGAAAAAAAAAACTTTCCCCACATATATCACGCAGATAATTGGCCGGGATAGTACACGGGTGACTTGAAATGGACATTAATTTTCATAAAGTAATGAGGTGTAGAAACAAAGTTGAACTGAGATCAATCCAAAGCAAAACTTGCATTCAGACTTAGCTGCAAAACATCTGTGGAGAGTCATATAAATTTATCACAGCCTTCGCATCAAATAGAACAACTTAAAAGCTCACGTTATGTATGATTTAATGAGAGTTACCTTGCAGTAAGATGGGCAGCCTATAAACTTTATGAATGAATTAGCAAACAAACGTAGAATGAAGCTCAACAAATCTCATTGTACATATGTTGTGCACTGACAATAAAGATTTGAATTTGAAGACAAACAGAACAGAACAGAACAGAACAGAACAGAATTCTTTATTGACCAAGTGTGATTGGACACACAAGGAATTTATCTTGGTGCATACGCTCTCAGTGTACATAAAAGATACGTTCGTCAAGAATCATAACACTTAATGATAGTCATAGGGAAACAGTCAATATAAATCGTAAAGATACAAGCAACAAGGTTACAGTCACACAGTCAAAAGTGGAAGGAGATGGGTGATGGGAACGATGAGAAGATTAATAGTAGTGCAGATTTAGTAAATAGCTTGACAGTGTTGAGGGAATTATTTGTTTAACTGAGTGATGGCATTCAGGAAAAAACTGTCCTTGTGTCTAGTTGTTCTGGTGTGCAGTGCTCTATAGCGTCGTTTTGAGGGTAGGAGTTGAAACAGTTGATGTCCAGGATGTGAGGGGTCTGTAGATATTTTCATAGCCCTTTTTTTGACTCATGCAGTAGGCAGGTCCTCCATGTAAGGCAGGTTGGTAGCCATGGTTTTTTCTGCAGTTCTAATGATCCTCTGAAGTCTGTGTCTGTCTTGTTGGGTTGCAGAGCCAAACCAGACAGTTATGGAGGTGCAGATGACAGACTCCATCATTCCTCTGTAGAACTGGATCAGCAGCTCCTTGGGAAGTTTGAGCTTTCTGAGTCGGCACAGAGAGAACATTCTTTGTTGTGCTTTTTTGATGACGTTTTTGATGTTAGGTGTCCATTTTAGATTTTGCGATATGGTAGAGCCTAGAAATTTGAAGGTCTCTACTGTTGATACTATGTTGAAATATATGGGTGGTCCTCGCCTTACGATGGTTTGTTTAGTGACTGTTCAAAGTTACAATGGCACCGAAAAAAGTGACTTCTGACTGCTTTTCACACTTAAAACCATTGCAGCATCCCTTGGGTCATGTGATCAGAATCCGGATGCTTAGCAACTGGTTCATATTTATGACAATTGCAATATCCTGGACTCACGTGATCCGCTTCTGTGACCTTCTGACATTTGGGGCGAGCCACTTTCACTCAACAGCTGGGTTACTAATTTAACAACTGTAGCAAGAAAGGTCATAAAATAGGGCAAAACTTACTTAACAAATGTTTCACTTAGCACAGGGGTGTTCCCAACCCCCGGTCTATGAGACCCAATACACCCACTTCACAGTCGGTTCCTATTGTTCCCCTCTAGGATGAAGTTTCAAAGTATTTATAGCAGAACTATCTAATTCTGGAACAGCTTTGTTCCTTAGGCCAGGGGTCTCCAACCTTGGCAACTTTAAGCCTGGTGGACTTCAACTCCCAGAATTCCCCAGCCTTAGGCCACCCATCTTGCAAACTTGCAAGATTCGTTTTTCTCGCCATGTACATGTATACATCCAAACTAGACTGTGTTTTTAGAATTCTTTATTGGCCAAGTGTGATTGGACACACAAGGAATTTGTCTTTGGTGAGTTAAGCTCAGTGTACATAAAAAATACATTCATCGAGAATCATAAGATACAACACTTAAGTGATAGTCATAGGATACTAAATAAGCAATCAAAATCATACTAGGAAACTAAATAAAACAATACAAAGATACAAGCAAGAAGGTTATAGTCAGAAGGAGGAGGAGACAGGTAATAGGAAGGATGAGAAGAATAGTAGTAAATAGTTTATAGTAAATAGTCAGTAAATAGTTTGACAGCGTTGTGGGAATTAGAAGTTTAGCAGAGTGATGGCATGCAGGGAAAAACCTGTCCTTGTGTCTAGTTGTTCTGGTGTGCAGTGCCCTATAACGTCGTTTTGAGGGTAGAAGTTGAGACAATTTATAGGAGTTTTTCTCCTTGACATATAATCTATGTAGTTATATGCCTAATTTTGTCTTTATTTATTTAGTCATGTTTATGTTGTGTATATTGGAGATGGAGACCCTCTGGGAGCTGTATGCAATGAAATTTCATTTGAATGTACGCCAATTAGTGTACATTCCAAATGACAATAAAGTTATTCTATTCTAAGTGGACCAGCACTACGCCTCAGCATGCCGGAAACCAGGCCGGGTAAACAAGCGAACTCCCATCCGCGGGATGCAGGCGGCATGCATAACCACGCCCCCTCTGGTCCGTGGGAAAAAATCTCTCTCCATGGAACCGGTCCCTGGTGCCCAAAAATTTGAGGACGGCTGACTTAGCAACATCAATTTTGGGCTCAATCCTGATCGTAAGTCACCAAGGATGTGTGTGTCCCAGGATAATGTCGCAGGATGCAATCTGAGTCGGTCATCAGGACCCGAGATTTACTCTTCTGAGCTTTCAATCTCGTGCTAGAGCCCATCCTCAGAGAACTTCTCTCTTGGAGAGTGTGTGCTTTGGGCTATTCTGTGTGTGTTTTTTATTATTATTTTTATTATTCATATTTCTATGCCGCCCACTCTCCAAGGACTCTGGGCGGCTTACACCAAAGACAGTATACTAAAATAGCATATTGACCCCAACAATCTGGGTCCTCATTTTACCCACCTCGGAAGGATGGAAGGCTGAGTCAACCTTGAGCCGGTGAGATTTGATCCACTGATCTGCTGAACTAGCAGTCAGCTGAAGTAGCTGCAATACTGCACCCTAACCACTGCGCCACTTCGGCTCTTTTATTTATGTTATTTATATGGTGCCTTTTTAAATGTTGATTGGGGTATGTTGATGGTTGGCTTTTAAATCATTAACTGTCGTTTCCTTGTGCTGCCCAGCCCTGGCCTCCTAAATATTTTATAAGCTGGTGGTAAATCAGCACTCTGTGGTGGCGCAGTGGTTAGAGTACAGTACTGCAGACTACTTCTGCTGGCTGACTGCAATTTGGCAGTTTGATCCTGACCGGCTCAAGGTTGACTCAGCCTTCCATCCTTCCAAGGTTGGTAAAATGAGGACCCAGATTGTTGGGGGAAATATACTGACTTTGTAAACTGCGTAGAGGACTGTAAAGCACTATGAAGCGGTATATAAGTCTAAGTGCTATTGCTGTTGCTCCTGTTGACTGACGCGAGGGGCCTATTTCCCAGGCTTCAATCACTTCCCTGGCTGTTTTTGTGCCTGCTCGTCTAACAATCTTAGTAGCTGCAAGATTGAACGTATACATACATGCAGGAAGTGATTGAAGTTTAGGAAATAGGCCCCTCCGGGACACAGTGAAGGACAGGGGAGACTGGTGTGCTCGGGACCATACAGTTGTGAAGAGTCAGACACAACTTAGTGACTGAACAATGACAATAACATATAATAGTCCCGCAACAGTGATCAAGTATAAATGCATCTTTGATGAGAAACAATGATTGTATGGGCAAATTTTTTTTGGTTATAATATAGAGTTAGAGAAATGGCAAAAACCGTGGGACAGGAACTATAAATTGACTATGGCTTCGGCGTATAAAGAAAACCTTTACAAAATGTTTTACAGGTGGCACTTACCACTGGCAAGACTGGCAAAAATGCTCAGTAATCTGTCCGCCAAATGCTGGAAATGCAATCCACCCACAGGTACTTACTATCATATATGGTGGACGTGTACCAAAGCAAGAAAGTATTGGGAGAAAATACGCAGCTGGCTGGAAAAGATAACTAAACAGAATATAGATCTAAAACCAGAAATGTTTTTGTTGGGCATAATACCGGAGGGTTTTGATAAAGGGATCACATATTTAGTTTTACATATATTGACAGCAGCAAGGACTATATTTACTAAATACTGGAAAAATGAGAACACCCCGCCGGATGAGGAAGTAATTCAAAAAATTTTAGACCGTGCTGAAATGGATAAGCTAACCTTAAAAATAAAGGATAAAGAAGACACAGAATATTATTTGATGTGGAACAGATTTTATGAGTGGTTAGAGACGAGAGGTAGAAATTAGAGGAAGAAAGACTACGAATGTTTGTATTAACAATAAAGAAGGTTTATAATTACAATAGTTATAATTAACAAAAATGTAAATAAGCCAATATAAAAAGAAACTTAGTTAAAATCATTTGGTTATATTATTACTACTATTCTCAATACACGTGTTATTACATTATTATTATTATTAGTTCATGTGTTAATATTTATTACTATTTTCTAGTTGGCTTTTTTTCTCTGTCTTCTAAATGGTATACCCTAACAATACACTGTATTAAAAAATGTTTATGAATAAAATAATAATAATAATAAAAGTATAAATGCATCTTTGAAAGAGATGAGCAGTCTAGAAACATGAGAAACTCCCAAGGTCCTTTTCTAATTGGATGTCCATTAATCCCAGTAAGTAAAGTTCTGCTTAAAGTTGAATGTTGATCTGAACCCAGACATTTCTGGCTTTTTTACAAGTCCACCAGGCACAATAAAACAGTCAACCATTTCAAGGTACAACAAAACATTTCCGGGCACAACAAAACTTGAGTATTGGTGAGCCAAGTTTGAGTTGCATCAGTGTAAACATAGCAAGTACGGTGGGCAGGCAATAAGATTTCTTGACAACCGCAGAAGAAAATAAACACATTGTTCTCTAACAGGAACCGAGGAGATAATGATAACCATGGAAAATCCCTGAGTTTTTCCGCTTTCAGTATCACTACTGTCAATATTATTTCAACCCGGGGCAAAAAGTTGCTTCTAAGCAATCTTTTTCTTTTATAGAGATCATTCTTGTCTGGAGGCTAATTTGCAACAGCTTGCCCTGGAAGGCCAGGGAATCTCCCATTTTCAAGGTCTTCAGGAAGCTCTGAAAATGTTTTCCTGGAAAATCCTTTAAGGTCTGGGAATTAATGCTGCACAGCTTCTAGGACCGGAAATACCACATTACTTGGAATGGTTTAAACCTTAAGGTGCTTTTGCAAGAGGCAAGTGGACTTTTGTTTTTCCTTGAAGACGCTTCTCTTCTCATCCAAGAAACCTGGATGAGGAGTTTCCTAGATGAGAAGAAGCGAAATGTCTTCAACGGGGGGGGGGGGGGGGGGAAGAAAGTCCAGTTGCCTCCTGGAAAAAGCACCTTTGGGACAACCTTGAGCTGGAGAAGTGAGAAGCTCCAGAGGCACTTAAATATAAATCGTATTTGTTTTGTTGTAGGTCGCCATCATGTGGGGAAACAGGAGACCAGCGGCTGTATTGAATGTTATCAATGGATGAGAGAATACCTTGGCTGTGGATTTCGCTGTATGGCTTTTTAATGTTTCTATTTATTTTTTTGTATCCTGCCTTTTTTATTTTTACAAATAACGCAAGATAGCGAACATATGCAACACACCTCCCTTCTCCTATTTTCCCTACAACAACCCTCTGAGGCAGGTTGGGCTGAGAGGGAGGGACTGGCTGAAAATCACCCAGCCGGCTTTCATGCCTAAGGCAGGGCTAGAACTCAATCTCCTGGTGATTGGTCCAAAGTCACCCAGCTGGCTTTTATGGCTAAGGTGAGACCAGAACTCATTGGTTTTCTAGTCTGGTGCCTTAACCATTAGATCAAACTGCCTTTATTCAAATTGGCTTTCTATTTACTTATTTAAAACATCTGTATTTATTTACATATTTGTGTGTTAAATTATTTGCTGCCCATTTTGCTGGGGGGCTATTCTGGGTGGCTTACAACAATAACATGGAGGAAAAAAGGATGAACCCCCTGCCCCGTAAACAATAACAAAGGAATAAAACAATAAAATAAACAATGGAGGCACAATCAAGTAAATAAATAATATAGTTATCTGGTTTTCAAAAAAAAATCATGTGTATGATTTTCAAATGTTAACTGCTTTTCTATTCATCTTTTTGCAATCTCTAAGCTGCCCAGAGTCATTTTATTGGGGCATATATTTACGATATATATATCATAAAATAAAATAAAATAAAACAAAATAAAATAAAATAATAAAATAATAAAATAAAATAAAATAAAATAAAACAAAATAAAACAAAAAACAGTAAAACTAAAGAAAGAAAGAAAGAAAGAAAGAAAGAAAGAAAGAAAGAAAGAAAGAAAGAAAGAAAGAAAGAAAGAAAGAGAAAGACCATCTTATACTGAATTCTGGGAAGCTCTCAATCAGCAATTTAAAAAAAAGTAATAATAAAATAATGCATAATTATAATAAAGCCATAAACATTGAACACCTTGCACCAAAGCAAAACACACAACCTACAATCCCTCATTAAAGCCTCTCACCCCCCTCTCCCTATCCAATGCTGGGGGGAAGCCCAAGCGTTTCCATAGGGTAAGGGCTCCTATGGAAAGGCAGGCTTCCTAGCTCCCGTGATGTGGCGGAATGTAGCCTGGATTCCGAGGAGGGAGGGGGCTGCTTCCCAGAGAGCAAAGAAACCAGAGGAGCTTGGAATGTCTGGTGGGCAGAAAGAGGGTTAAGATGGACCCTTCCTATCAGGTTACAAATGGTGATCACATGACCCAGGATAGTGAAACCGTCATAAATATATGCCAGTTACCAAGCGCCTGAATTTTGATCATGTGACCATGGGGATGGTGCAAGGGTCATAAGTCTGAAAATTGATTGTAAACCTTACAAGCCCTCTCTGGGCAGATTACAATAGCAGCATCTTGCCCCGTAACAAACTGGCTCCTCATTTTACTGACCTCAGAAGGACGGAAGGCTGAGTCAACCTTAAACCAGTCAGGATCGAACTTCTGGCAGCGGGCAGAGTCAGCCTGCAATACTGCATTCTATCCACTGCGCCACCATGGCTCTAATAGATACATAATATTGCTGCTACTGCTTTGGCTGCAGCTGCTGTTTTTATGCACCCTGTAGCGTCATCTTGCCTGAAGCGGCCTATTAATTATTATTTTTTTAATTAATTCAAAAAGGAAATAAAACAGGACTCACATCTGCATCTCCATAGCAAAAGAGGAAAGTGGGGAAAGGGTCCCGCTCGTCAGAATAATGGTGCGGACTCCCTGACGAACCAACTCCTGCATGCTGTATCCGGGGCTGAAACACCAGTAGCTCAAGATCTTCCCTGGATCAAATGAACACCAAGGCAAAATGTTAGAGCATCTTTGAGTATCAAATTAAGGTAAAGGTTCCCCTCGCACATCTGTGCTAATCGTTCTAGACTCTAGGGGGCAGTGCTCATCTCCGTTTCAAAGCCGAAGATGTCTCCGTGGTCATGTGGCCGACATGACTAAACACCAAAGGCACACGGAACGCTGTTACCTTCCCACCAAAGGTGGTCCCTATTTTTCTACTTGCATTTTTTTTTTTACGTGCTTTCAAACTGCTAGGTTGGCCGAAGCTGGGACAAGTGATGGGAGCTCACTCCGTTACGCGGTACTGGGGATTCAAACCGCTGAACTGCCGACCTTTCGATCGACAAGCTCAGTGTTTTAGCCACCGTGTCCCTTATAAAATTAAAGATGAATGTAATTATTTGCATAATTATTTTACGTGTCAAGCATCTATTAACCTGGAGTGATTTGGTTTTGCTAACTTGCTAGAAGAACTAAATGCAATCATTTTACACCTTTTCTCTGGCCTACGTCAAATCTTTACAACAATGGAGTCCTTGGTGATCTCTGGGCTTTTTTTGCACACATTTCATTATCCAACTAGGTAACATCATCCAGGATGGATAAAAATTTATGATTTTTTTTAAAAAACCACATTTTTAAAAAAATTTAAATAAGATTTTTTAAATAAGTTTTTTATTGTATAGACAAACATACAATACATAATCATTCATTCAGTGTATCATCTGAGTACATCTTTTGTGTCTTCTTCCTACTCCTATATACCCTATATATATATATCTTCTCTAACCAATAATAAAATTGCCCCCATATCTTAAAATATTCCGATTCCTCTCTTCCTTTAATTGTCAAAGTAAATCTGTTCATTTCTACACAATCCAATATTGACAAATGTCTCGCATAGCGACAGAAATTTTGGGCTCAATTGTGGTCATATGTCGAGAACTACCTGTAACTGATTTTGTGTATCTGTCCACGAGATCTGTCTGAAACCACTTTATTACAATCCCTGTATTTTTTCACTAGGCTTCTAAACAAGTTCAATCACCGCATGCTCACTGTAACAACAGAAAACATGACACCTGAGTAGCAGTGCACAGGTAGTCCTCGACTTACAACAGTTCATTTAGTGACTGTTCAAATTTACAACAACACCGAAAAAAGTGACTTATGACCATTTTTCACACGTACATCCCTTTGTACATCCCTAGGATCATGTGATCAAAATTCAGACGCTTAGCCATTGGTTCATACTTATGACCATTGCTGTGTCCCAAGGTCCTGTGATTACCTTTTGCAACCTTGTGACAAGCAAAGGCAATGGGGTAGCCAGATTCACTTAACAACTGGGAGACTCACTTAACACCTCCAGCGATTCACAACAACTGTGGCAAGGAAGGTCGTAAAATGGGGTAGAACTCAGATGTCTCACTTAACAACATCAATTTTGGGCTCAATTGTGCTCATAAATTGAGGATTCCCTGTACAATCAGTGAAGTCCGTTTAAAATGTCCATAATTAGCAGCAGATGTTTGTCTACTTAGTGATTTAGTTGAGCTCTTCACAAATTATTAAATCCTTAACAGAGACTGAGCAACAAACATCAATATTCTGGGTTTTGTTCCCAGGGTTGCTGCATGCAGGCCTTATCCATTTTAGTACACCTAGATGTACTAAATATGCACCTAGATACACCCACATTACACCAATTCTCCGCGAGCTGCACTGGCTCCTTATTGGTCTCTGGTCACAATTCAAGGTGTTGGTTATTACCTTTAACGCCGTACATGGCTCAGGGCCAGGTTATCTTCGAGACCGCCTTCTACTGCATAGCTCCCAGCGACTGGTAAGATCCCACAGAGTTGGTCTCCTCCGGGTCCCGTCAGCTAAACAATGCCGGCTGGCGGGCCCGCAGGGGAGGGCCTTCTCTGTGGCTGCCCCGGCTCTCTGGAACCAGTTACCTCCTGAGGTCCAGACCATCCCCACCCTATTGGCCTTCCGAAAAGCGGTGAAGACCTGGCTTTTCCGGCTGGCCTGGGGCCGTTGATCTCGCTCTTGTGATCTGGCGAGATCCAGCCATGAATGGCGTGAATGAGTTTTTAATGTTTTTTAATTTTTAAATGTTTTTTTATAATGATTTTTTGGAATGTATTGTGAGCCGCCCTGAGTCTTTGGAGAGGGGCGGCATATAAATTGAATTGAATTGAATTGAATTATTAAATTAATTAAATTAAATTAGTACTTCTCTGCAATGTTATCCAAACAGAACCAAAAGAAAAACAATAGAATTCTTTTTTCTTTTTCCAACGAAATCTGTATTTTGAACTGTATGTTTATAAATGTTCCTGGAACTAAGGACAAAGCCCATTTAAGAAGAAAGAGAGAGAAAGAAAGGCAAGCATTGTTTCGGAAAAGCAAAGGAAAATAACTCCCTGCAGAGAAACTCATGGAATATGACTCTTTTGTTTTGTGAGAGCAAAGAACAAAGAACTCTGCTACCTCATTACCTAAGTGATTCCCTTGAATTGCCTCACTGGCCTCGCAAAGCTCACAACAAGGTATTACATGCAATCAAATATCTTGCTTGCTGCATCCAGTCAGAACCATGGTGGACTTTACAATTCAATCTGTCCCTTATTTCGGCCTTTCTTTCTCCCCAGTGTTATTACTATAGGTAGTCCTCGATCTACGACCACGATTAAGACTTCCTGGACTTGTCAGTCCACGAAAGGACACAACTGGCGCACAGAAGCCCAAGGAAGAAACAGTCTCCAATGCAGGTAGTCCTCGACTTACAACAGCTCATTTAGTGACCGTTCGAAGTTACAACGGCACTGAAAAAAGTGAGCTATGCCCATTTTTCACATGACCGTTGCAGCATCCCCATGGTTCTGTGATCAAAATTCAGATGCTTGGCAACTATTTATACAAAGCTGACTTTGTATAAAAAAGAACACTGCTTGGGGGGAGGAGTGGGGGCAAAAGCCCTACTAAGCAGGTATATACAAAAGTATGAAGGCTATTGCTTAACGCATTGTAAGCCGCCCTGAGTCTCCGGAGAAGGGCGGCATATAAATCGAACCAATAAATAAATAAATAAACTGACTCGTATTTATGACGGCGGAAGTGCCCTAGGGTCCCCTTTTGAGATTTTCGGGCAAGCCAAGTCAATAGGGAAGCCAGATTCACTTAACAACCGTATTACTAACTTAACAACTGCAGTGATTCACTTAACAACGGTGGCAAAAAAAAAGGTGATTGAAATGCAGCAAAATTCACCTAATATCTGTCCCGCTTATCAACAGAAATGTTGGGCTCAATTGTGTTCGTAAGTCGAAGACTAGCTGTAGTTGTCTCAAAAGGTGCTTTTTCAAAAGGCGGCTGGATTGTTTTTCCTCGAGGAAGAATAAGAAGACATTTCACTGCTCATCCAAGACGCTTCATCGGTTCTAGCAGAACTTTGGGGGCGATGGAAGGAAAAGGTGACCCCACCATCCAGTCACAACTGATGAAGTTTTTTGAATGGGAAGCAAAACGTCTTCCTTCCTCAAGGAGAAACATTGTCCAGTTGCCCTTTGAAAAAGCACCTTTGAGACACCTTTGACCTGCGTGACTGAGAATCTCTGTAGATATTTAGCCTCCCAATAGCGTTCATCGTAACGACATGCTAAGTTAACAGCCAAATAAATCTACCGCTATTATTTTATACCAAGCTGTAAAGTGTTTAACCTCCAGGTTACCTTGTTTCTTAGTTGGCAACGAGTTCCACAAATCGGTCCGGGGCTTCCATTTTGTATTGTTTTCATCAAGATGGATATGGACCTGGAGAAGAGGATAACATCAAAGAACAGGAGATGAACCTGCATCACGATGTCTCAAAGGGGTCTAAGGTAAAGGTAAAGGTTCCCCTCGTACATATGTGCTAGTCGTTCCCAACTCTAGGGGGCGGTGCTCATCTCCGTTTCAAAGCCGAAGAGCCAGCGCTGTCCGAAGACATCTCTGTGGTCATGTGGCCGGCATGACTAAATGTCAAAGGCGCATGGAATGCTGTTCCCTTCCCACCAAAGGTGGTCTCTATTTTTCTACTTGCTTTTTTTACATGCTTTCGAACTGCTAAGTTGGCAGAAGCTGGGACAAGTCACGGGAGCTCACCCCGTTACACGGCACTAGGGATTCGAACCGCCGATCTTTCTGATCGACAAGCTCAGCGTCTTAGCCACTGAGCCACCGCGTCCCCTCAAAGGGGTCTATACGTCCATAAAAGGAGTTCAAACCACCATCTAATACAATTTGCATTCCATAAGAGTTTTTAAGGTCCATTTACTCCGATGAATGTGAACCAAATCCTTTAGTTTACAATTCTCGCCCTTCCAAGTTAGAGATGACTATTTGGGTATCACCGTAAAGGAAAATTTGAGAGATCAACCTAAAATTCTCTAACCCAAATAGACATTATTCAGGGGAATTAAACCGTCAGCTCAACTAATAACACATCAAAACGCCAAAGAAAACTGACAAATGGGAAAACCCCATGGGTGTTGAACGAAGCTCTGGAAATGGAAACAACTCCTAGAAATAAACCATGTTTATGAAAAGCTGTCTCTTTGTTTTTCAAAAGCCCATAGTCCTTTTGCTTCTGTTGCATTACCTAGTAGTAATTTTATTTATTTGTATCCCATCCTTATTTTTATCAATAAGGCAGCAAACATACCTAATATTCCTTGTTTCTCCTATTTTCCCCACAACAATGACCCTGTGAGGTTAATTGGGCTGAGTGAGAGGGACTGGCTCAAAGTCATCCAGTCAGCTTTCATGGCTAGGGCCAGACTAGAACTCACCGTCGCCTGGAATCTTAACACTAGACCAAACTGGCTTTCGAATGCTTTAATGACCTCATTGCGTTAGTGTTTCTCAACACTGGCAACTTTAAAATGAACTTCAACTCCCAGAATTATCCTAAAGTTCAACCAATTAATCAGAATAGAGCTGGAAGGGACCTTGGAGGTCTTCTAGTCCAGTCTCCTGCTCAAGCAGGGGAATCAGTACTATTTCAGACAAGCGACTGCCCAATCTCTTCTTAAAAACCTCCAGTGATGGAGCACTACAACTTCTCAAGACAATTTGTTCCACTGGTTGATTGTCCTCACTGTTAGGAAATTTCTTAATTCCAGGTTGCTTCTCTCCTTGATTAGTTTCCATCCATTCTTTCTTCACTTGCCTTCTGGTGCTTTGGAAAATAAGTTGACTCCCCTCTTCTTTGTGGCAGCCCCTCAAATACTGGAAGACTGCTATCATGTCCTCCCTAGTCCTTCTTTTCTCTAGACTGGCCATTACCCAATTCCTGCAACCATTGTTCACATGTTTTAGTCTCCAGGCCTTTAATCATCTTAGCTGCTAAGGTTGAGAAACACTGCACTATGTTATATGCTGGACTCAGAACAAATGCTTGCAGTTGCCTATATCACTTAATGACATCACTGCTGTTTCCAATAACATGCATAGGCTGTCTGCTTAAATCTGTAAATCGTGATAGTAAACATTTCCCTCTTTGGGTCTGTCTTTATCCTCCAGCTTCGTCAATGAACCAATTTTCATTGTGCTTCAGTGTGATTGTGTTCCGGTTTTTTGGTTTAAACTAAGAAAATTCTTCTGGAATAGCATCAAGTATCTGGAAGGCATTGCATTGGGGAAAGCTACACAGAGACTGTATATGTTTAAGGGCTGAAGAAACAGATGGATTGCAGTTTAGAAAAGAGTAACTAACAATAGCCAGTTTGGTCTAGTAGCTAAGGGACCAGGCTAGAAACCAGGAGACGGTGAGTCCTAGTCCCACATTCGGCATGAAAGCTGCTGGGTGATTCTGAGCCAATCATCAGGAGGCTCTGAGTTCTAATCCTGCCTCAGGCATGAAAGACACTGGGTGACTTTGGACCAATCACCAGGAGACTGACTTCCTGTTCTGCTTTAGGAAAGAAAGTCAGCTGAGCGAGAGGATTGCTGTTGTGGAGAAAATAGGAGGAGGAAGGAGTATTAGATATGTTCACCGTCTTCAGTTATTTACGAAAATAATACAGGTGGTACAAAAAAAGTCTTTGAAAACCCCAGACGTTAAACTGAAGAGCTGTGAAACCTGTGCTTTTCATTTCCTTAAAATGTAGTGGCCATTTAAATTTAATTTAATGTATCCAGTTTAGGTGTCACTTGAAGATTTGGAAATCATATTCTAATTTTCTAGCAAAAAAGCAACTAAAGAATATATCATTGCCTTATAAGGGTGTTACTTACCTTATAGTATTTTGATATCACATCGCCTGCTACGATGCCAGGCGCCCCTTCCGATGAACCAACATTAAAAACAGTCTACAATAGAGGGAAAAAATAGAATTAAATGGGTGACAAATCCAGCCACGTTTCTAGTAAAGTAACATTCGAAAATGCCTTCCCCTTATCAGAAAAAAGTATTTTATTATGATCTTATGATTTTGCTGGCTCTCTAGTTTACCTTTTATGACCTTAACTCAACAGTCAGATTGAAAGCATGGAAAACTAACTAATTGCTTTAAAAAGCAATTTATTATTTATTTATTTTAGAAAAATTTATTTTAGAAAAATAGCCAGCTGGGGCTAGTGGTTAAGGAACCAGGCTAGAAGCCAGAAGACTGTGAGGTCTAGTACCGACTTAGGCACGAAAACCAGCTGGGTGACTTTGGATCAATCACCAAGAGGTGAGTTCTAGTCCCACTTTAGCATGAATGCCAACTGGGTAATTTTGAATCAATCACAAGGAAATGATGAGTTCTTGTCCCAATTTAGGCATGAAAGCCGACTGGATGACTTTGGGCCAATCCCCAGGAGACCAAGCATCTCAGACTAAGCTAAATCCAAAAGCATTAGAAAATTCCTGGAAGCCAGGCAGTCAGACAAATCAGCCATCAACAGGCACATAGAGATAAATGACATCTACATACTATTCAAAAGAGACCATTCAAAAGCTAAGAAGGAAACAAAGAGACCAAAACACTTCCTCACCAACAATCAACATCCAGATACGCAGAGATGAACACCAAGATGATTATTAGACTAACAATCAAGCTGTAAGGAATACTCCAAATCAAGGAACTACCAACTGAGACAAACAATCCAACAATATACCACCTAATCAAGGAACCACTAAGAACATTTTCCGGATTTTTCGTCGGGCCCTGAAGACCTATTTATTTCAACTAGCTGGGCTGGCTTGAGTTAAATTTTAAACTGATTTTAAATTGGATTGTTTTAATTTACGGCCAAAATATTTAATTATTTTAAACTGTTTTTAAATTTTGTATGTCCTGTTTTTTACTTTGGCTGTACACCGCCCTGAGTCCTATTTGGAGAAGGGCGGTATAGAAATTGAAACAAATAAATAAATAAACATTCCCACCAACACCAACAGGGCAAGCCACTTAAATATAAGCAGAGAGCAAACCCCCTTCACCTCTACAGTGTTTCCCGATAATACGATTTACCCAATTAAATCCTAGCTTTTTACACATACGCCCAATATAAGCCCTACCCAACCCAATAAGCTCTAATTAAGACCCCGCCCACTCCAGGGTGCAGGGCGTAGGGCGAGGTGCATGGGTAAAAATTAAGCTGGGGTGGGGATGGCCGGGGTGTGGAGGTTCCCTGCTTACCAGGCCTCACATAGATACCTGCTTTGCCTTGCCAGCCCACTTCTTCTGCTGCCGCTTGCTGCCACTCATGCGTCGCCCCCAGCCTGTTTCACTGTCAGAGACCCTTCCAGAAAGCCCTCTACAGTGGGAATGGGGATCATTTACTGGCCCATCTTGCATTTCTTATGGTTCCTCTTGGGTTTCCAACAGATGCCTCAGAAATCTCCCAGTATAGGTAGTCCTCAACTTACAACAGTTCATTTAGTGACCATTCAAAGTTACAATGGCACTGGAAAAAGTGACTGATGACTGTTTTTCATGACCTTTGCAGCATCCCCATGATCATGTAATCAAAACTCAGATGCTTGGCAACTGGTTCGTATTTATGACGGTCGCAGTGTCCCGGGGTCAGGGGATTTTTGTGACCTTCTGACAAGCAAAGTCAGTGGGGAAGCCAGATTCAACTTAACAACCAGGTTACTAACTTATCAACTGCAGTGATTCACTTAACAATTGTGGAAAGAAATGTTGTAAAATGGGGCTAAATACACTTAACAAACGTCTTGCTTAGCCACAGAAATGTTGGGCTCAATTTTTTTATTTTTTTTTAAAATTTGATTTATATGCCGCCCTTCTCTGGAGACTCAGGGCGGCTTACAATGCGCTAAGCAATAGCCTTCATACTTTTGTATATTTATACAAAGTCAGCTTATTGCCCCCACAATCCGGGTCCTCATTTCACCTACCTTAGAAAGGATGGAAGGCTGAGTCAACCTTGAGCCTTGGCGAGATTCGAACCCTGCAGTAATTGCAGGCAGCTGGTCTTAATAACCAGCTTAATAACAGGGTGCCTTAAACCCCTGTACTACCAAGGCTCTTGTGGTCGTAAGTCGAGTAAGCAGCATTATTTTGGGCTCTGCGACCCAAGTAAGATCCTCCTGGTAGCCTTTGGTGCTATGTTTGACAAGCATTCTGAGACAAACTCGGATTGTTTTCATGGAACTTTTTTGTACTGCAGAGTGTAAGCTGCTTGCGGACATATAAACAGATGGCGTAAAAAATTGCTGGAACTGAATAATAGGTGATATTTTTTTTGCTCCTGCTGTGAAATTGCCTAGTGCTTCGCTCCGAATTTACTATTCCTTTTACTATTTTCATTTTAGAATGTTTTAAAATGATAATGAGGATGATCAAAGCAGCCCTTGGGGGGGACTGAAAGAACAGAAGGGCGGAAGAGAAATGATTTTATGCAAAAATAGATTATTAAATTCTCTGAAGGGAGATAGATCCTTAACCAGGTCACTTCCACATTCAGTAGCTCTGTTTTCATAACCTGCTAAATTTGTTTTAACCCTAGGGTTATTGGTTTTGAAGAGATCGTCCCCTGCTCAGCAATGGTACAGGTAGTCCTCGACTTACGACCACAATAGAGCCCAACATTTATGTTGCTAAGCGGGACATTGGTTAAGTGAGTTTTGCCCCATTTTACAACTTTTCTTGCCAGAGTTGTTAAGTAAATCATTGCAGCTGTTAAGTTAATAATCCGGTTGCTAAGTGAATCTGGCTTCCTCGCTGACTTTATCAGATGGTCGCAACAGGAGTTCACATGATCCGGGGGATGCCGCAACCGTCATAAATATGAACCAGTTGCCAAGCAGCCGAATTTTGGTCACGTGACCATGAGGATAATGCAATGGCTGTTAAGTGTGAAAAGCGGTCACTTTTTTCAGTGATGTTGTAACTTCCAATGGTCACTAAATGAACGGTTGTTAAGTCGAGGACTACCTGTAATTGGAACCGGGAACTCCATTGCAGTCATAGGGTAAAACATTGCGTGACTGCACCGACTTTTGACCGCGGTTGTGCCACTCCCACCTGCCGTCATTCGGAGAATCCCGTGTGGTGGCAGCCTCCCACCGTTATGGGATGGCAAATTGAGATCTCCAGACGGCTTCCCCATTGACTTTGCTTGTCAGAAACCGAAGATCGCAAAAGGCGATCATGTGACTGTGGGACAATGCAACGTTGCAATTCCAAGCGGATGGCAAGCGCCTGAATTGCGACCACGTAACCATGGGGGGGGGGTGCTGCGATGGCCACCACTGCAAGGACCATCCTAAGTCCCCTTCATTCAGCGCACTTGTCATTCTGAATGGCTGCTTTACAAGAGGATGTTAAATGAGGCCTGGCTGTACTTCTGTCTGTTTAATGAGTTTAAGATTTTAATGAACTGTGCAGCGCCTAGAAAATGGGTTAATTTGAGAATCAGGTCAAGCACGTAGTGTACTATGATGCAATTACAAGGCAGGAATTGTGGAGCCACTGGATTTGCAGTTAAGTATGCTAATGCAGTTAATGAAATCTTTGGACTTTTGCCAATGAGGAAAAGCATATTTCAATCGGAATAGAGCTGGAAGGGATCTTGGAGGTCTTCTAGTCCAACCCCCTGCTCAAGCAGGAGACCCTATACCCGTGATGGCGAACCTATGGCACGCATGCCAGAGGTGGCACATGAAGCCATATTTGTGGACACATGAGCGTTGCCCTAGCTCAGGTCCAACGCACATGTGCGCGCTGGCTAGCTGGTTTTCGGGCCTTCTGGGCCCACCGGAAGTCAGGAAACAGGCTGTTTCCGGCCTCCGGAGGACCTCTGGGGTGGGTGGGTGGGTAAGGCCGTTTTCGCCCTCCCCAGTCTCCAAGAAAGCCTCTGGAGCCTGGGGAGGGTGAAAAAACGGGCCTACTGGGCCCCATTGGTAACCTTTTTACCATTGTGTACCAAAAGGAAGGGGAGTGCTGAAGGGGTCGCGTGTGCATGCGCGGGGGCATTGAATTATAGGTGTGGGCATGCGGGCGCGTGACCCCCCTGCGCTCCCGCTTTTGGCACGCGACAGCAAAAAGGTTAGCCATCACTGCCCTATATTGTGATGGCGAACCTATGGCACGCGTGACAGGCAGAGCCCTCCCTGTGGGCATGCGCGCCGTCGCCAGCTGCTTTTTCTGGTTTCCGGTGCGTGCACGCACCCTGGCCAGCTGATCTTCATGCATGCTGGAGCCCCAGAAAACCGAAGACCAGCTGTTTCTTTCGGGTTTCCGGGGCTCCAGCATGCATGAAGACTAAAAACCACAAGACCAAGTGGCCAGCGCCTGCATGCACACCGGCCAGCTGGTCTTCAGGTTTTCAGGGCTCCATTGCGCATGCACATGTATGCACAAACTTCCCAGTTTGGGCACTCAGTGCCAAAAAAGTTCGCCATCACTGCCCAATACCATTTCAGGCAAGTGGCTGTCCAGTCTCTTCTTAAAAGCCTCCAGTGTTGGAGCAGCCACAAGTTTTGGGAGAAAAGTCGTTCCACTGGTTAACTGTCCTCATTGTTAGGAAGTTTCTCCTTCATTCCAGGTTGCTTCTCTCCTTGATGAGTTTCCATCCGTTGCTTCTTGTCTTGTTTTCTGGTGCTTTGGAGAATAGGTGGACGCCCTCTTCTTTGGGGCCGCCCCTCAAATACTGGAATAGTGCTATCATGTTCTTTTCTCTAGACTGCCCATACTCAGTTCCTGCAACCGTTCTTCATTTGTTTTAGTCTCCAGGCCTTTAATTAGTGCAATGAAATAGCTACTTCTGGTTTTTTGCTAATATATACACCTATCTACAGTATGTAGTATGTACCTAAACTGGGGTTGAAAACAATTTGATGGTACATAATTAATCAATCAATTGTGGATGTGTTACAGTACATATCGCCATAGACTCTAAAGCAACTTGTGTGGATTTCAACTCCCAGAATCCTTAGCCACGATGTATTGGAAGTGCAGACATCTTAAGGCTGCCGATTTTGAAAAACACTAGTGTTAACAATTTTGGTCAAATTCCTTTTGACCAAACAGTATATCTCTTTTGTCCTGATTAATTCAGTGTAAAGTATAGCTTGGAGAGTCATCTAGTGGTGGTTAGGAAAACAACAAGAACGATGAACACCAATAATAAACATATATTTTTATATATTTAATTCAAGAACTAAAAGTTTACCTGAATTACATCTGCAAACTTATGCAGTCCTGCGGTGTTAGTGAATATCCCAGAACCTAGAATAAACAAGTATGAAAATAATATTGCTATATATCCCAAAAAACATGCACATGACAAACATTCATTGAATATACTGTTTCCCTTGTTTTGTTATTCACTACCAAACATACAGCAAGTTTAGAAGATGGTGTTAAATAAAATTATCTAAAATTCCAACTAATTGTTCAGAATACAGGCAGTGCTCAACATACAGCCATTCATTTAGTGGCTATTCGAAGTTACAACAGCACTGAAAAAAGTGTCTTATGACCATTTTTCACACTTATGACCATTGCAACATCCACTTGGCCACGTGATTTACAATCAGATGCTTGACAAATGACTCGTATTTATGATGGTTGCAGCTTCCCAGGGTCACATGATCATCTTTTGCGATCTTCTGACAAGCAAAGTCTATGGGGAAGCCAGATTCATTTAACAAACGTGTGACTAATTTAACAACTGCAGTGATTCACTTAACAAACGTGGCAAGAAAAGTCATAAAATGGGGCAAAACCAGGGTGAAATCCAGCAGGTTCTGACAGTGAAGCTGCCATACCTAAAAATGAAGCAGGTACAGAAGCAGGGTGGATAAAAAGCCAGGAATCTTGCCTAAACGATCCCTTTGGGAAATAATTATTATTTCCTGCCCTTATTTTTATAGACAAGTCAAGGTGGCAAACATACTTAAGACTCCTTCTTCCTCCTATTTCCCCCACAACAAACCTGTGAGGTGGGATGTGTTGAGAGAGAGTGATTGGCTCAAAGTCAGCCAGCCAGCCTTCATGCCAAAGCCGGGACTAGAATTCACAGACTTCTGGTGATTGGCCCGGACTCACCAAGCTTGCTTTTATGTTTAAGGCAGGATTAGAACTCATAGCCTCTTGTTGATTGGCCCAAAGTCACCCAACTGTTTTTTATGCCTAAAACAAGACTAGGAGCCTGGTGGCACAACAGACTAAACTACTGTTAAAAGTAGCACTTAGCTGCCAGCTGCCTGCAATTACTGCGAGTTCAATTCTGACCAGGCTCAAGGTTGACTCAGCCTTCCATCCTTTCAAGGTAGGTAAAATGAGGACCGGTTTGTGGGGGCAATAAGCTGACTATGTATAAAATAGAACACCGCTTGGGGGGGGCCAAAAAAGCCCTACTAAGCAGGTATATACAAAAGTATGAAGGCACTGTAAGCCGCCCTAAGTCTCCGGAGAAGGGCGGCATATAAATCAAACTAATAATAAATAAATAAATAAATAAATAAATAAATAAATCAATCAATCAATCAATCAATCTCACGAAAACAAGAGTGGGAAATATCACCTGAACCAGACAAAAGAACTTGAGTCTGATCACATGGGAAACTCCTCCCCAAATCCCATTAACAGCTACCAGATCTGTCAATCAACAAGGTAAGAGTAGTTGCCAATCTTGCCAATCAACAAAGCAAGGTTTTTGGGGGATAAAAGGGGTCCAGAAGCCCACCCACTCTTTCGGTTGTCTTTGGATCCAGACTGGATGGCCGCCGTCCCTTTAGTTCATGCCTGGCAGCCTAGTTGCGAGGGACGTTGGTAAGTGTGAATGAGTGTTTGTGTGCATGTGAGAAAGAACAAAAGTACATTATAAATGAAGAATGGTTGCAGGAATTAGGTATGGGCAGTCTGGAGAAAAGGAGGACTAGGGGTGACATGACAGCAATCTTCCAGTATTTCAGAAACTGCCCCAAAGAAGAGAGAGTCAACTTATTTTCCAAAGCACCTGAGAGGCAGGACAAGAAACAATGGATGGAAACTCATCAAGGAGAGAAGCAACCTGGAACCAAGGAGAAACTTCCTGACAGTGAGAACAATTAATCAGTGGAACAACTGGCCACCAGAAGTTGTGGGTGCTCCAAGAGCCTCGGTGGTGCAGCGGACTAGAGTGCTGTTAAGTGCTAGCACTTAGCTGCCAGCTGCCTGCAATTAGTGCAAGTTCGAATCTCACCAGGCTCAAGGTTGACTCAGCCTTCCATCCTTTCGAGGTAGGTAAATTGAGGACCCGGATTGTGGGAGGCAATAAGCCAGCTTTGTATAGAACAACACCGCTTGGGGGGCGGGGCGAAAGCCCTAATAAGCAGGTATATACAAAAAAGTATGCAGGCTATTGCTATAATGCATTGTAAGCCGCCCTGAGTCTATGGAGAAGGGCGGCATATAAATTGGACTAATAAATAAATAAATAAACACTGGAGGCTTTTAAGAAAAGACTGGACAGCCACTTATCTGAAATGGTATAGGGCCGTGATGGCAAACCTATGACAAAGGTGGTATGCAGAGCCCTCTCTGTGGGAACGCGCCCCATCGCCCCAGCTCAGCCAGCTGGTTGTTGGGTTTCCGGCACTCTGGCACGCGCGCCTTCCAGTTTGGGCACTCTGTGCCTAAAAGGTTCGCCATCACTGGTATAGGATCTCCTGCTTGAGAAAGGGGTTGGACTAGAAGACCTCCAAGGTCCCTTCCAGTTCTATTCTGATTGACTGACCAGTAAAGTTTTGCTGCTGTTTTTAAATTCACTGGGTCTTTGAGTCTTCCAAAGAACCAGTTGTGCCTCAGACTTCCGTTGAATGTGATTCAAGTGTGGCTAATGACCAGGGCTTTGTGTTGTGTCTGTGATCATAAGGTGAACGGGAGAGCATGTGTAACAACAGTGCATCATTCAGCCATGTAATTAAATGAATCACATTTAATCACAACAGACACCAGGTCACCGGCAAGTGGGGGAAAAAACCACAACACAAGTATCCTTAAAAATGGAAACACACTCATCACTTTGTAATTCAAACAGTTGAAAGGTTACAAACCCAGGAACCGCTCCAGAACATTTTTTACAATTTCTTGTTAATCTGATATGACTCAGACACTTGGCAGGGTTCACACTATGGCCAACTTGGGAATCAAATTAACCGAGTTAATTTTAATTCCTGCATCTCGAAGGTTTTGGGGTTAACGTTCTTTAATATTAACTGGCATACGTGTGGGATCAAAAGTCTTTAAACAGTTTTGTTTGCTCTTGGGTTTTAAGACGTGTGCTTAAGTGGATTACTTGGAAACGGAAAATTGGACTGAGCAGGTCGAAACCTGTCAAAAACACTTAACGTATTCCATAGAAATGGTTTCAAAATGATCATTCATTAATGGATAAATACAAAAAAAAAAAAAGAGCAACTTTTAATTGCTCCACTGGCAGATGTGGGCTGATTGTGGCTAGGTATGCTTTGAAAACTCCTCTAGATTTTTAATTAGATTTAACCTGATTTAGGGAGCGTTTCAACAGGAAGAGAGAGAAGCTAACAGGGTGAAAGGGGGATCATAAGATGCTTAAAGGTTTTGTCTAACTCAACCTTTTGGGCACCAGGGACTGGTTCCATGGGGAGGTTTTTCCACGGACTGGAGGGGGCATGGTTTCATCCCATGGTTGCAGCCTTGTTTGTGCGGCCCAGTTTCTGGCATACCGCAGCCCAGTGCCAGTCCATAGACCAGGAGTTGGGGGTCCCTGGTCTAACTTAGATCTGGGCATTTTAAAAAGCTAATATCCCTTACCATAATATTATCAAAGCAGCCAGTTCCATTTTTTTTTTTAAATTTGATTTATATGCCGCCCTTCTCTGGAGACTCAGGGCGGCTTCCAATGCGTTAAGCAATAGCCTTCATCCTTTTGTATATTTATACAAAGTCATCTTATTGCCCCCACAAACTGGGTCCTCAATTTACCCACCTTAGAAAGGATGGAAGGCTGAGTCAACCTTGAGCCTTGGCGAGATTCGAACCAGCAGTAATTGCAGGCAGCTGGTCTTAAAAACAGGGTGCTTTACACCACTGTACTACCAAGGCTCCATTTATTGTTATGGCCTTGTTTATACCAACCATAATTCCTGGACGGTTTCAAAGTCAGCTCAGTATAGGTAATCCTCGACTTACAACAGTTTATTTCGTGACCATTTAGTGAAGTTACAACTACAGTGACAAAAGTGACATACGACCGTTTTTCACACTTACGACCGTTACAGCATCTCCACAGTCACGGGATGAAAAAACCAGACGTCTGGCAGCTGGTTCATATTTATGACGGTTGCCGTGTCCCGGAGTCACGTGATCCCCTTTTGCGACGTTCTGACAAGCTAAGGAGGAGCCTGGTGGTGCAGTGGACTAAACTACTGTTAAAGTAGTATTTAGCTGCCAGCTGCCTGCAATTACTGCGAGTTCAATTCTCACCAGGCTCAAGGTTGACTCAGCCTTCCATCCTTCCATGGTAGGTAAAATGAGGACCCGGATTGTGGGGGCAATAAACTGACTTTGCATAAAATAGAATACTGCTTAGGGGGGCCCGAAAGCCCTACTAAGCAGGTATATACAAAAGTATGAAGGCTATTGCTTAAAAAGCATTGTAAGCCGCCCTGAGTCTCCGGAGAAGGGCGGCATATAAATCAATCAAACAAATAAATAAATAAATAAGGCAGCAAGGAAGCCAGATTCACTTAACAACCATGTTACTAACTTAAAAACTGCAGTGATTTGCTTAACAACTATGGCAAGAAAAGTCGTAAAATGGGGCAAAATTCACTTAACCAATGTCTCATTGAACAACAGAAATTTTGGACTCAGCTGTGGTCCTAAGTCGAGGACTACCTGCATACCACTCATTGCAACAGAGCTCCTATTTAGGATAAATGCCAGGCTACCTTGATCCAACAGAGCCAAAACTGGCGAATCCACCAGCATCTGCCCATTTCTGGACCAGGAGGCCCTTCTCGTGGCAACCCATGCCCTCTTGCAACTTCTTGCTTAGATTGCTGCAATGTGCTCTACACAGGGCCGCCCTGAAGAGCATTAGGAAACTTCAGTGGGTGCAGAACACAGCTGGGTGGGTAATAAAATACAGGTAATCCTCGACTTACGACTACAACTGAGCCCAACATTTCTGCTGCTAAGTGAGACATGCGTTAAGTGAATTCGGCCCCAATTTACCACCTTCCTTGCCACACCTGTTAACTAAATCGCTGCCGTGGTTCAGTTAATAACATGGTTGTTAAGTGAATCTGGCTTCCTCATTGACTTGGCTTGTCAGAAGGGGACCACGTGACCCCGGCCAGGACACTACAACTGTCATCATTATTCCAGTTTCCCATCCTCCCCAAGACAATCTTTTTCTCGTAAAAATGGGGAGGGGGTCTATACTTACGGCCAGCTAAATACTGCACAATTTGTTCCAGTGATTCAAGGAGAGAATTCTGGGTTTGGAATGTGATTTGAGCCTTTGCGAACAAGTCAAATATGTAGCTAGAGATTCAAGCAGAAACATACTGTTAAGAAAAGTATTTTTAGTACATCCTGAAAGGAAACAGCTTTCCTTTCCCTGTAGGATGAAAAACATGCTGTTATTCTTCGCTTACAAAATCCGATTCTCTTTGTTTTTTTAACTTGCCATAAATCATCACTATGCCACCCACACTTGACACTGGATTCAAAAGTAGGGGGGAGGGGGCAAAGGAGACAAAATAGTAGACTTTTTAGCTCTATGCCTCATTGGAAGGATAAGTTAGCAGAAAGCTCAGCCTCATTCTGCAACAGCTTATCCCAGGCTTACCTGCAGAGATCAACGGTGCCTCTCATGTTAAAACGAACTGTTCTGAAATAATTTTCTGATTTAACGAGAGGGAAGTCAATGTGTTTACGCACAAACGTTTCAGGCTAATTTAAATCACAGGTTGCTGTGAGGGCGACATGTGGAGGAGGAGGATAGCAGCCATTCCCCGGAGTTGCTAAAGGGAAGGAGGCATACGATTAAGGTTCTGCCGATGATTCTGGCAGAACCAGCTTACTACAAACCCCATCAGCCAAGGAATTTGGGCAGGCGAGGTCTAGGAAAAGACCCTTCTCTATCAGGTCCCCCACTCTTTGGAACATCTTGCTGCCGGAGGTGAGATCAACCTCTTGGTCTTCAGGAAAGGCCTTAAAACCTTGACTCTGCCAGTTGCTTTCGGGCCTCGATGGAGAAGCTGCAGGCTGGAGTGGTTGGTGCAGTGACTGCTTCTGCAGCTAGCCTGGGATCTCTTAACTCTGTATTTAATATTTTGTAATTTTAATCTGATGGAAGAGAGTATTTGTAGCTCAGGTTTCAACTGCAAGGTCCCTTGGTGCTCTGTGAACCTGACTGTTGTCTTGCAGATGTTTCCTTACCCGCCTAGTAACATCATCAATGCACTGAAGACTTTACCTAGTTTGGGTAATGAAACGTCTGAAAGAAAACAACGAAGATCAGAGAGCACCAAGGACAATCCTCCTCCTCTCCCCTCCCCCTTCTTCTTCTCCTCCTCTTCCCTGCAAACCTTCTAGCACTGATGATGTTACTTAGTTGGGTAATGAAACATCTACAAGAAAAACACTAAGCTCAGAGAGCACCAAGGACCCCACCATTTAAATCTATTTTTTAATTGATAATGGTTCTTATATCTCTATTTTTATTATATCATAAGCAATCTGGAGTCTCCTTAAATCGTGAGAAGGCCTATAAATTAGATAGATAGATAGATAGATAGATAGATAGATAGATAGATAGATAGACAGACAGACAGACAGACAGACAGACAGATAATTTTATTTATTTATTGAATTTATATTGCCGCCTATTCGCTCATGGAGACTCAAGGCAGCTTACAGAATATAAAACCACATTTAAAACAATAAAAACTAACATAAAGAATCAAATAAATTAATATAGTACAATATAACAAAATCACCTCCCATCCCAGCAACATCCGATCACACGAGCCATTGAATGGGCTCCATCCCACTCTGGGTTCCCCAGGACCACTGGCAGAACTGGATCTTCAGTGCCTTCCGGAAGAGTGTTAGAGTGGGGGCTATTCTAATCTCTGGGGGAATAATGTTCCAAAGAGAGGGAGCACCACAGAATAGGCCCTTCTTCTGGGTCCCACCAGGTGTATCTCCCTCGGGGATGGGACTCACAGCATTCCCTGCCTTCCCGCTCTGATGGGTCGGGTAGATGTGACCAGCAAGAGACGGTCCCTCAGATAACCTGGTCCCAAGCCATGAAGGGCTTTAAAGGTGACAATCAGCACCTTGAATTGCACCTGGAAGCAAATCGGCAACCAATGCAGCTTCCGCAGGAGAGGTGATACATGTGCACACCAGGGTCTGCACAAAAGGTAGATCTTTCTTGCATTCTTTCAATTGTTTCCCCAAATGCCAAGGAGAGCAGGCTCTGACTTTAATTATTAAATTTGCTTAATTAGAGATCTAAGAAATGGAGCAACCTTCCGTGGCTCTCAAACTGGAAAGATAAGGAGAGAGAAGGGATATTTGATGCTTTCTTTTCTATGGGAGGGACATTCTTTTAAGAGTCAAAATGAGGGCCTTAAAGCCTCACGTATGCCTAAAGAACTCATTTTTACTAAGATGGAAGATCTGCTCACTAGCAGGCGTTCCCCAAAAGAGGAATGGGTGCCACTTGAGACCCACCGCCTGGAGCTGCTCAGAACTGTATCTGGTCTTCAGCCTGGTGTACATGAGCCGGGAAGGGATGTACTTCTGCTTTATATTGCTCTTAGCTCTTTGTAAGATGGAGCATTGGGGTTGTTCTTTACCCTGCATTCTCTGATTTCTCTTAGCATCAACTATGGGGCAGAGTATCCTCCCCTCAATGTGTTGTGGCCTGCTGGCGGCCAGTGGAGGTGGCAGCAGAGTCGGACAGTGAGGAGGTTGGGGAGGAACGTGGGCCAGTTCTGGGAGCTGTGGAAAGCTCCGACGAGGGCTCTGCATCGGAGGCAGAGAGGGAATCAGACAGCAGCGAGGCAGAGGAACTGCTGGAGCCCGTTCCCAGTGTGTGCACGCGCAGAGCTGCCAGAAGACAACTCAGAAAACAGGGTCGACCTGCGAGTAAAGCCACACCTTGGAGGTGATTGGCCCCTCCCATAGGAAATAAAAGAGAAGCGAACAGGGAGGAGGGCTTTTGCAGGAAACCATTTGTTCGTTCCGTGACTCTGAGAGACTCTGTGCCAAGTTTGGCCTTGTACTGCGGTTGGAAACAAGTTATGTGGCAGCTTGGCAAACGAGATGAGGCGCGTTGAGAAATATACCTTTGAAAAACTGCTTGGACAAACCTTGCTGACTGTGAATGAACGTAATTCATAGTCGTGTAAATAAAAGAGGTTTTGCCGGGATCAATTCCTGCCTCCTGTTTATTAAGGGACTGCAGGGTTCCACATCAAATTCTAGATCAGGGGTCCACAACCCCCGGGCTGTGGTCTATTTGGACCACAGGCCATGGTCTATTTGGAACTGGGTTACAGGAGAGACAGGCCAGTGTACACACTCAGCAGCTCCACTCGCACGCACAGCACCCCGAAATGGCTTTCCTTCCCTCTTGCATGAGTGGAGCTGCAGGGAAGCTGGCAGGGAAGGTTGCAAGTTGCAATCACATGATGCCTTGCTTAACAACCGTAGTGATACACTTAATGACCGTAGCAAAAAAAAAAAAGGGGTCGTACGATCAGGTGAGGTCATGTGACACCTTGCTTAATGAGGAATTTTACGGTCCCAATTGCGGTTGGAACAAGCAGGCCAAAAGAGAAGCGTGCAAAAATAAAGATTACTCTAACACAGTGTTTCTCAATCTTGGCCGCTGGACGATGTGTGGACTTCAAAATCCACACATCGTCCAGCGGCCAAGGTTGAGAAACACTGCTCTAACACCAAGTTGGAAGAGATCTTTTTTTTAAAAAAAAATTGAAACATACCTTCCCTCTTTCGTGAGTCCATTTTCACTTGATGAGAGTTCTACATCGTCAATAGCGCTTTCTAGCTGCAGGAGGATCCCTTTACGGCACATAAAGGAAAAGGGGGTAAAAATTTAATGTGGTTACCGATGGATGCTCACCTGGGCGGGGGGAGGGGGGAAGCCCTCTCTGTTTCCCTCAAGCCAGGTGAATGTCCTCTGCTCCTCTGGTTTCCTGTCAAATCATTTTCTGCTTAATCCAGTTCATGGAAGATGGTGAGGCATCTACTCTGTTGCATGTACAGGTAGACTTTGACTTATAACAGTTCGCTTAGTGACCGCTTGACGTTACAATGGCCCTGAAAAAAGTGACTTATGACCATTTTTCATAGTTTATTTATTTATTTATTTATTAGTCATATTTCTATGCAGCCCGCTCTCCGAGGATTCTGGGCGGCTTACACCAAAGACAGTATACTAAACAGCATATTGCCCACAACAATCTAGGTCCTCATTTTACCCACCTCGGAAGGATGGAAGGCTGAGTCAACCTTGAGCCGGTGAGATTTGATCCGCTGATCTGCTGAACTAGCAGTCAGCTGAAGTAGCTGCAGTACTGCACTCTAACCACTGCGCCACCTCGGCTCATAGTTATGATCATGGCAACATCCCCATGGTCACGTGGTTAACACTTGACATCTGACTCACATTTATGACAGTCGCAGTGTCCCTGGATCACGTCAATGGGGAGCCAGGTTCATTTAATAACTATGTTACTAAGTGATTCACTTAACAACTGTGGCAAGAAAAGTCGTAAAATGGTGCAAGGTTCTCTTAACATCTGTCTCACTCAGCAACAAAAAATTTGGGTTCACTTGTGGGTGTTAATTGTTTAAGTACAGGACTGCCTGTACACTTTTATTTATTTATTAAATTTTTATACTGCCTGTAGGAGATGACCAGGCTAAGTCCGAGGGAGGGATTAAGTGCGTCATCAGTTCGGAATCCTTTCTTGCCCACAAGAGATTCAAGTCCAGTTCTCCTTGAATTCCGTTGACTCTTATCTACTGCCAATTTGCCTTGAACCGTCTAATGGTTTAGATTCTTGTTTACAGGTAGCATGGAATAAACTCGTGTTCATTTTGGACCTAACCCTGGCTCCTAATTTCTTGTGCCTGATGCCGCCTTTCTCACCTAAATGATTCTGGAAGGCTTACAACTCCATTTTAAACTAAACATAGCTCAAACTTTCATGCCACCAAATCCTAAAATGGTCAGATCAGAAATGCAAACTGAACACTGGGTGAAGTTTGGAACAGGTCGTCGTCACTTACTGATGGTAAAGGTAAAGGTTCCCCAAGCACATATGTGCTAGTCGTTCCTGACTCTAGGGGGTGGTGCTCATCTCCGTTTCAAAGCTGAAGAGCCAGCGCTGTCCGAAGACGTCTCCGTGGTCATGTGGCTGGCATGATTAAACGCCAGAGGTGCATGGAACACTGTTACCTTCCCACCAAGGGTAGTCCCTATTATTCTACTTGCATTTTTTACGTGCTTTCGAACTGCTAGGTTGGCAGAAGCTGGGACAAGTAACGGGAGCTCACTCCGTTACGCGGCACTAGGGATTCGACCCGACCTTTCGATCGACAAGCTCAATGTCTTAGCCACTTAACCACCACGTCCCCCCTAGTTACAGAGGGGAACTGGGGCCAGAAACTCCATTACTAAGCAATGTGATCGTAAGTACAATATCACATGACTGCACTGACGTTCTGGCAGTTGCAGTTGCCATTGTTAGGTGAATCCTAGGTGGTTGCAGTCTCCTGCAGTCACATGAACAGGATTTGCGACTTCCTGCTGGCTTCCCCATTGATCACTTGTCAGAAGCTGGAAGTAAAGATCACAAGTGATATTCACATGACTGCAGGATACTCTGATGTCATAATTGTGCCTGAGTCACAATCACATGACCATGTGAACACTGCAACAGCCATAACTAGCAGGGCCTATCGTAAGTGCCCCTTGTTTAGTATCGTCGTATCTTCGAACAGATGCTGAATGAGTGGATGTTAAGCGAGGACTATAGGATAGGATTACTTTGGCTAAACTTCACAAGGCAAAAGGTACTTACGTTTTATTTTTGCTATATCTTCAAGTTCCATGTTCAGTCCTGTTTAAGAAAAGGAGTTTTCCTTCAGTTTAGACTTACAGATGCCATCTTTTTCTATCATTCCATATATTCATAGAAAGATAAATATTCACGTAATATATCTGCACCTATTATTAAGAGATTTATTTCAGACTTCTGTGGTGGGCAAAAAAATTAAAGATGTTCAAGAACTTTGACGGGAATCTTGCAAGCCTCCTCCATTTCAAAACAGCCATGCCGCACAATCGCATGGAGATAGGCTGTGTGCCCACTGCAGAATGCTAACAACTGTCTCTTATGTTCATGAAATCATGCAAAGTTTGACTACTCTCTGAGATTGGGGAAAAAAGAAAGAAATTAGGCCTTTTGACCAAAAAAGAAATCCCTTCAAATCCCTGTGCCCAGAATTACACAGTTTTATCACCCCCTTTGCCAAATCTCCACCAAAGAACAACGGTGGTTGTACCTAAACATAAGAGACAGTGGGTAGATGATTTCTTTCTAAGTCATCTTGGAATCATTTATTTAACGTCAAGGGTAAATCCGGGACAGAAAAAAAAACAAATTTTGCAATGTGTTTTTTCTATTATCTTTGATGATTGATGTTAGCCTGAGTTAGCCTAAAATAGAACTACTGTACTTGATTACTAACTGGGATTGGCTTGTGTGACTACAAAATGTTACTCTTTCGAATATTTTTCTGGCCCATGTCAGCATTTTGTAAATGTTTAAAGTCTTAAAGAGTTTGGGATCAGTTTAATGTTTTCTTCTACTTTCTGTAGCTATTTGGATGCTTAAATTGTCTTCAGGATGTCCCACCCACTCAGTTATCCTTTCAACACAAGGGAAAGTATGCTTACAGGTAGTCCTCGACTTGCAACCACAACTGAGCCCAAAATTTCTGTTGCTAAGTGAGACGTTTAAGCAAGTTTGCCCCATTTTATGACCTTTCTTGTCATAGTTGTTAAGTGAATCATTGTAGTCGTTAAATTAATCAAACTGTTGTTAAGTGAATCTGGCTTCCCCATCGACTTTGCTTGTCAGAAGGTCGCAAAAGGGGATCACATGATCCAGGACACTGAAACTGTCATAAATATGAGTCCATTGCCAAACATCTGACTTTCTATCATGTGTCCATGGGGATGCTACAACGCTCGCAAATGTGAAAAGTCACCTTTTTCAGTGCCATTGTAACTTTGAATGGTCACTAAACAAACTGTTGTAAGTCAAGGACTACTTATAATGGTTCACCCTTACAACTAGCCCTGATGATGTTACCTAGTTGGGTAATTAAATGTCTGCAAGAAAACAAGCAAGCTCAGAAAGCACCAAGGAACCCTCATTTCAACCCTGAGCTACAAATATTTTCCTTTATTGAGACTTACAACTGTGGTGCTTGCGCTTACAACCACATTTGCTTAATTACCGTCAAAAAAAAACCGTTGCAAAATCAGATTGGGTTACGTGATTGTCACATTTTACAACCATCATGGCAAATGACGTATGTCGAGGACTAGCTGTACTATAAAACAATGCCCTCCACTCTTAGGTGGCCCAGTCAGTTTGTAGGTTCCTGTGCGTGGAGGCAATCCTACCTGAGTTGCCGTATTCCATATTGAATTCAGCGTTAAATTCATTCTGTTCAATTTTTTTGGCTTGGTCTTCTAAGACGATGTTGATGGCATCAACGGCTGAAGCTAAGTCATAGGGAGTCAGGTCAAAGGAGGTCAATTCTTCACACAATTGCTCCTGGAAAAGGAGAAAAAAAAACAATGAAACCCTTGCATTTCGTCAATTGCACAGTTATGTTTACACATGTTTGCGCAAGGGCAATTATTGTGCTGCAAAGACAGCGGCATCCATAGAGTCAATAAAAACAAAATTATCCTTTTTTTAAATATGCTTATTTGGCTGCTCCAAGCAGGATCCAAGTATTCCTGTCCTCCGTTCTGATTGCTGTTGTCAATCAATACCAGATGCTTCAGAACGAGGCGTAAGCTGTTGCACAAATTCCCCCACCCCCCAAAGTGGGAAATGTTATATTTTTGCTGTATTACTTCAGGAAAACCCTAAAATAACTTCAGAGAATCCTTAATATTCTCCATCCTGCTTCAAATTAAAAGACTTAAGGACTGTGTCTCTTTGTAGTAGCAGAGGGCGATAGCAGATTGTTCTGAAACAAGAGTTAAATATTAATATCAAATTCTTTCCCACAGTGAAGCTGTCAGTCTTCTAATCCTATATAGCAAGGGTGTCAAACTCGCGTCATTACAGTGGTGTCATGTGAGATATCATGACTTTTTCTCCCTTCACTAAGCCAGGTGTGGCTAGCGCGTGATGCATCTGGCCCGCGAGTTTGACACCCCTGCTATATAACAAGTATGTCCAATCTTGGCAACTTTAAGACTTGTGAACTTCAATTCCCAGAAGCCATGGCTGGGGAATTCTGGGAGTTGAAGTTCATTAGTCTTAAAATTGCCAAGGTTGGACACCCTTGCTATATATATATAGGTATTCCTCGGCTTACAACAGTTCATTTAATGACTGTTCGAAAACACAACAGCACTGTAAAAGCTGAATTATGACTGTTTTCATACTTATGACCATTGTAACAGCCCCATGGTCATGTGATCAAAATTCAGAAGCTTGGCAACTGGTTCATATTTATGACGGTTGCAGTCTCCCGGAGTCATGTAATCTCCTCTTGTGACCTTCTGACAAGCTAAATCAATAGGGAAACCAGATTCACTTAACAACTGTGTTACTAACTTAACAGCTGCACTGATTCACTTAACAATTGTAGCAAGAAAGGTCATAAAACGGGGCAAAATTCACTTAACAAATGTCTCGCTTAGCAATGGAAATTTTGGGCTCATTTATTTATTTATGTATGTATGTATGTATGTATGTATGTATGTATGTATGTATGTATGTATGTTTCAGATTTCTATACCGCCCTTCTCCTTTCGGACTCAGGGCGGTGAACAGCCAAAATAAAACATTTGTACACAAAAGTTTTGTTTATGGTCGTACATCGAGGACTCCCTGTACTGAAAAGGCAGCCTTGCCTGTGAAAGTGGAGGAAAAACATGCCATTTAAATACAATTGTGTGCCTCTCAAGGAAACCGCACATAACTGCATGTAATAAAAGGTACCCACTGCAGGTGGACATGGTTTCCCAGTTTTCAAAATAATACCAATCATTCCAAATTTGGAAGCAACCTCTCCATGTTTAATTCAAAATGCATTCTTTTAATTATCATTGGATAACAAACTAGGTTATTTCTCAGCAGGATATGATGGTATTGCCATAAACCCGCACTTTCCTTTCAAATTAATCATTTACACTTCGTATTTTTTTATTTAATAGCAAACAGCCAAGCGAGAGTCAACGATGATGTAAAAGGGAACCCATTCCTTAGATCAGAATATTCTACCAGGGAGTTATCATCATCTTGTTTTAATAATGATTTGGAAAGGTAATACCTTCAGTGGGTGATACAAAAAGAGGAAATGTTTCCCAGAGGAGGAAACAGGTAATCATAATCATAAGTTTATTTGTCAAGCATATTATAAGAAAACAGGTAAAAGTATGAACATAATTTGAATGCATGAAAAGAGTAAGAGGAAAAAGGAATATTAGGACAGGGACGGAAGGCAGGCTGGTGCACTTATGCACGGCCCCTTATAGACCTCTTAGGAATGGGGTGAGGTCAACAGTAGACAGTTTAAGGTGAAAGTTTTGGGGGTTTGGGGGAAGAAACTAGAGAGTCAGGTAACAGACCACTCTGTTACTGAAGTCATATTTTCTGCACTCAAGTTTGGAGCAGTTTACCTTGAGTTTGTATCTATTATTTGCTCGTGTATTTTTGTGGTTGTGGTTGAAGCTGAAGTTCATTGACAGGAAGGACATTGTGGCAGATAATTTTATGTACTATGCTTAGGTCAGACTGAAGTCGGCGTAGTTCTAAGTAAATAAATTTAAGTAAGTAAATCGGCACTGAAAAAAATGACTGATGAGTTTTTTTCCACACTTATGACCGCTGCAGCATCTCCAGGGTCAGGCGATCAAACTTTGGAACTTTGGCAACTGGCTCATATTTATGACGGTTGCAGTGTCCCGAGGTCATGTTATCCCCTTTAGCGACCTTCTGATGAGCAAAGTCAATGGGGAAGCCAGATTCACTTAACAACTGTGTGACTAACTTTACAATTGCATTGATTCATTTTATGACTATGGCAAGAAAGGCCCTAAAATGGGGCAAAACTCATTTAATTACTCTGTTGCTTAGCGACTAAAATTTTGGGGTCATTGCCATCATAAGGCGGGGGCTGCCTGTCGTTCTCTTATCCGCTCAGTGTGTCTTTCTGGTTCCTCGCACGCCCGACAGGATAGCTATCCCCAAAATGATGGATCCACAGAGACATGCAGCAAGTCATTTCCAAAAGGAAGGATCGTCCCTTTTGTGGCAGTTCCAACTATTTAAGCTGCAACCCTGAGTCCTTGCGGTCAACTCAGTGGGGACGTCTTCTATAAGATCTTGCCCACTGCCAACAACTGGAACAATATTATCACGGAATTGTTCTGCAGTGTCTTTAGTAATAGGTGTTGTCCTGCTTTTACTGGCTGATTTCTAATTTATGGTTAACAGAAATCTAATTTCTGATTTCTAACTTGTGGTTCTCTTTTATGCCGCTGTCTGTGATGAGTATTGTGCTGTTGATTATAATTTAATCATGTTTTGAGCCCACTGGGTTGGCATTTGCTTGTTCTGAACCATAGATGCTTCAATTTTACTGTGTTGAAGTGATTCTAAGCTTATTGCGCCTATTTTATTATTTATATATTTATGCTATGCCATGGAGGTTTTAATTTTGTCATAAACTGCCATGAATCTGTGTGCAATTGGCAACCAGGAAATCTAATAAATAAGGAGCTACTGGTAAGCCTTGTAATAAAATGAAGACACAGTTCTGTAAAGGACTATATTCAGAAAAACAGAACAGAGTAACAGAGTTGGAAGGGACCTTGGAGGTCTTCTAGTCCAACCCCCTGCTCAAGCAGGAGACCCTGTACTATTTCAGAGAAATGGCTGTCCAATCTCTTCTTGAAAACCTCCAGTGATGGAGCACCCAGAACTTCTGGAGGCAAGCAGTTTCACTGATTAATTGTTCTAACCGTTAGGAAGTTTCTCCTTAATTCCAGGTTGCTTCTCTCCTTGATTAGTTTCCACCCATTGCTTCTTGTCCTGCCCTCAGGTGCTTTGGAGAATAGTTTGACTCCTTCTGTAAATTCTTCTACGCAGAAATAGCTTAAATCCGACTGTCCTTGCTCATTTACTATTAACTAACATTTTAACAACAGGCTTCCTGAAGAAATGAGATAAAAATATAATAATATGTCCCATTCCACACCTAAGGTCTAGGAATAGAGGAAATAATCTCAATGTAAGAATTCTGAGGGGGCAGGTGGCGAGATTGTAAAATATCCCTAAATTAAATTTGGGGGGAAAAAAATATGCTCCTTCTGCCAAAGAGCTGGTTTTATACAGTTTATTATTATTGCACAAATTCTCTATTGCATGTTTTGGGTGATTCATCCTTTCCAACATTTATTGTTGAAGAATTTGTCTAATTATTGTCTCTTGCTTGCTTAAAGTCCTTTGAAAAATTATATAGCTATGCTGATTAACAAGACTTTCCTGCAAAAGGAGACCTACATGTTTTTCAAAGAGTACAAAGTAGGAACAAGTTAATTGTATTTTTTACTTACCACGTTGTGAGCTTCATCAAGTATTACTACAGTCCCTTTCAAATCCAGGTTATGAGCTCTTCGACTCTATGAAAAAGCAAAACACAATACTTGGTCTCAATTAGTTGCGACACAGGTAGCACTCGACTTACAACTACAACTGAGCCCAAAATTTCTGCCACTAAGCAAGACAATTGTTAAGTGAGTTTTGCCCCATTTTACATCATTTCCTGCCACAATTGTTAAGTGAATCAGTGCGGTTGTTATGTTAATAAACCTGTTGTTATGAGAACCTGGCTTCCCCATTGACATTGCTTGTCAGAAGGTCACAAGGGGTGTTTATGTGATCCCGGGACACTGCGACCGTCATAAATAGGAGACAGTTGCCAAGCATCTGAATTTTGATCATGTGACCAAGAAGATGCTGCCATGGTTGTTAAGTAACTTCAAACAATCAATAAACAAATGGTTGTAAGTCGAGGACGGCCTGTACTCGAAAGAATCCTTTTTGATATAGCGCTAATCAACTAAAAAATTAATTCATCCTTTCAGCACAGGTAGTCCTCCACTTACAATCATTCATTTAGTGAACGTTCAAAGTTATAAATGCACTGAAAAATTATCAGTCCTCGCATTTACGGCCGTAGCGGCATCCCCATGGTCACATGAACAAAATTCAAGCACTTGGTAACCCAAATAGGGGTTTACAAGTAGCCTCCTGGGTCATTTGATTGCCATTTCCAACCTTGCCAGGTAACTTCTAACAAGCAAAGGCAATGGTAAAAAGCCGGGTTCACTTAACAACTGCATGATTCACTTAACAACCATGGCAAAAAAAAAAAAGTCATAAAATTGGACACCGCTCACTTAACAACTGCCTCGCTTAGCAATGGAAATTCTGGTCGCAATTGTGGTAGTAAGCCAGGGATGATCCATAGGTCTGATACTCTGTAAGCATTACCATAGAATGATTCACTGAGTCTCCGATGCGAGGCCAAGAAATCACATTCTCTGATACAAGTGAAGATTCTACACCAATTTGTTTTTTGTTTGTTTTTTCAATCTTGGCAACTTTTAAGATGTATGGACTTCAACTCCCAGAATTCCCCAGCCGGCATTGGAAAACAATGTTCTGCAGCATTACAGATCTAAGTAATCTTAAACACTAACACAGGAGTCCCCAACTCCTGGGCTGCGGATCGGTACCGGTTCGTGGCCTGTTAGGAACTGAGCCACACAAGCAAGCAAAGCTTCCTCTGCACATGCGCAGGAGCTTGCTAACATGAGAAACCATTCCCCCCCCCCCCCACTGCCCGTCTGGCCCGTGAAAAAAAGGTTGGGGATTGATGCGCTAACAGATTAAAATGACCCGTCAGTCTCTTACTTCAGAACGTATGACACAAAATAAAAAGAGGACTTTTGTCATTTCATCCAAATCCCTCCATCATTCCGTATGCATGACTGCCATGCTAAAATATAGGATTTTATTTTGTTTTTTGGTATCTAACACAAAATCTGGTAAAGTTACTGTAGTGTATGAAAAGATAGGAAAAAAAGAATGGAAAACGCACTGAGAATTTTTGCTAATTCAGTTCAGTGGTTTGAGAGAGAGGGGAAAAACGAGCCATGTGGTTCTGAAACTCCAGCATGAATGATTATCTATTTGGTTGCTAAAATTCCTGCTCCCTCCAAAACTCATCAGATTCATTAGCTGGGTGGGGGAAAACTAATTTAATAAGTGCAACTTCTCTGCAGCGATGAAACAGGCTCACTTGATCGTTAGTTTTCTAAGTGCTTCTAACACAATTGTGGATGGACCCTTGGATCGTAAGGACAACCATCCATGTGCCAGGCACTAGATGATTCTGGGCCAGCTCCACAATTTCCACTCTGACCACAAACTTCTGAGTTGATCTAGATTCTGTACCAAGTGAAGACAAACCCAGATGCTTCCTAGTAACCAAGTTCAGCTGAAAATCTGCATCTGGTTATCTTTGATACAGAGTTTGTAAACACCGAAGAGCATTTCCCAAAATATAGAAATCAGGTTTGATTATTTTTAATTAAATATATATACAACATATACCTTTGAATCCAGCAGATAGTTATAAGGCATAAAAATGATGTCAGCTTGCTGTTTCAGACTCCGAGAAAGATAATAAGGGCAAACTCTGTTTAAAGAGAAATTTTTAAAAAATTACACAATGCCTTCTGAGTTACATTGTTTTCAATAAAGCTTTTGTTGTGTTTATCAATAACTGCCTGCCATCTTTTTAATGGATGAGAAAACGCTACAAGCCAAGATATACAACTTGTGGCTTGGCCATAAATTCATTAGGGGCTATTAAGTCAAAATAACTGCCACTTTCCAACCGCAGGGCTATTCCAGTGTTGTTTAATACTGACATAATGCTGTTCCTTGTAATTTGAGAGTTCCATTTTAGCCTACAACCAAGGATAACTAAACTATGGATAATGAAGCCTTGAGGAAAGATTCTGGAACGGGGGGGTGGGGGTGGGGGGTGTTTGGGAAGGAAGCACTGGGGGAGAGGGGCGGACTGAGAAGATTGCTGGGTATATAATAAGACAGTGTTTTTCAACTTTAGCAACTTTTAAGATGTGTGGACTTCAAGTCCCAGAACTCCTCAGCCAAGTGGCTGAGGAATTCTGGGAGTTGAAGTCCACACATCTTAAAGTAACCAAGGTTGAAAAAATATTGCAATATAGGAAGATTGGCAGCAGACTGCTGGAAACGTGGAGCCCAATAAATACTTTTATGTACATGTAAAATATATTAGAATCTTTCACTATGAACACGATTCAGGAAATCCTTAACTATAGATAACAAGGTCTATATTCATCGGCCACATTTACAAAAGGGAGCTTATTTATCTGTCTGCCTATAACCTTCTAAAACTCTTGGTGTCTGTAACCTTAACTGAATGAAATGGTGCATCACAGGGAAAATGTTTATAACCAAGGTACCTCAAAGCGATTAACTTACAGAATGCATCCAAAAACTGGGACCTATGGCCCTTGTAAAATTGAAATCTGGCAAATTTTATAAAACATTTCATGACATCAAACTCATCATAAGGCATTTTACGACATAATACAGAATGTCATAAAACAACTTCCCTCGTCAGTTGTTTGACTGTTCAATCAGGGCTACTTCCAAGACAGATGCATCTCTGAAAATCTTCCTGAATTTTAAGAACTTTTCCAATACATTAGACCCATGATGGCGAACCTATGGCACATGTGTCAGATGTGGCATGCAGAGCCCTCTCTGCTGGCACGTGCGACGTTGCCCCAGGTCAGATCTTTGCGGCGTTTCTTTCGTGAGCTTCTGTTTCCCTGCAAACGACGAAACAGAAGCTCACGAAAGAAAAAGACCTTAACTATTGCCGCACTGCCGGTGTTGGGATGCCCCGCCTCCCACCGGCCAGCTGGTCTTTGGGTCTCTGCTGTGCATGCACGCATGTCCGTGCACGTATCTTTCCGTTTGGGCATGCATGCATGCGCAGTTTGGGCACTCGGGTGTCTAAAAGGTTCGCCATCCCTGCATTAGACGTTCGGCCACAGTTGAAGGCATTTGAGGGATCTGGTTAAGAAATAGCTTGCCCAATCATGCGGCCCAAATGCCTGCGAGACCATCCAGGTCTTTAATAACTTATGAAAGGCTAACCAGGTCAGAACCGTCCCCATTATGGTTGTTGCATAAAGCACGCGTCACCACAGGGAAGGCACAACTCCAGGGCCTAACCAGGTGACATTGTTTAATTGACTCAAGAGGATGCCTTTCTTGCTAAATTTGGTGAGGCGAGCGAAGAAAATGGGAGCCACAAATCACCAGAGATTATGCCACGTAAGGCTTTATAAGTAGCAACCGGAATCCTATTGGGAGCAGTTTTGTTGTACAGAAGTAATGAGAAATGACCCAAACTGCTCACACCACTATATTCTGAATCAGCTGCAGCTCCTCAAGGGAATCCGATGCGGAGTCCATTACAGTAAAATAAATAAGATGACTCAGGCATGAATCACTGTGATATGAGCAAGGCTGCCTGGTCCAGGAATAGGGGAAACCGGTGCCCAGCACGAACACCTCCAAAGGTTCCCCTATCCAGGTTGTCATCTGAATTTCAAGCAGAAGTCGTGAGGCCAGGAGAAGCCCCTCGCTGCGCCTCAAGTTTGACTGGGGAAACGACCCTCCCAGGAAGAGCTGAAGATCGGGGAAAAAAACTCCCAATCTTGAGGGTCTTAAAACCCACAGCCACGGAGTCTTGCAGTGGTTGAGCCAAAGATATAGATTCCATATTTAAGAAGTACGAAATAAAAAGAAGTATTTTTTTATAATTTAAAAACTTTTTTAATCTTAAATCCTCATTTTAATGTTAATTTGATTACCGTATTTTTCGGAGTATAAGACGCACCTTTTTCCCCCCTAAAAGGGTGTGAAAATTTAGGTGTGTCTTACACACCAAATGTAGCCCTGCCCACCACTGACAACCCCCCCCCACACACACTTTGGCCTCTACCTCTCAGCAGTTTACCTCCTTGCAGCAAGCAGCAAGAAGAAACAGCCCTTTTCAGCTTCAGCACAGCCTGATTAGCACAAGCTGAGTGGATCGGCCTCCCGAATCTCAGCTGTTTTGCTCTCAGGTGTTTTGCAGGGGCCTCTGCTACTTGCTGCAAGGAGATAAATTGCTGGAGCAGATTTTTTTTCCTTGTGCTAATCAAGCTATGCTGAAAACAAAAATGAAAGTAAAGCAGGCTGTTTGCTGCAACAAGGCAAAATTGCTGGGAGGCAGAGGGAGATTTCTTTTTCTTGTTTTCCTCATCAAAAAAGTAGTTGCGTCTTGCAGTCCAGTGCGTCTTCTACTCCGAAAAATACGGTATATTGTACACCACCCACAGCCCCTCTCTGAGAGAGATGGCCAGTTAAGAAATATGAAATATATATATCATATTTTAGTATAAGACACACTTTTTCCCCCCTAAAAGAGGCTGAAAATTTGGGTGCGTTTTATACTCCGAATGTAGCCCCACCCACCAACCGGCCCCCACCCTTCGGCCTCCACGCATCCTCTTCCTGGCTACAGAGATTGCCACAGACAATGGCTTGCATTTTTGGGCTCCATGCCTCACGTTTGAGAGCCGTTCAAGGCTGTGGGGATTGCCAAAGCACATTGTCACCAATCGCTACCTCTGTGCATTGCGTTTTCAGCCTCTGCACATTGCTTTTTAGGCCTCTGCACGGTCCATTTTTGGCCTCTGCGCATTGCATTTTCGGGTGGTGATCGGCAGCGATGTGCTTTGGTGATCCCCGCGCCTTGAACAGCTCTCAAACGGAGCATTTGGAAGCTGAAAACACAAGGCGCAGAGCCCAAAATGGCAACCCCCACACGCTCACAACCAAGGAACTAATGTGCTAAGGACCAGGCTAAGGACGCTAGCCAGATGAATACCTGGTAGACAGAGGCAGAATGTTTTCCCCCTTATTTTCCTCCCCAAAAACTAAGATGCGTCTTATACTCCGAAAAATACAGAATTTCTATAAACAGAAATATAAATTCTGTTTATAGAAATAAATTCTGTTCTCCCCATTTACACTCCCACAGCTTCACAACACTAAGAAAGAACTCTGATAGCATCAGTTGGTTAATCCGGGGTAGAGATGTATTACTACGTGCCCTGGCAGTGCAGTGGTTAGAATGCAGTATTGCAGGCAAACTCTGCCCCCAGTCTGGTGTTCGATCCTGTTTGGCTCAAGATTGACCCAGCCTTCCATCCTTTCGATGTCAGTAAAATGAGGACCCAGTTTGTTAGGGGCAATATGCCGATGTTGTAAATCACCCAGAGACTGCAGTAAAGCACTATGGAGTAGTATATAAGTCTAAGTGTCGTTGCTATTGTTAGGTGTCATCAGCATTGCGATGAAACACAACTTATGCCAAGAGATGTCCTTGCCCCAGCTTCATATAGATGTTAAATAAGAGTGGGGAGACAATAGATTCCTGAGGAATCTCTCAAAAAGTCACTTATAACAGGGATCTCCAACCTTGGCAACTTTAAGACTTGTGGACTTCAGCTCCCAGAATTCCACAAATCTTAAAGTTGCCAAGGTTGGAGACCCCTGACCTATAATGAGCATTATAAAATTTGCTTTATGGATGATCACAATAAGGCATATAAAATAACTTGAATGCTTGTGCTATCAAGCTTTTGTTTTCAGGGGCAAACACAGGTACCCCGGCCATTCAGGGGATCAACAAATGATTTAAACATGCACAATCTCAGCAAAAGAAAGCATCGTCTTTGGTTCTGTAAATTAGGTTGGTAAATCTGGTTTCGCCATTCCGGCTTAATACGAAGCCCTGCCGTTGCTGAGCTACATCTCCAAGGAAGTGAGACAAGAGTTTAAGGAGAAGTGACCTGTGTTTGTTTCCATTTTTAACAAGGTCTTCAATGTCCAAGATGGGATCAATCAGGTCTTTCTCGGTGCTTTTTTCTACACGAAAAAGAAGGGGAAAAAAATATGTTGTTTATTGGAAGTTTAAAACAATTACAGCCATCACTGTGCTGGTGTTTCATCAATCAAGATCAGGCCTTTTGTGGCACACCTGAGGCTTAACAAGACATTGGTACTTTTATGTTAAGACTAGACAACAGAACATTCTTGGTTTAGTCTTCAGGCTAAAAGAAGCTGGATAGTCTAAAGCTAGATAGCTTTAGAAGCTAGATAGTCTAAATCTAATTTATTTCCTATTTCTAAACCTCCCACCGCATGACCCCTGACCTTCATGGCATTGGTTTCTTAGACTAGGTCTACATGTAGGGCTCATTTTTTTTCCCTCAAAAGAAAGAAGGGAAAGCAAGGTGGGGCTTGATAATACAGGTAGTCCTCAACTTACAACAGTTCACTTAACGACCATTCAAAGTTACAGAAGCACTGAAAAAAGTGATTTATGATCATTTCTCACACTTGTGGACATTGCAGCATCCCCATGGTCATTGTGATTTAGGTACATTCGGGTGCTTGACAACTGACTCGCATTTATGCAGTGTCATGGGGTCATGTGATCCCCTTCTGACAGGCAAAAGCAACGGGGAAACCAGATTGACTTAACAACCGTCTTACAAATTTAACAACTGAAATGATTCACTTAATGATAGTGGCAAGAAAAGTGGCCAGCAAAACTCACTTAGCAACATCAATATTGGGCTCAATCGTAAATTGAGGACTACCTGTACCTCTTGCTAGAAGCATCCTCTCCTTGACTCGAGGCTCCAAAAGGGTGGGCAGGGGATGGGCATGATGTTATTCTGATAGCGTGATAGCTGTGGTTAAGGCATTTGGCTAGAAAGTGGGGGGGGGGAGTTCTAGTCCCACCTTAGGCATGAAAGCTAGCTGGATGACTTTGGACCAATCACCAGAAGACAGGGAGTTCTAGTCCCGCCTTAGGCATGAAAGCCAGCTGGGAGACTTTGGCCAATCACCAGGAGACAGTGAGTTCTAGTCCCGCCTTAGGCATGAAAGCCAGCTGGGAGACTTTGGACCAATCACCAGGAGACAGTGAGTTCTAGTCCCGCCTTAGGCATGAAAGCCAGCTGGGAGACTTTGGACCAATCACCAGGGAGACAGTGAGTTCTAGTCCCGCCTTAGGCATGAAAGCCAGCTGGGTGACTTTGAGCCAATCTCTCTTTCTCAGCCCAACCCATCTTGCAGGGTTGTTGTGGTGGGGAAAATAGGAGGAGGAAGGAGTATCGTATATGTTTGCCACCTTGAGTTATTTGCAAAAATAATAAAAGGTGGGATACAAATAAATAACTAAAAACAGCAGCTTTCTATGCATAACCAGCACCAGTTTTAAATGAAACCCGTTTGCTGAAATTGTGAATGTACAACTTCTTTGCAAGGGCCTTTTACTTTGTACAATTTATTTTGGAAACGAATCTGTCTCAGATGTCAGTCAACCAAGTGATCAGCGATAAGGAAACAACACACCCTTTCGGGGAACCCTGAAGGAACCGGCTATGTTTAATAGGGCTTGAGATTCGACCTGCCGTGCTGAATCCACTTTTAATCAAGTCCTGCTGCTTTTATTTGATAAATACATTAAACACTACACTGTTAATTCATCACCCGTCCACAGTTTTAATTTTAAAAAAAAAAGCTGTTCCAAGATGAAAGGGACGCAACAGATTACAAGCATCGGTGCTCAGCTGCAAGCCAAGAGTTGATACCCTTGACCTTTTCCTAAACTCAGTCTGTGACTGCAGCTTCCACCATAGTTCCTGCTCTTAAAATATACTCTATACTGGTAGTCCTCAACTTACGAACCACAACCGAGCCCAAAATTTCTGTTGCTGAGACATTTGTTAAGCGAATTTTGCCCCCATTTTACAACCTTTCTTGCCACCGTTGTTAAGTGAATAACTGCACTTATTAAGTTAGTAACACGGTCGCTAAGTGAATCTGGCTTCACAGCTGACTTTGCTTGCCAGAAGGTTGAAAAAGGGGATCGCGCGGCCCCAGGACTCGACAACTGTCATAAATATGAGTCAGTTGCCAAGCATTTGAATTTTGATCACTTGACCATGGGGATGCGGTAATGGTTGTAAGTGTGAAACACAATCATAAGTCACTTTTTTCAGTCATGTTAACTTTGAATGGTCACTAAATGAACTTTTGTAAGTCACGGACTACCTGCAATTCTATTAACGTATCATAATGTGCGAGAGTGAAACTAAAATAAATTTGTTGCTTCAAAACCTTCACTATATAACCTATATAGGAAATAACCCATATAGGAAAAGTGCCTTTTATTTATTTATTAAATTTATACGCCGCCCAATAGGGTGATACTTATTCCTTTGGCCCTTATATAGAGTAAATAGTTGGCCTACCAGGCCTCAATCTGATCACGGTTATTTAAAAAAAACATTGCTGAGAATCTCCTATGCTAAATAGACGCCTGTTTAACCGGTCTTATTTGCCAGCCTAATAATTTGAAAACTAAATCAGCAAATATCTATCCAAATCAATACATGCAAATTCACAATAAAATAGGGTGCTTGTATTAAACTTGCTAATGATACTATGAATCTATCAAACCCTGGCTATAGTGGTGTCAGGGAATTGCACGATGATGTCCAAATGAAGTCAGAGATGCTGACAGTAACTAAATATATTTAACATCTATCTATCTATCTATCTATCTATCTATCTATCTATCTATCTATCTATCTATCATCTATCTATCTATCTATCTATCTATCTATCTATCATCTATCTATCCATCTATATCTATATCATCTATCTATCTTATCGATCGATCTATCATCTATCATCCATCCATCATCATTTATCTATCTATCTATCGATCTATCTATCTATCTACCTCCATCCATCCATTATCCTACTATCCTATCTATCTATCTATCTATCTATCTATCTATCTATCTATCTATCTATCTATCTATCTATCTATCCTGTTTTCCCCAAAATAAGACATCCTCTGATAATAAGCCCAATTGGGCTTTTCAGTGCATGGCAATAAGCCCAAGTGCTTATTTCAGGATTCAAAAAATATAAGACAGGATCTTATTTTCGACGAAACACGGTATCTATCTGTCATCTATCTATCTATCTATCTATCTATCTATCTATCTATCTATCTATCTATCTATCTATCTATCATCTATCTATCTATCTCTATCATCCATCCATCCATATCGATCTATCATCTATCTATCAATCTGTCATCTATCTATCTATCTATCTATCTATCTATCTATCTATCTATCTATCTATCTATCTATCTATCTATCTATCTTCTATCTATCTATCTATCTATCTATTCATCATCTATTCCACCCATCCATCCATCACCCATCATCCATCCATCCATCCATCCATCATCCATCCATCCATCCATATCCATCCATCCATCCATCTATCTATCTATCTATCATCTATCCATCCATCTATATATATTATCTATCTGTACAGCAAACAAGATAGTCAGGGAAACAGGAGCATCATGAGATAAATACATAAGAGCACACAGAAGAAAAGGGTGGGGAAAAGGGAACCTCCCCCTCCACACTTACACCAACCAATCACAGTGCAGATTGCCTGGCAAACGCAGCAGACCCGTAACATAAATGTGACCCCCATCAACAAAAGCCTTATTCAACCTCAGTCAATATCTGCACTCCTTACCTTCCACATTGTTATAGAAATGACATGAGCGACTTGACACTTTCATACGACACAAATGGATCTGCAAATCAATTAAAATCCAGTTCAGTGCATCACATAATGGAGCTAAAATAGGTTCATTAGCGCTCCGTGTTTAAATTCACACTAGCAACATGATCATCTATTCTGTGCAAAGTAGATTTGTCTGCTTAGCTCTGAGATAGGGAATATGTTACCTTTCACATGGCTGGCTGGGGAATACTGGGAGTTGAAGTGCACAGTCAAGTAGCCAAGATTGGACACCCCTGCTTTGATAGGAAGCCCCCTACTCTCTTTTTACAACCCTCTAATCCCTTAATTCAGGGTAGAGTTGGGGCGACTAGATGGAGCTGAGCATTTACTGGCCGGCTGCCCTTCCTGATGCCTACGCAGAGTTCACAGCAGATATTTTTTTCTTTGCGCCTTAGGAGAGAAACATTTTGTGCTATCTAGGATTGAACTCTCAACCTTCTGAGTGGGAGGCAAATGTCTTCAGCACTAGGCCACCACACTACTCATAAAAAGCCCTCTTAAGGAGATAGCAATAGCACTTAGACTTATATACCACTTCATAGTGCTTTACAGCCCTCTCTGAGTAGGTTACGGAGTCAACCTACGGCCCACAACAATCTGGGTCCTCATTTTACCGACCTCGGAAGGATGGAAGGCTGAGTCAACCTTGAGCTGGTGAGAATCAAACTGCTGGCAGTTGGCAGAATTAGTCCGCAATACAGCATTCTAACCACTGCACCATCATGGCCCATTATAAAAGATAGTGATATACAGTATTGGAAGACAGGGTTCCTGCAGAGGTGATGGGGCAAGATAGTGCTTTGAAAAACACATGATAAAATTAATGTTTGTAATAGGGAGGCTGCATTTCCTGTCGTATACTGCTTTACAGTGCTTTACAGACCTCTCTAAATAGTTTACAGAGTGAGCATATTGCCCCCAACAGTTGGGGTCCTCATTTTACCCACCTCGGAAGGATGGAAGGCTGAGCCAACCTTGAGCCTGGTGAGATTTGAACTGCCGAACTGCAGCTGGCAGTCAGCTGAAGTAGCTTGCAGGACTGCCCTCTAACCACTGCGCCACCTCGGCTCAATCATAAGAGTAACAGAATAATCTTGCGCCAGCATCATTTTGCACATATCATTTTACCTGCATATGATTGTTTTCCTGCTTTTTAACGTCAGGGTGGATGCAAAGCTGGTCTCTGGATCCCAACACACAAACTTTGGGTCTGTTTTAACAACAAGAGCAAAAGATCCAGGCCGTTTCCATGTAATGTCAAGATACAGATCAAGAAAAGGCAAAAAAGTGGCACGTTTTATATTTTAGCTTTAAAAAAATCCCAGGAAAGTAAAACGGGGGCAGGATAAGCAAGATAAATGGGCATCTAACTATACAACATGGCTACTAGGGAGATGCCCTCTGTGAAAATACTACAGTTTAATGAAAAGAAGGACTAGGGGTGACATGATAGCAGTGTTCCAATATCTCAGGGACTGCCACAAAGAAGAGGGAGTCAAGCTATTCTCCAAAGCCCCTGAGGGCAGGACAAGAAGCAATGGGTGGAAACTGATCAAGGAGAGAAGCAACCTAGAACTAAGGAGAAAATTCCTAACAGGAAAACAATTAATCAGTGGAACAGAACTTCAGAAACTGTGAATGCTCCAACACTGGAGAGATTGGACAACCATTTGTCTGAAATAGGAATAGCAATAGCACTTAGACTTATAGACTGCTTCACAGTGCTTTACAGCCCTCTCTAAGCGGTTTACAGAGTCAGTATATTTCCCCCCAAACAATTTGGGTCCCCATTTTACCGACCTCGGAAGGATGAACCTTGAGCCGGTGGGACTTGAACTGCCAAACTGCTGGCAATCAGCAGTCAGCAGAAGTAGCCTGCAGTACTGCACTCTTAACTACTGCACCACCACCGCTCTTGGTATAGGGTCTGCTGCCTGAGCAGGAGGTTGGACTAGAAGTTTCTACATGGGGCTCCCCTTGAAGAGCACCCGGAGGCTCCAACTGGTCCAGAATGCAGCCGCGCGGGTGATTATGGGAACGACTCGACGCTCCCATGTAACACCGCTCCTGCGCGAGCTGCACTGGCTCCCGGTGGTCTTCCGGGTGCGATTCAAGGTGTTGGTCGCCACCTTTAAAGCGCTCCATGGTTCAAGACCCGGGTATTTACGAGACCGCCTTCTGCCACCGATAGCCTCCCATTGACCAGTACGCTCCCACAGAGAGGGACTCCTCAGGGTACCGTCGGTCAAACAATGTCGACTGGCGACCCCCAGGGGGAGAGCCTTCTCTGTGGGGGCACCTGCCCTCTGGAATGAGCTGCCCCCGGAGATTCGTAGGATTCCCGACCTTCGCACCTTTCGCCACGCCCTCAAAACGCTATTGTTTCACCAAGCAGGGCTGGCCTAATGCTATTTTAATGGGTTATCTTTATTTTAGCTTTTTCGGCCAAATTATTTAATATTTTTATATTAAATAATTATATTTTATATTATTTTTAACTTTTATATTGTCGTGGGTTTTATCTCTGGCTGTACACTGCCCTGAATCCTCCGGGAGAAGGGTGGTATAAAAATTAAATAAATAAATAAATAAATAAATAAATAAATAAATAAATAAATAAATAAATAAATAAATAAATAAATATAAAATAAAATAAAATAAAATAAAATAAAATAAAATAAAATAAAATAATAAAATAAAATAAAATAAAATAAAATAAAATAAAATAAATAATTCAACCTGGAATTAAGGAGAAATTTCCTAACAGTGAGAACAATCAACCAATGGAACAGAAGTTGCCTTCAAAAGTTGTGGGAGCTTCATCGCTGGAGGCTTTCAAGAAGAGACTGGACGGCCATGTCAGAAATGGTGTAGGGTCTCCTGCTTGGGTGGGTGGGTGGGGGTTGGACTAGATGACCCACAAGGTCCCTTCCAACTCTGTTAATCAAACCTCCGAGACCTCCGACTGTTATTCTGTTACCCTTAAGCACAGCTGAATGATATAAATCCTCACAGATAAAAAGAAAATATTTCTTCAACCAACATAATTAAACTACCATTAAATGCACTGCAAGAGAGGAGCGATGGATGCCAACTTGGACTGCTTTTAAAAAGAGATGAAATAGGCTCAGCTGGATAAATCACCAATGGCTAACAGTCGTCTAAGCTATTTATGATCCCCATTACCATTTGCAATAGCCTCCAAGCAGCGGTTGAGATAAAGTAATATTGCATTTAGGTTCTGCTTGTTGGCTTCCAAGAGAGAATCTGATTTGCCTCTGCGGATCAGAATGTTGGACAAACATCATCCTTCGGTCTGATCCAGGAGGGGCCTTGCTTTTTATTCGGGAGTGCTCCTTTACTGTGGCTGCAGGGCAAGACAATTTTTTCAGATCACTGCAATAAACAAGGATGCTTCTGAAATAAATAAGGTGAGACAGCTATAAACCCCAGGCACTTTTCACACTTAAAGTCGAAATCTTTTCTTTACCTGTAAACGGTATTCTTCAATTCACTGATGACCTGAGCAAGCTGAGAATGTGTTCTGGAGGCATAAATTATTTTAGGGACATCGCTGTAATAAGCTGTCATGCGGAGAAAGTGAGAAAGGAGACATGTGCGCAGGAGGGAGAAAGAAGAAGAAGGAAAAAATTGTTTAGTTTGTGTTTAGTAACTAAATATATCGTCAGTCTGCTTTTCTTCGCTGGTGCTATGGTAACAATTTAGCCTGTGGGGATAGTCTGGGAATTTACAGCCCAACTGCCCACCTAACAGAGAAGATTGCATGTTTTTTACTATCTTCAAAAAAGGAGATTTATTTTGAAGCACTTGTGGATAAGTTTCTGCAATTGGCAGTGAAAATTGATGTACTGGTTTGCATTGCATTGCATTGTCCTCCCCAGACAACAGGATTCTCAGGCTTTTCTCATAACCAGTTTCTGCTTTTCTTATGAAAAATAATTCAAGGCATGTATTAATATTTTTTGGGGACGCGGTGGCTCAGTGGCTAAGACGCTGAGCTTGCCAATCGAAAGGTCGGCAGTTCAGTGGTTCGAATCCCTAGTGCTGCGTAATGGGGTGAGCTCCCGCGACTTGTCTCAGCTTCTGCCAACCTAGCAGTTCGAAAGCATGTAAAAAAAATGCAAGTAGAAAAATAGGGACCACCTCTGGCTGGAAGGAAACAACGTTCCGTGCACCTTTGGCGTTTAGTCATGCCAGCCACCTGACCACGAAGACATCTTTGGACAGTGCTGGCTCTTCGGCTTTGAAACGGAGATGAGCACCGCACTCTAGAGTCGGGAACAACTAGCACATATGTGCAAAGGGAACCTTTATCTTTAGTAATATTTTTACTGGTTCAACTTCCTTCAACTTCCATATTCCCTGAACTTTCAAAATTCTGAAGAGCTGCAAGAGGAGAGGGTACCAGCATTGCAGGTAGTCCTCAACTTGCAACCACAATTGCTAAGCAAAGCGGGGCAGTTAAGGGAGTTACGCCCAGGTTTTTTTTACCATTTTTGCCATGATTGTTAAGCGAACCGCTGCAGATGAAGTGGTTAAATGAATCCTGTTTCCCCATGTTGACTTTGCTTGTCAGAAGCTGGCCCGGAAAGTCACAAATGGCAATCAGGTAACCATGGACACAACAACGGTCATTAAGTGAATCTGACTTCCCCCCTTCACTTTGCTTGTTGGAAGCCAGCTGGGAAGGTTCACAAATGGGGATCACATTACACTGGGATGCTGCGATTGTCATAACTACATGCCAATAGCCAAACCCCCAAATTTTGACCATGTGACCCTGGGGATACTGCGAAGATTATAAGCATGGGGACTGATTGTAAGTCGCAGTGCTTTTGTATCGCCAAACAGTCGTTAAACGAATGGCTGTAAATTGAGGACTATTTGTATCTAATAAGCCTATTATCAGCTCGCTTTCAGAAGTTGTGGGAGCTTCATCCCTGGAAGCTTTCAAGAGACTGGACTGCCATCTGGTGTAGGGTCTCCTCCTTGGGCGGGGTGGGGGGGGGTGGACTAGATGACCTATGAGGTTCCTTCCAACTCTGTTATTCTGTTCTGTTCTTATTGTCAACCCAGAAGCTGACCTGAAAGGAGCCATATTGCAGCTTCAGTGTTTCCACACTGGAGTTGAGGGAAAGGAAGGGTGGGATTAGAGACAGAGGGGTTTGTGTAGCCAAAACAAAATACTTTCTCTTGAGAACCAAGGACATTCTTACACCTGGACCGTGGAAGGAGGAGGTCACCAGACGACCAGACAGCGTTTTGATTGGACCATGTGACTGATTGTTTGGGGTTGTGGGAAAACTTTCTCTTTTAACTAGGTTTTCACCAGGTATGTGCCAATATGATATTTCCAATAAAGCTATCCTTTGAGGAATTTACCTGCCTCCGAGTTCTGCTTGCTATGGATCTATTACTTGGAACTCTGAAACTTATCCTTACATCTGCTCTATGGTCAAAATCTCATTGCAAATGTAACGAGGGCTTCCAAATGAAAAGAAATACCTGGAACTTCGGTCCCTGTGACAGTATTGCCCCAAGACGACAAGGGCTGGTCCGGAAAAAGCTCTGCCCCTTTTAATCGCTGAGCAATCTTTTGCGCGGAAACGGCATCCTTGAAGTGCGCTCGCCATGCCAAGGTAGAGCACAGGAGGCATAACGTCTTCCCTGTGCCTGTGGGGCTCTCCAAGATCCCATTCACTTGCTGAAATGAGAATTAAAAGGGAGGGGGGGGAATTGGGAAAATAAATATTTACTGAAGTACCAGAGGAGGATAAACATTTCCACAAAGTCATTCTATGCACTTCACAAAACACAGACTTCAGAGGATAATTAGAATCCAGCTTTCCCCCTTGACTTTGCCTGCTGGAAACCAGCTGGGAAGGTTGCAAATGGCAGTCGCGTGATTTCAGGGACGCTGCCACCGCTATAAAGACATGCCACTAGCCAAATGCACAAAATTTTGATCACCTGACCCTGGGGATTGCTAAAATGGTCATAAGTGCGAAGACAGGTCATGTCACTTTTTTCAGGGCCACTGTAACTCTGAACGGTCGCTAAGTGAATTGTTGTAAGTCAAGGATTCCCTGAATAGTCTTCATGCAATCTTTTAGTAACCATTTTATGGCTCCTAAATTTTTCCAGAGGGCGCTGACACCAACCTGGATTTTGGAGTGCACAGTTAAGACAATGCCCCTTAACCTCTATTCTCAGAAAATCAGAAAATCCTGAAAGAATGTGTTCCTCACCACCACACCTGCCTATATTCCAGTGACATTATGACATTACTGGCCATGCCCCACGCAGCCATGGAGATGGTTTTCAAAAGAAATGTGACCCCTAGTTTGTTAAAAAAAAAAACAACGCCCATCCTGGGCAGAATTAATGGCTCTGTACTGTTCAAGAGATTGCTCCTTATCCCTGGAGAAACACAGCAGGAAAATTAGTTTGCATTCTGCTTACACAATCATGGGATACAACCTACATTTAACTGTTTGCCTGAAAGGAAGAAATAATAAGAAACCAATTTTTCAGTCAATAACCATAAGAAGCAAACCAATCAATAAATGGTATTTTAAGTTACACAAGCTTTTATGTCACGACGTGTAAGCAGACAATCACCCTCCTACCAATAGTAAGACCACGTATTACAACAGCAAAGCCAAATTAGTGCTCTGCAAATTTTTTCTGTGGCAGCCCCTACTTTGTAGAATACCTTGCTCCCAGTGACAAGGAAAGCCTCCAATCTCCTGGCCTTCCACAAAGGGGTCAAAGCCTGGATGTGTAGCCTTACGTGAGGGATACAGCAGCCCAAGGTCACGGGGCAGGTTGGCCCCATGAGAACTCCTCCCCAGTCTACATGAACAATTCTTAGTATTCCCATCTTGGCTCTCTCCACCTCTTGCAACTTTATGTTGTTGTTTTACGTTTTTAAATTTGAATCGTAAATTATTTGGTTTTAATGTTTTGATTAAATTGTATAGCCCCTCTGTGAGAGGGATGGATAGATGGATGCATGGACGGACAGACAGACAGACATGGATGGATGGATGGATGAACAGAAAGACAGACAAACAGATAGACAGATGGACCATAAGACAGACAGACCCCTTGATTTCAAAAAGATGCCAGGACTCCTGACTAGGGCAATAATAACATTTACAAAACAGTCCATGAGCAAAGTCTTTCCATAAAATTATCTTGCAGCATTAAGCCAGCACAGAATGTATTTTCTGACTTACTAAAAATTTAGGAACAGATTGTATGAACATAAGGGCTTCTTAAGTGTTTCTTTCCCTTCATCAAGAAAAGAGAGCCCACCTACCCACTTCTCTACTTCCAGGTCTCATGTAAACATGGCTGGCACTTATAAGAGAAGGGACTGAAACAAAGCTTCTTTTCAGGAAGTGCTAAGCAGGTTTCATATGTTCCAAATGCATCTGTTCTACATAAGGTAAAAATATATGCAGAATCCAAAAACGTGTACGTCGATACAGTTAACTAAGCCAATTCTATTTCTGAGTTTAGAAGATCATGTTTATTATAGCTGCAGTACTTTCAAAGCACTTCTATATATCATCGCTCAAAAAGAAATCCTCTAAGATTATTTTCAAGAAGATTAATTCTGGATTAATCAATTAAATCACAGAATAGTAATTTTTGCAACCAGCTATCTCAGACCTGTTATGCAATATTATGAAGTCACTCTAAGCACTCTGACTGAAATAACCTTGTCCTTGTTAATATTTAGCACTAACTTGGATCTTTCTCTTGCAGTTTTATGTCCATGATGAATGATGCAAAGTCATCTTTATTTTCTAATAACAAGATCTATTTATTAGATATGTACTGCTGCCCATAACACCTAACTCTGAGCAGTTCACTATAATAAAACTACAAACCACAAAAACAAAGACTAAAAACCTAGCACCTCAATCATCCTCCTAGGGTGCACCAATTACCGTCCATGGTCCAAAAACTCTAGGGAATTTCTAGAAGCCTGAAACTCTGGCAAATTAGAAATCAATAAACACAGTCATAAACAATATCTATACACTACACAAAAGAGACAATCAACTAGCAAAAAGGTGAAAAGACCATTTTCCGCCAGCAATCAACATCCAGATGAGCATAGATTAACCGTAAGATTAACTTCAGATCAACAATCAATAAGTAGACAATATCCCAATCAAGAAACTGCCAAAGAAGCCAACAGCAACCAAAGACCAATCAATAGATTCAATTTATATAGACTTCTGTAAAGCCTTCAATTCAGTGGTACACGACAAGCTACTTCTAAAACGAAAATCTTATGGCATTTCCAGATTCCTGCATAAGTGGATAACTGCGTTCCTATCGAACAGGCAACAAGTAGTCAAAATAAGGAACGGCTTATCTAACCCTGCACCTGTTAACAGCGGTGTCCCCCAAGGCAGCGTTTTAGGACCCACACTCTTTATACTTTATATTAATGACCTTTGAGATCATATTATAAGCAACTGCATTCTCTTCGCTGATGATGTAAAACTATGACAATGCTGCTACTCTACAAAAAGACCTTGACTATGTGTCAGAATGGTCAAACAATTGGCAACTCCAAATCTCAACCAACAAATGCTCTGTCTTACACATTGGCAAAAAAAATCAGAACACAAAATACAAGCTGGACGGATATGACCTAACAGATGACCCTCACTCTGTCAAAGACCTTGGAATACTCATCTCTTGTTGAGTGACCACACGCACAAAGGTTGAGAATATATGTGGTAACTTTATTATCTTACATAGTGACATTATATAGTTTGTTACTTTCAAGTTACAGCGTACTTGGCAGAATATCATTGACTCACAGAATCTTCCAGGTAACTTAAATCATAGGTTAATCATTACTGCTTTGCTTAAGCACTTATAATGTTTAACTATAATTAAAATCTAACACACATCCCACTTCCTCTCCTCCTGTTCCTCTTGTTTACAGAGTTAGGGTCTTTATCTTCTAATGTCATTTCCTGGCGCTTACGTGCAAGTAACCTTCCTTATCTGAAGTTTGCCATCCAAGATAGGAAAATTCCTGCACATATGCACACTGCAGTTTCCTACAATCTCTAATGATCTAAGTGCCAGAGCTCACTGTAACAGCATTGCCAAAAAAGCATTAAGAGTTGTTAACCTAATCTTGCATAGCTTCTACTCCGGTAATATTGAACTCAAACTAGGGCATACAAAACTTTTGCCAGACCAATTCTTGAATACAGCTCATCTATCTGGAACCGGCACTGCATATCAGACATTAATACAATTGAGAGAGTCCAGAGATATTTCACAAGAAGAGTCCTCCACTCCTCTGCTCACAACAAAATACCTGATGCCACCAGACTTGAAATTTTGGGCTTAGACAACTTAGAACTTCGCCATCTTCGGTCTGACCTAAGCATAGTACATAAAATCATCCGCTACCATGTCCTACCAGGCAATGAATACTTCAGCTTCAACCAAAACAATACAAGAGCACACAATAGATACAAACTCATGATAAACCGATCCAAACTAGACTGCAGAAAATACAACTTCAGCAACAGAGTGGTCAATGCCTGGAATGCACTACCTGACTCTGTGATTTCTTCCTCAAACCCCCAAAACTTTTAACCTTAGACTGTCTACTGTAGACCTCACCCCATTCCTAAGAGGTCTGTAAGGGGTGTGCATAAGTGCACCAGCATGCCTTCCATCCCTGTCCTAATGTTTTCTTTTATTTGTATCCTTTTCATGTATTTATAATTATGTTTACACTTGTATCTGTCATAAAATACACACTTGACGAAAAATACAAATAAAATAACAAAACCTCCAAAATCACCCCCACCAGGGGCAAGACACTAAAATATAAACTGAAAGCAAATCCCACTCCTTACTAGCACTGATTATGTTACCTATTTTGGATAATAAAATGTCTGCAAGAAAACAAGCAAGCTCAGAGAGAACCAGAGAGAATCCAATATTCTCCTTTATTGATACTCAACTACACCTCTCTGCCTGGTATATTAAGTGATACTGCTGATGTCTGTTCTGATACCTGGAGACTTTAAAGCTCCAGATGGCAATAGGCAGCATCTTGAATTGGACTTAAGCCAATCCATGCAGCTATCATAGTACAGATCAGGGGTCTCAAACTCAAGGCCCAGGGGCCGAACTCAGCCCACGGGGTGCTTAGATATGGCCAACAGGACTGCCCTGGAAATAGTGAAGGACTGGCCCGCGGTGCCTCTGCCAGAGAAAACAGAACTCGGGAGGGCTGCCCGTTTTTGCTTGCAGGTTGCAGGAGGCTGTTGCAGCCGAAAACGGAGCTTGGAAGCCCATTTTCACTGTCAGAGCGCTCGGGCCGCCACAGATGCAGCCGACACGAGTGATGTCGAGCTGGTCACACCCACCCTTGCCATGCTCCCCCCCGAGGTCAAACACAACCCTGATGCGGCCCTCAATGAAATAGAGTTTGACACCCCTGGTATAGATGCAACATAGATAAAACAATTTTGATCACTTGAAGCTTCAAAGGCAGTCCGTGTAATGATGTATGTTGCGTGTTTCAAAGTTTCTTTCATTTGACACACATGTATTATGTTTTGTTTAGAATTTCATCAAATGCTTACCTTTTGCAGGCACTCAAGCACTTTGGACATATATGTCTCCTGACATTTGTAGGGTGGAAATGGAAAGTCAACAGTAATGCCATTTAATTTTATTTTGGGCATATTTCATCTGGCATCTCAGGATCACAAAACCTAAAATCAAGAATATTGTTCCATTAGTACTAAATATCAACAAGACAGTTCATAATCTCCCAAATTCTATTTCAGCAGTGAGTGTTCCTTTTTAAAATTTTATTTATGTATTAATTTTATTTACCGCCCATCTCATCACAAAAATTTCCTTTAAAATCTCAGTGTTTTAAGAAACCCACTATATTTGACCCGTTCAGTCATGATGAACTACATATTTCTAGTTCTCTATGAAGATTGCTGCAAGCTCTACTTTTAAATAGGTTTAGAATATTATAGAAAGAACAAGCAATTACAACCCCAATTTTACCGTGTGGGCAAATCAGTAAAAAAAATTGCCAGATCTCCTCCCCTTGTTAATGCAAAAGGGTCAGCTGCTAGCAACACAAAAATATTTTTCAGCATTGGACCACTGTCAGATAAAAGGTGATTAGAAGTCAACGATAAAGCAATATGCATATTATTTAGCTTTAAACATGATTTATTGCCTTTAAATAAATGATGGAATGCTTTTAAGACAAATTTCATATTTATTTTGATTTGTGGGTTACCGCCAAATCATAACTACTTATGAAACCTTAATGAATCCTCTCATAATCTTGGTTTTAATTGGTTTTAAATTATGGTTTAAATTATGTTGATTATTTTACTGCTTTAGTTTTTACATTCAGTGATGGTTTGTTTAGTTGTACGCTGCCCAGAATCCGCTTGTGTGAGATGCCATATCAATTTGATTAAATAAATTTAGGGATTCTAGTCAATGTAGGAGTGTAGTTCATGTTTTGGATTAAGACTAGAGAGAACCTGTTGCAATTCACTCTTAATCACAGAATCTCTCTGGTTCGTTTTGAGCCAATAATTCTCCCAACTCAACCTACTTCATAAGACAATTATTGCAGAAATAAAGAGAGATGTTTATGTAAACCATCTTCAACTCCTTGATAAAGTTGGGATACAAGTTTAAAGAATTATTAAACACACGGAAAGCTTTAGTTTGAAAAATGTGATCTGTAAGAACTTATTTTCACCACCTTTGTACAATTCAAGAAACAGATTTTCCCATTTAGGAACAGATGGGAGCAAACCATTTGTGTCTGTAGGATATTAGTTTTACTTATTTACTTCTTTTGTCCTCTATGAATGCCCCCACTAAATATTCAGGACATGTTATTGACCCCATTGGGGAATAGAATATTTGGGGAGTAGAATATTTGTAGCTCAAAGTGGAACTGTGGGGTCCTTGGTGCTCTCTGAGCTTGGTGGTTCTCTTGACGACGCTTCATCACTCAACTAGGTAATGGAATAGATAGAATAACAGAGCTGGAAGGGACCTTGGAGGTCTTCTAGTCCAACCCCCTGCTCAAGCAGGAAACCCTACACCATTTCAGACAAATGGTTGTTCTAATCTCTTCTTAAAAACCTCCAGTGATGAAGCACCCACAACCTCTGTGTGTTAATTATCACCTTTAAAGCGCTCCATGGCTTAGGACCTGGGTACCTACGAGACCGTCTTTTGCCACCAATAGCCTCCCACCGACCAGTTCGTTCTCACAGGGAGGGACTACTCAGGGTACAGTCAGTCAAATTATGTCGCCTGGCGACTCCCAGGGGGAGGGCCTTCTCTGTGAGGGCTCCAACCCTTTGGAATGAACTGCCCCCGGAGATACGGAATATCCCGCCGTGCCCTCAAGACCCTGATGTTCCAACAGGCGGGGCTAAACATACGAACATGTGAATGATTTTTTAAATGTTATCTAATTCTGGGTTTTATTTGATTGACCAAACTAAGTAATAATTTTAATTAGCAATTTTATGATGTTTGTGTGTCTATATTTTTCTTGACTGTACACCGCCTTGAGTCCTACGGGAGAAAGGCGGTATAGAAATATAATAAATAAATAAATCTGGTGGCAAGCTGTTCCACTGGTTAATTGTCCTCACTGTTTCTCCTTAATTCCAGGTTGCTTCTCTCTTTGATTAGCTACTTGTCTTGCCTTCTGGTGCTTTTGGAAAACGAGTGAACTTATGGCAACTGTTGGGAGCATTCTCTTCAAAGCCAGGAAGGCCTGTTTCGCCTCGCTCAGGTATTCGCTTTCCTTTCAGATTATTAATAGGTCCGTGGGTAACCCCCCCTCCCCCCCAAAGAGGCTCAGAGGGTCATCAGGGCCAAGTCCCTGTCCCCCCCCCCGGCCCTCAGCGGCCTGGGTAAAAAAAAAAAACACCAGGCCTCAACCCCCTCCCCCTCCCCCCACACTAGGGGGAAAAAAAAGACTCCCTCATCCGTGCCTCCTCACCCCCCCCATTCTGTGGGCCCCGGGGCCCCGGGAGAGATTGGCCTCCCATCCCGCCGCTCTACTCCGGTGAGCGGGGAAAGAAAGGGCCCAGGAGGAGCCTCAACCCGCTCGGTCTCCGCCAAGCTCCCCTCACGCACCTCTTCTTCAAGCGCCCCGGTTCGCAGACCCCGCGCGTTGGGTCACGTGGCCGCGTCCTCGGCGTCTCATTGGTTGGGCGGCACGCGCGCGCGCGCGCACACCTTGAAGGAGGAGACAAGAGCTCAGAGAGAGAGAGAGAGAGAGAGAGAGAGAGACGACGGCAAGCTCTCGCGAGGCATTCTCGTTGCCGGGGCAACTCTCTCTCTCTCTCTCTCTCTCTCTCTCTCTCTCTCTCGTTTCCATGGTGACGCCATCTTCTCTCCCAGATGGGCCTAAACAGCGCTTCTCGCCCGCCCAAGCTTCTTGGGACTACAAACCCCATGGCTGCTAGTCAGGAACCTTAGCCAGGCGAGGTTGGCGGAGTTTGTAGTCCTAGGCGCTGTGCTAGGTCAGTTTTAAGCAAGAGAACAGTCAGGAATCAAGGCCCAGGCTGGGGTCTCTGCTCTTTCCAAGCTTGAAGTGATGGGAGTTGTAGTCCTCAAAGGCTGGAGGGCATCCCAGCGGGAATGCTGGGATTGATTCTAGAGATAGTCCGCGACTTACGACTACAATGGAGCCCAAAATTTCCGTTGCTAAGTCAGACAGGTGTTAAGTGAGTTTTGCCCCCATTTTATGACCTCTTGCCACCGTTGTTAAGTGAATCTGACTCTTCCCATTGACTTTGCTTGTCAGAATAGGGACCGTGGGACATTGCAAACGTCGTAAATATGAACCAGTTGCCAAGTGCCCGATTACGTGACCACGGGGAGGTTGCAACCGTCGTTAAGTGTGAAAAATGGTCATAAGTCATTTTTTTTCAATGCCGGTGTAACTTCGAATTGTTACTAAAAGAATAGTTGTAAGTCAAGGACTACCTGTATATATTTTTTTCCTTCTATTCAATATCTAGCTCACCTTGACTTGAGTTTCAAATGGCAAGCCAAGTCAGAGAGGATGGGAGGCCACCAGGAGATCCAGCTTCTTCAGGGAAGTTGAAAACCATTCCAGAAGAGGGAGGGGGGAGAAATCTCATCTACATTGTTGCTAAGGAAACCGCATGGACACTGTCCAAGAAGTCCCCAGGAATTAAGCTAAACTTCAAGAAGTTTATTTATTATTACCGCTGGTTATCTCCATGCCATCCATGAGACTGTTTGCCTGCTGTGGGTTTGCTCAAAGACTCCTGCTAGCTCGAACTCTGAATCAAGGTTTTCTTGCAGCTTAAATCATTATTCTACATCATTCTAAGTTTAAAATAATGATTTGATTCACCCCTATTGCTAATCTATCATTGTTTAGTTTTGTCTCAGTAGGATGTGAGAACTCGGGTAATTGTCACTCATCATTCAACATGGTTAAGCATTGCAGGTATCCAAATCAGTTATATAGCTAAACATCTGTACAGATTCTCAATCATCCAGGTCATGGTTGTCCCAAAGGTGCTTTTTCAGGAGGCAACTGGATTTCCTTGGTTTTCTTTGAAGATGTTTCGCTTCTCATCCAAGAAGCTTCTTCAGCTCTGACTGGATGGTGGGGAATAGCAATAGCACTTAGACTTTGTTGTGGCCCGTCAGCGGCCTGTGCAGCTAGTAGCTGATTCCGACAGCGAGGAGGCTGGTGTGGTGCTGCGCCAGCAGCCTGTGCAGCTGGCACTCGAGTCGGACAGTGAGGAGGCTGGAGATGTGGTGCCAGAGGAGGGGATTCAGCCAGGGCCTTCAGAACCTCCAAAAACTCCCATAAGTGAAGAGGAAGAAGAGGAGGAGCCTCTTCTCAATGCACGGGCATGCAGAGCTGCCAAAAGGCAGGAGTGGCTCCTCAGGAGAAGGTCTCCTCGAGAGTAAGGCTTGGGGCTAATTGGCCACTCCCTTAGCCTATTTAAGGAAGGACGACGACTGAGGCAATTTGCAGGGAACAACTTTGTTCACTCTCCTTCGCGTCTTGATCTTTGTTCTCTGCAAATTGCTTCTAGGCTTTCTGCCAACCATAGTAAGGTTATGATTATTTATTCTGTGGATTCTTGTAGGCTGTTAAGAAAGTTAATTAACAGCTTTTGTTTGAAAAAAGACTGATTTAATTTAGCAAACGAAGGTTTGTACAGACTTTGTATGTGCTGAGTTCTTTGGGGTCCGTAGTTGGGGCAGAACAGACTTATATACCGCTTCACAGTGTGATTCAAGGTGGCTTATGCTTTATTCCTTGCAGTCTTCAAAAGAAAAAAAAAAACAAAGTCCAGTTGCCTCCTGAAAAAGCACCTTTGGGACAACCATGACCTGGGTGACTGAGAATCTCTACAGACTTTTCACTATGCAATTTGGGATGAACACCCTTGGAATGGAGTGAGAGTAGGAATGGATTTCCAGAGGAAAAATTGCAGACTGCAGGAACCGTTTGCACTACTCAGATGACCCTGAGGACACAGATAAATCTCCAAGTGCTTCAACGACCCTCTAAAAGGATGCAAATGACCAGCTGTCCGCAAGAATAAATCCTTCCCTTCCCCACTATCCAGTCATAGCTAAAGAAGCTTCTTGGAGGAGAAGCGAAATGCCTTCAAAAGAAAAAACAAGAAAGTCCAGTTGCCTCCTGAAAAAA